AGAGGATTGAGAGGGTGGCGCTGGTGATAGAGTGGAGCGGAGGGGAGGAGGGGATGCTAAATGGTATTTTCATTTTACAGGAGTGTGAACGGGCACACCTGTCTTATTATACGCTCCCGGACCGAGATCATGTTTCATTGTAGTCTTCAAACCATAAGTGCTTACAACTTGCGCCTCGCGCCTTTTCATCATTTCATCCACCTTGTTACCTGTTCCCTTCCATTCTTTTCAATTAAACTTTTAAGTGGGAATACCGCAGTTACGGCCCTCCCTCCTCTTCCGCGCCGCCCCGAGCTTTTCCTCAACTCCGCTTAAAATCCGGAATCGCTGATCAAACGGAGATCGAGGAGCAAACTTGCCCTCGGATCGTGAAATAAATGCACGTTCCAGAAATATCTAATCGGAAAGAGAGAAAAAAACACATTGGATCTAGAATCCAGACTCTTAAAAACATCGACACGAAAAAATACTCTTGATTCAATCGGATTTTTACTTCAATCAAGAACCAAGCCTCTTAATCTGAGCGGATTTCCTGTTGATTTAAGCAAAAATCTGATTGAATCAAGAGTATTTTTTCTTGTCGATGTTTTCAAGAGTCTAGACTCTGGATCCAATGTGGTTTTTTTTCCAGTACGAGGGCAAATGATCGCGTTAAAAGCGATTTGATCGTAGATGAATGCGACTCGATGGACGGGAGTTTCATGGAACATTATCATCAATAGGAGGAATTACGATGAATTGCGATTTGTTTCGATGGACCCGCTACTTTATCAATGCTGATTTTCGACGATTTTATCAGAAAAATACAAACAATTATTGCGATAAAAAAGACGATTAAACGGGGATGTTGTGTTTGAATAGGGTTAAAATCGATTGAATTGGAAAATCGATCAAATTGATGACATCAATTGACTATATCAAGAAAATCGACGGTGTAAGTCGGCAATCACACAACTCGGTTTGCGACGTCGTCGCAGACTTCCTGTCATACTTTATTTTTTAAACGGAAAACTACTCAACGGCAATTCTTTAAAACTGCCGTGATTTTTCGTCTCTGTGCGAAGAAAATTCTGGATGAAAAATTCTTCAGGGAATGATGTCAATTTGTTCTCCTTCAAGTAAATAACGTAGAAGCGGAGATTTTCAGACACCGCATACGAAATATGTGATTGCGGACTTCCGCCGTCGAAATGAGATCTTCATCGCATCGGAGGGAAATAATATTAATTTTATCACGATAAGATTATAGGTGTGTGAAATCGCTAAAACGTTCCTATTTCTAGCGATTTTGTGGCCACTAAAAGGTGATAAATTTGCGACCTTATAATAACAATTTGCAACTTCTGGTCAAATGCAGTAGCGTGGCGTGCTTTACAATATATCGATCGATCCGTCATTTAAAGTTATGGAAAAGGGTAAAAAACATGGTATACGTACCCCTTCATAATAGATTCTTTTCCACAGCTTTAAATGGGGAAATATCGAAAATCGATCATTCACACCATGAATTTTCCCGTGCGTACTTATTTCCCAAGGATATCACTCGAGTGAGTGACAGACGCGAAAACTAGACTATTATCTTTTATTGAGTATTCTTTAATAACTGATTTATTTATACCTCTTCAAATTTGTTTTTTCAAATAAACTCAAATCATCTAATCTTTATGCAACGACGAGGCTAAGCGCATAGCGTTTCATATTTATTCATTACACGAGCAGAAAAAACTGAGGGTGCTTTGGCTTTTTTGATAGCAACGTTCGGATGCAACTATTCGTGTCCTACGGATGTCCGTGTTGCCTGCACGGAAAATTGAAGGCGCTCCGGCTTTCTAGACCGCAACCGCATCGCGCGTACAGTTAACAATTCAAGCTCCCAGCTGGTTTGGACCTTATGTGATATTCAGCTTCTACAGAAGTAAACAAAAATCAAAATTTTTGGTAAAATGTACTGGGGTTTCCTCTTTACCTTTTAGCGGCAAATAGAGCGGGCACGCGAGGTACGCCTGAAAAAAGTTTTAACTGGCTATCTCTGAAAGACCTCTCGGGAAAACTCTGAATTATCCAGAGGGATTTTTGCATATAACGAAAGTAAACAAACGCAAAAATTAAATGTTCGGTTTGACTTGTTGATTGTGAAATTTTGCCATATTTCGCATTCGAATTCTTTCAGGATGTTTGGTCTCCAAACAGCGATTTTACGTAAATACAAGGTTGAAAACAATGTGCTTCTTGGCGTGATTGTTCCGTTCTATGCTAAAAAAGTGTAAAGGAAAACGAGATCATTCTGACGAGGTTCGATATCTGTTCGAAAATAAGTTTGCTTACTTCCGGCGAGGATACTTCAGCATACTGAATCTTGAAATGAAAAGAACAGTCTAGTGAAGGGTGAGAGAATACTAGAGCTATAACTTGTTGGCTCTTGTCACATTAAAATTTTCGGTATTAAGACTTGGACACCTTGTCGACTGACCTGGGCTTGACGATTCTTGGATTGTATGTGTCTCTTTTTCTAAAAACCGCATCGTACACACTGGAAAAAAAACACATTGGATCTAGAGTCCGGACTCTTAAAAACATCGACAAGAAAAAATACTCTTGATTCAGTCGGATTTTTGCTTAGATCAAGAACCAAGCCTCTTAATTTGAGGGGATTTCCTTTTGATTTAAGCAAAAATCTGATTGAATCAAGAATATTTTTAATTGTGAATGTTTCCAAGAGTCTGGACTCTAGATCCGATGTGTTTTTTTTTTCTTTTTTCCAGTGCAGTATATAAAATACGCGAGCTGATGATTTTGGTTCCTTTCCAGTTCTATGGGGTAGTGCTCAAGGACGTTGTAATGTACGAAAAAAAGCAAATATAACCTTAAAATTACAAAAAACGACGCGGTTTTCTCTCCGTTCTGCAAAATCGTCAGTTTGCAGATAGGCGGTGTCGTCCGTTAGCCATCGCGATTCGGGTCCCTTGAAAGGGCCATAAAACCGCCATTGACCGCATCAAATGCTCGACGCAAACGAAACGGGCATTTTCGAAGCGAGTGGCGGATGGGCGAAAGCTGCGAAGGCGCGAAGAGGCGGCCCAATAGCCATTAAGGATCATGGCGAGGGGCGCGAGGAGAGCGCGATGACTGGGCGAAGAGGGACTAATCTCCTCCCATTTTCCACGACTTCACCCTGCAATCCAACCACTTTCGAGGGAGGGTGGGATTCGGAACCCTGCACGCGCAGGGTGATCCCTCCGGCAGCATCCCTGGATTCGCTGAAGAGTACTATCAGGGACCCAGCTCCATACTTCCACGTATACCTCGGTGGAGTGGTGTAAACGTTTTTTTCGCGCTTAAAGCACAAAATGCTACTATTCGACTGAAATAATCTGTAATGTTTGCTGTGTAAGTTCAGGCATTATCGAAATAATTCGATTCGTTACCGCGTATTTCATGTGCTGTGTATCTTTTATTCGAAGACAAAAAATTACTTTCAACGAACACGGTTCTTTCTACGTTTCGGTCGTTCGCAGTGTGTATATGATATAATAAATGTAGGGTTGCCAAATTTATGAATTGACAATTTGAACGTAATTTTTAAAAACAGAAGTAGATTTTGGAACCTACGAATGAATATAACCGTTTCTTTGCTAGAAAAAATTTGTTTCGGTGAAAAAGAAGTCCTGCCGATTAAAACGATGTCATTGAATTCCGGAAATCGAACTGGCGATCCCATTCGGCTGGTTGTCATTGATTGCGTTCAGCACGTTGACTGAACATTATGCGATAGTGCACATTGTGAATAAAGATACTCAGGTGGGGGATGATATTGACATGCTGGTGTGACTTAATGAGGTGCGAATTTTTATTTTACGGGAGAGCGCAATGGTTTGATCCTAAATAAATTGTGAAAGAAATATCTCATGAGAGTTCCGGGTTGACGTCCTCATTTCTCTTTCACGCCCATATTCTCACCGCCAAAATACCTGCGTGATTACGGTCATTCCATCCGAAGGATTTGGACCTTCCGGACTGGCAGTCGGTTTGTGACGTGGAAGTTACGCCAAGAGTTGGTTTGGTGACTGTGTCGCCATGTAAACACTACAGCAATTCAATGATGCGTTGGCGGTAGAGGCTCTTGCCTCAAACGTGTCGAGCAAATTGCATAATTACAAAAATTCGGGCGCGTCGAAAAAATCGAATACCGATTCCCAGCGCGTGAATTAAAGAGCATCAATAAAGATTTCCGAATGAGTCCATCAGATTAAAAAAATTGTCAATTTTAAAGGGATCGAGCAAGTTGCGATTCTCGTCAATTCTTATAGCATCGAAACAATCGCATGCGCAACGAATTTATTATACTTAACATTCCGAGTGCTTTACACAAATTGCATAATTAAAACATTCCGGGCGCGCTGGTTTAAGAATCTTCGTTCCGTGTAACTTATAAGGTGAATAGGTAAAAAAAGTGAATAAAGTTTGGAAAACCTGCGTAATTTCGAGCAAATTGCATGCCGTAGTAATTTCGGGCGCATCGAGAAAATCACAAATTTAACTGGTCACAAGTGTGTTGATAAAAGTGCGTGACGAACCGTTCCTGGGTAACGGAGATAATTACCCTGATCCTGACTGATCACTCTCGAGTGAGAAGCGAGTTGCATACCTCCTCGATTTCAGGCGAACCGAGAGGGATGAATACCTAAAGAGGCGCAAACCTAACTGGTCACAAGTACATTGACAAAAGTGCGGGACGAACCATTCCTGCGCTAATTACCCTGATCCAGACTGATCACTCTCAAGCTCGTAGAGCGAGTTGCATACCTCCTCGATTTCAGGCGAACCGAGAGGGGTGAATACCTACAGAGGCGCAAACCTAACTGGTCACAAGTGCATTGATAAAAGTGCGGGAGGAACCATTCCTGGGATAATTACCCTGATCCTGACTGATCACTCTCGAGTGAGGAGCGAGTTGCATACCTCCTCGATTTCAGGCGAACCGAGCGAGTTTCATACCTCTTCGATTTCAGGCGAACCGAGCGAGTTTCATACCTCCTCGATTACAAGCGAACCGAGCGAGTTGCATACCTCCTCGATTACAGGCGAACCGAGCGAGTTGCATACCTCCTCGATTACAAGCGAACCGAGCGAGTTTCATACCTCCTCGATTACAGGCGAACCGAGCGAGTTGCATACCTCTTCGATTTCAGGCGAACCGAGCGGGATGCATACCTAGAGAGGCGTCGATGTTTTGCCCGGGGCGCGAGATGGCCGAGACGGTTTCGAGCGGGAGCGTGGAGGCGTTGGACGACGAATCGCGGCTCAGCGTCGATGACGTCGACGGCGACGGTGCCGACTCGACGGAGGTGGGACGGAAGGACGGGCCCAACCACAAGTTCTCCATCGACAGCATCCTGGGCACCAGATCGCCCAGCTTCTACGACAGGATCCTGGGGACGCGGCGCGGCCGCGGCTCCGACGACGACAGTGACGTCACAGAGGACCGTGACGTCACCGAGGACCCCAAAACAAACTTCAGCGCCCACCAGTTCACCAAATGCCTTCTCTCGTCCCAGCTTGTTGGTGAGTCGTCGTCTATGATCGGAAATTGAATTTTATAAAATTGTATGAACTAAAGTTGCATAAGAATTTTCTGTTTAAAAAATTTTAAGTGAGCCAGAAGGCTGTAAAGTCAGACAGCTGTAAAATCTGGTTGTGAGTAAAGATTTAGAGAAATGATTGCCTTGAATTGGCGAAATTGCAGAGTATCATATCGATGGGCGAAGTGCAAAACCACGCACCTACTATGCGATGTTTCAAAATTTCCGCTCTGATTTCATTTTTTCGAGGAAAAACGAGTCAACCTCGTAGCAGTCTGTTGAAAAAGGCAAATGGAGGACATTTTCAAGAAATTAATTCAACTAATTTTCTACAGGAAAAATATAGAAGGGTGGAAAGTCTGTAATGTCGCAAATCACTGAAAACAAAAAAAAATCTGGAGAAAGTATTTTGACTTAAAGCGTCATTTTTGTCGACAATTTTTTTTTCTTAAGTTAAATTTACTTATAGTCAGGTTTTTGAGTTAAAGAAACGTTGTTTTGCTATCGTTTTTTAACTTCAACTTAACGATAACAAAACAACGTTTCTACAACTAAAAAAAAACTAATGTTGAGTTGAATCCGCACAAATTTAACTAAAAAAGGAGAGGAAAAAAAAATAGTCGACAAGAAACGACGCTTTAAGTCAAAATAATATCTCAAGAAAATTGTTTTCAGGAATGCGTGGTTCCGCGCTTCGGCCATCGATATTCAACTCCAGATACAAAGGATTGAATTGACCCTTCACAATGCGATTCACTTCCTGCAAGAGCCGAAAAACTATTCCTACGTGTTTAAAGCAGTTTTTCATGGCTGTGGCAATGTGGCATACGCGCGTTCGAAACTAAAATCTTTTTTTTTTTTTTTTTTTTTCAAACATCATAGAAAATATAACATTTTTCCTCGGAGCATGACCGGGTGACTGAATGTACTATCTCAATATTTTGCTCAGCTCAAGTGAAAAATCTCAGCATAAACCGGAATTTTACAAGAACTGAAAGTCATCTTAAAGACTCGTGAATTACGATAGGTGGTTTTTCCTTCTTCTTTTTTTCAGATGATACAAGACCGGACAGCTCTCAGCTGCTCTCGGGGATTCCATACTCCTTTCTGTATGGAAGTTGGTTTACAGCAGCGGCACTGGCAGCCTCTAAGACACCGGCGCAAATTTTTGGACTTCAAGGTACCAAGTTTAAAATCATTTTCCTTTTTGAGAAAACTTGATACATATTTTACTGTGATAGTAAATTTTATGATATATAATTCATTGTGACAATAAATTTTATCATATAATATTTATTGTTATCAAATTTCCATAACTTGAAATTGTCCTCTATCCGGTATAAGTTCAGACTTATTCTGTGCGTGCTGGTTTTGTATTTTTGAACAGTAGGTAATAGGCTACGACACGAAGTTGGAATCAAATCATCAAAAGGCATTATTCCTCGCATTAATTTGGTTTTCATGCAAAGCCGTACAGGAAAATTATGAAAACATTCAAAATCAACTCGTAAAGAAGACACGTCTGCTTATTGTTTAAATTAAAACTGACGAATTGAAACATGTTCCTTGCTAAACTAACCAACATTACTTTCAATCCAATTTAAGAACACATTTTAGGGCAAATGGCTTGAGTTGGGTTTCAACAAATTATTTCCCACTCTGATGTTCAGTGCTCATGTTTTGTGAAACCTAAATTTGATACATGGGACAGTGAATTTTGTAATCTATGGTAAAAATAATGCGAGGGAAAATCAACACGTAATTGGCGAAAAATCGCGTGGGAGAACGAATCTTTTAAGAGTGAAATTCTGAGCAATAGCTTCGGGAGATGTTCTAGAAAAAATGACACGGAAGTAAATACAGTGGACTCTCGATAATTCGAAATTGAAGGGAATCGGCTTTTTCTTCGAATTAGCGAGGTTTCGAAATAAAGAGAGTTCAAATTAAAGAGATTCATGTGGAGAAATTTCGAATTAGAGAGGTTCGAACGTAGAGAGGCAAATGGACGGATTTACGTCAAAAGGAGCCAAAAATATCAGTTTATTTCTTTACGGCGGTAAAAATCACACTAAGTTATTATTAAGTATTAATTATTTATATTTAATTTTAAAATTATTAATTACATGTTTACATTTTGACAATCCCATCAGCTCTCTCAGACACCCAGGTACATAAACAGCTGACTTCGAATTGTAGGGGAAATGTACCGTCTTATTTCGAATTATAGAGGGAGGACCATATTTACTTCCCACTTTTCGAATTACAGAGAGAATTTTCGTCGCAATTTCGAATTATAGAGGGCCGCGCCAGCTTAAAAATTTCGAAATAACGAGGGGAGAAAAATACATTGAATTTCTTCGAATTATCAAGAGATTTTCAAGGAAAACGGACTTTCCTTCGAATTAACGAGGTTTTCGAATTATCGAGGTTCGAATTATCGAGTAACTTTGCCGAGTCAAAGACAAGTTTTGGTTGGCCTACGAGTACACTGGAAAAAAAAACACATTGGATCTAAAATCCAGACTCTTAAAAACATCGACAAGAAGACATACTCTTGATTCAATTAGATTTAAGCTTAAATCAAGAACCAAGCCTCTTAATTTAAGCAGATTTCCTTTTGATTTAAGCTTAAATCTGATTGAATCAAGAGTCCTTTTTCTTGTCAATGTTTTCAAGCGTCTAGACTCTAGATTGAATGTGTTTTTTTTCCAGTGTACCAAAAGTGATAAATAAAAATATGAATGGAAATTACGAGGAGTTGCAATTATAATTAGCGTTTGAACAACGAATTTATCACAACAAATATAGCAACGGTAATTTAAATGAAAGCTTCGATGGGAAATGTATTCAAGAGGGACGCTGTTCTTATGATGTGTCACAAAGCCGATCCTATGTATGATAATTTGGGAGCAATATTATTTCTTTTTGGCATTCCCGAATAGGCTATTGACTTTCTAATCCGCCGCGAGAAAATGCAGACATCGTCACATCCGTAGCGCCACGTGAACCCAGTCCATTGTCTGCTGTTCGATTCGAGTTGTAGTACGAGGTTGTGGTAGGTCAGCATCAGACACTTCACAAATATCCAAATGACCTTCAACGCCTACGGTCAAGTTTTATTGGGAAACATCATAACTGAATCAGTGAGTTCGAAAACACACCAACTCGGAAAAAAAAATTGTTCAGGAAACACCTAAAACTGCGCAGCGGGCGAAGAAGTTAGTTTAAGAAAAACCTTTTTGGTGCCAAAGGACAAGTACTTAGAGACTTTGTACAGCACCAAGTTGAAATCGATACACCATGTTTGATGACAGAGCATTAAGCGTTTAAAAATTTCCGAGTTGGTGTGTTTTCGTTCTCACCGACTCTCAGATACTGATTTTTCATAGTCTGCCCTGAAAAATGTATATTTTTCGACCTGAATAACGCTTGAATATTTATGTAACTTGTTGGTACAAGGTGTACTGAACCGAGAAAAGAAAACCGCAAAAACGGATGGTCACCCATTTCCCTTGAAATGGCCAAAAATCGGTATTTCCAATGAAATACTTCGATTTTTCCCCTTTCCCGTCGCTGTTTCGAGTGCTTCCGATAGCAATTTCGAAATTTCCTTTTGCGTGCAGATGCTTCTATCCATAAGTGTTACTAAACCGTAAAAAAGTGAAAATCGAAAAAAACCCGAGTTGGTGTGTTTTCGAACTCGAACTCACTGATTCATTTACAATCCAATGTAAATACGGGTCGCGCTTATAGCATCATTCATCTTTGAAGGAAACTTCGCGACTACGGCAGATATGATCAAAGATTTTGATTTAAAATCCTTTGGTCTTTGAATGGATTGAACGAGGTATAAGCAAGTTCTTCTTGCAACTCAGATCAAAGCACTGAGAAAACTCGGATTCACTGAAGAAAGGAAACCCGTTTTCTTGGCAGTTTCTATGCTAAGGATAACTTTGAAACGTGGAACTCCGAAAGTTGAATGTTCAATTTTTCATCAAATTGCCGTTTTCTCGCGTGGGTATCACACTATCCAACTTTTCATGATGAAAAGTTGCATTCGATTTCGAGAGTTGAATGAAAACTTTGATCACGTAAATTGGGCTTAAGTATGACCGTTGATGTATGCTTTATTAAAGGACAACACAGATTCATTTACTAGTGACTCTTTTTTCCAAGAAAATGATCACAAGTAAATCCACTTCTTGCCTCACCTTCTTCTCATAATACAGATTTCGTTTTGCAAAAGGGACCCACGATCATTCCAATGTCGCTAAGATTGTGCATATTTTTTTACCTTGCAAATATGATCTGATCATCCGCACAAGTTTTATTTTTACTCCCAATAACTATAAATTCAAGACAAAAGTTACCTTTGTAAATTCAATATTTGGCATGATTTCAATAATTTTATTGCAAAGAATGTAAGTTTCACAATCCTAGCAACACTGGAATGTCCTTGGTTCCTTTTTTGAAAAATGCGATCCATATAATCCGTTCCGTATATTCCGTTCTTTGTCCATTTTTCATTCTTAATTTTTTTAACAATAATGTTGCCCGATTTTTATTTTGTATTTATTTTTTTCAATTTTCTTTATCCAGAGAACGGAGAGCGCGATAATCAAAAGTCTTAACACTTCTTAATCGATTTTGGGACTGAGATAAAAATTAAAAGTGTGACTTTTTTTTTGTTTAAAGCGCCGAAACCGGTGGGGCGGAGGTCACGAAAACCAGGACTTGACCGGAAACCGAGGCAGGCATACAGTGCGAAGCAACTGGAACGATTAGAAGCTGAATTCAAGGTACGCATATTCACAAAGAAAGACAAGTATCTGATTTACGGAGATTATTTGGAAGAATAAATTATGATACATGCTGTATCGTGATGTCTTATGAACAATTGGATTGCATTTTCAAAAGGAACCAGGAGCATTGCAATATTGCTGTGCAATTTCATCCATTGCAATTTAACTACTGAAATCCTGAAAAAATATGAAATTTACATGGTAATTTTTGTCCAACATTTAGTTTTTAGCGAGTAAAATAGAAATTCTTCATAGATTATCAGGCTTTTCTCCCCAAAGACATAAAGACGGAGCGCTCGTATCTAAAAGCACGGGGAAAAAGTGAAGCTAGGTTCGGCGCTGCGCGCTTGTGTGAGTGTGTAAATGAGCGCGGGAATCCATGGCGGCAAACGGAAATTTGATTTGAACTTGTCCTCTTGATTTTTCCTTATTTCTTCTTCGAAACGTGTTTTAAATGCTTAAAACGATTATATTAAGAAAGTTCGGTCTGCGTCCTAATATATTACACCTACTTTTGCTCGGTAACAGGCAGTAATCTCAGATAAAGTTAATTTTTCTTCTGCTTATGGTGGTTCTGCAGGTTCAAACAGGCCGTTACAGTTCTAGATCTACGTTACTCCCAAATGAAATCAGTCGGTCGACGACGGACCGAAACTAACCTAAAGTTAATAAAATATGAGTGTGTACCTGAATTTGGGCAAAAATCAACCTAAAATACTTTGTTTCCGCAATTTTATTTATTAGTTCCCGCCCTACATTTGAATTCAAACTTGTCCCGATTTCGCCGCCAATCCTCTAGCCAATAGTAGAGGTGATTGAAAAGAAGCTCTAGAAGCTTCATTTTTTGCTTTTAGTGCTCCGTCTTTATGTCTTTGTTTCTCCCAAAACAAAAGAAGCTACATAACCTTAGCAAAATTACAATGCCCCTGGTTCCTTTTTGCAAAATGCAATCCAATTGATTACCTCTAGGAACTGAAACGAATCCAAACCTAAAATTTGGACATTTTCTCGCGCGCATTTTGCGGGGATTCATAAAGTTTGAAAAAGATAATTTAAATAATATGCACTCGGAAAAGGAAAGTAGTTTTGAAGGAAGTTTATCGCAAAGGGCGGGAGAAATGTTTGACTGAACCGGCTATCTTATTGCAGGCGCTAACAACGAGCCGCGCTCACCGTTGTGTTTGCGCTGACAGTTAAACGCCTTCAAATCGCCGTCTAGGCAACACGGACATCCGTCGAGCAATTATAGTTGTATCCAACATTACGCTGCGTTGTAGCGTAGCCTCTTAACGAGACACTTACACGTTTAATTCTAATTCTCGCGTTTAATTCACGTCCTAATGTTGGTTGGAAAGTTATGAGTGTTTTTTCTTGATATATTCAGACACTTTTTATTAAATTGCGAGCAAAATTCTCTCAAAAATTGGAAAAAAGTATGCCTGAGTTAGTGAGTTTCCCTAAAATTTCGTGCATTACCAGAAAAAAGGGTACGTCTGAATCCTCATTTGACGTTCTTCGTTGGCCCTGCTGCTCGGTGCCCTAACCCAACACTGGAAAAAAAAAAACACATTGGATCTAGAGTCCAGACTCTTGAAAACATTGACAAGACAAAGGACTCTCGATCCAATCAGATTTAAGCGTAAATCAAAAGGAAATCCGCTCAAATTAAGAGGCTTGGTTCTTGATTAAAGCTTAAATCTGATTGAATCAAGAGTATTTTTTCTTGTCGATGTTTTTAAGAGTCTTGACTCTAGATCCAATGTGTTTTTTTCCAGCGAATGGCGATTTTAAAAGTTGGCAACACTGTTTTTTCTCCATTTAAATCCAATCCCTTTGCACACGTTGCAAGTATTTTACTAAAAAAAGGAGGTCATCAGTGCATAACTCATCGATGATCGTGAAATGTGCTGCAAAAAAAAAACCCTCATCGATGACCCCCATTTTCAACTTAAAACTTGCAACGTGAGCAAAGGGCATTGAAAAGATCTATTTTAGGCGAGACAAGCTGCCTCGCCAAGAATACATACATTTAACAATTTAAATATACATACATTTTACAATTTGCTTAACGTACGTTTAAATGGAAAAAAAAACGTGTTCCCAACCTTCAAAAATTGCTTGCCTTAACCCTATTTACAAGGCTACTTTGCAGAGTTAGGGGTCAAAATACTCCTTTTCTGCGGATACTCTTCCCTAGATTCTACGTTCCCCCTGGTATAAACTGGACCGAGTTCATCAGAAAGGAACCAACCCACGTTAAGTTGAAACTGAGAAAAAGAGGTTTGAAGTTTTATTCCTGCATAAGGCTCAACGTAGAAAATAAACTTCGACCCCTCTCTTCACAAACTGATTTCTTTTTTTCGACTTCTAGTTTTTGGCAGGAGAAAATATACGGCTAGTGGAACTCAAAAACATCCATACCTAAATTTTTTCGGAAATTTGGGTTGGTTCTTTTTAGATGAACTCGGTCCAACTGACAATGGAGATGTTGCATGTGTGAGGAATTTGCGATTTAACTGTTGATTCTTATGTAAAAGTTCGCGAGAAACACGATGGTGCCACTGGTTTTCTCTAAAATCAACTCCCAAGCTCAAAAAAAGCTCTCAAGTTGAGCCCAAAATGGAGGGGATATCTCATTCTACCCTGAGAGTCCACCTCTACATCATGACCAACTCTCCAGCAAAGATAGGGAGCAAATACATTAGCAGGGTTGCCGTGTTTTCAGTTTTGGAGTCCCCAAATCAAGTGGCAGCCCTGTCAATGTATTTGCTCCCTATCTTTGCATGGATAGTTTGTCTTGATGTAGAGGTGTCGGTGGGATATCCGCTCCATCTTGGCCACAACTTGAGAGCTTTTTCTGAGCTTGGGAGTTGATTTCAGAGAAAACCAGTGGCACCATCGTGTTTCTCGCGAACTTTTACATAAAAATCAACAGTCAAATCGCAAATGGGCCTGTTGCAAACTTTTGCTAGAGCAAAACTAAGAGTTGTCTCTTATAGATAATGCCTCAAAAATCACGATGAGCGCATCGGCAAACTCTGAAATGCACTCATAACTTCACAATCTGCGTAAGAAATTTGCGGTTTTTTGAGCTTCCCGCTTCAAAAACGATACTACGGCACAGGTGAACATTTTGTAAGAGGAGTCGTTCCATCGTCGGCAATACTCATCATAGCCGACGCCAATCCGCCAAAACACGTTTGATGGGACGAGATAACACCTGAACTGGATTAGACCAGATAACAATCGGTGTATTAACGTTCATATTTTCCACGCCCGAATTGATTGACCTTGAACTCTCCTTGAATTACGCGCGGAACTGCGTGCAAGCGTCGGCCATGATGAATATCGCCGACGATGGAGCGACTCCTCTAACAAAATGTTCACCTACGCCGTAGTATCGTTTTTGAAGCGGGAAGCTTAAAAAAACGCAAATTTCTTACGCAGATTGTGAAGTTATGAGTGCATTTCAGACTTTGCCGATGCGCTCATCGTGATTTTTGAGGCATTATCTATAAGAAACAACTCTTATTTTTGCTCTAGCAAAAGTTCGCAACAGGCCCATTCCTCTCACATGCAACATCTCCATAGACGACCCGTTTTTCTTACAGATAGACAAGTATCTAAGCGTGAGCAAGCGGATGGAGCTCTCGAAGGCGCTGAACTTGACGGAGGTGCAGATCAAAACGTGGTTCCAGAACCGACGGACCAAGTGGAAGAAACAGCTGGCGTCGCGGCTGAAGATCGTCAATCAGACTCAGGACTCGGGGACCGGGCCCGGCGCCCTCTACTTCTCGCCGCCCCACAACCAGTACTCCTCGGCCCTCTTCTCCTCGGCCAACCCGTACTTCTTGGCCTCCCACGCTCTCGGCTTCAACGGCGGCGCCCCCCTCGACATCGGCAAACCCTCCGCCAACCTCTTCCCTAACCAACTTCAGCTCGACTTCAACAAAGAGTCCTCGGAGGATCCGGAAAATTGACGCGTCCCGGCAGGCGATTATTGCAATTTATAGACAAAGAAGACAAAAGGGATATCGACGGTGTAAGTCGGCAATCACACATTTCGTTTGCGGTGTCTGAATATCTCCGCCTCTATGTTATTTTTTTAAAGAAGAACAAAGTGACATCATTCCTTGGAGTTTACGCAAAATTTTCTTCTTACAGAGAAGACAAATCACGGCAGTTTGAAAGAATTGCCGTTGAGGAGTTTTCCGTTTAAAAAATAAAGTATGACAGGAAGTCTGCGACGACGTCGCAAACCGAGTTGTGTGATTGCCGACTTACACCGTCGATATGGAGATCCTATTGGTGGAGGGGGGTGGTTGCAATGGACAAAGGAGGTACTAACGGCAACCCCACGAGAAACCCTACAGTCAGTCAATCATTTTCTCCCTCAGTCTATAGGAACCACCCATTTTAACCAATAGGATTGCCCATTCTCCCTATGTCTTTTTTGTCTGGAGCTTTGTCTATCAATTTCAATAACCAGCCCGCAGGATGGACAGGGAAGAAACACAGAGCTCGATTGACAAAGGGTATGGATCGAAGCAAGGGCGTTCATCCGATGTAGGGCGCAGGGGTGATTATTGAAATTTATAGACATAGCTATGGACAAAGAAAGCCTCCGAAAGCCGAATGACGGCTTCCGGCAACGCCATGACCAGCAGAGGCATTTCGACGGTGTAAACATAACTTGGTTTGCGACGCCGCAGTCTTCCCGTCATACTTCGTTTTTTAAATGAAAACTACTCAACGGCACTTTTTTGAAACTGCCGTGATTTTTCTTCTCTGTGCGAAGAAAATTCTGCAAAAACTTCAAAAAATGACGTCAGTTTGTTCTCTTTCAAAAAAATAACACATATGCGGAGATTTTCAGACACCGCAAACGAGTTATGTGATTGCCGACTTACACCGTCGATATAGTCTTCTTTTTCTGTGAGCCTCATTGTCAGTCACAGTGCCCCCCCCCCCCTTATTAAATTCTTAGTCCCGTTTTTTGCATTTACACTTCTCAGTAACCTGTAAAGCTGTGCATTGGTGAGAATATCGCCGACGAGTTCATTCTCCTTTCTGAGGGGAAATCCTGTAATATATTACTGTATATTAAAATTGTTTATTTCTTCTGGTCTGTTTTTCTCCTGATACATATTTGTAAAAATAAACTTTATTGGCTTTTGAAAATCTAGTAACGTTGTCATATGGTTGAAATTTTCCACCAAAAACATTTCCACAAAGGCACCGGGGACCCGTAATTTACTGCCGATAATGTTTCCGCATATTGCACCATGTTGCAAAGTCATAGTGCCACACGACTTATCAGGCCCGGATTTACATATCGATGGTGAAACTACCAAACCACGTATCTCGGTTTGCGACGTCGCAGACTTCCTGTCATACTTTACTTTTTAAATGAAAAACTACTTAACGTCCAGTCTTGAAAATTTTTGTGATTTTTCCTCTTCGTGCGGAGAAAATTCTGTGAAAATTTCAAGGAATGATATTGATTTGGTCTACTTCNGGGGGGGGGGGGGGGGGGGGGGGGGGGGGGGGGGGGGGGGGGGGGGGGGGGGGGGGGGGGGGGGGGGGGGGGTGGCAGAAGAATGTGCTCCGGAAAGTTTGAAAATTACTACTACCCACCAACGCAAAATTAGGAGGCCCTTTTCAACAGAAAAAAATGTTTTAAAAAAGTAAAAAAGTTTGAAAAATGCACTAATAGAATATAATTTGCCGGCGTCTCATCAAAAGTTCACATGGAATACCTAAGTACTGTCAGTTAAAAAATATTCTGGCTTAAAATTTCTTCACTATACTTATGAGTGTGAAGTTGCTATTTTTGAAGAAGCGGGGTTACTTTGTTCCTACGAAAAATAGTTTTTCATAACCCGCCATACAATGCTCTGGTTTTTAGCCATCATGATTTTCGAATTTTGAAGATTTGGCTGGAATGATTTCCCCTATTACTAAGTTTCACAAAAACCGACAGGAGCCGAGATAACATTTTAGGCCACGGCCGCCATCTTGGGTTTACGAATTTTGGAAATTTGACTAGTTTGAGTTTTCCGTCGAAAAATACCACGTGATACCGAGTTTCACCGAACTCGAACGAACAGAAACCGAGATAGCATATTAGGCCACGTCCGCAATTTTGGATTTGAGAATTTTTAAAACTTGACTAAAAATTCAAGTTTCCCGTCGAAAAGCACCCGTGCTCTTGCGGTTCACAAAGCTCTATAACGAACAGAAACCGAGATAGAATTTTAGGCCACATCCAACAACTTGGAGTAGAGAATTTTAAAAAATTGACTAAAAATTCGAGTTTCCCGTTGAAAAACACCATGTAATACCGCGTTTCACAAGACTCGAACAAACAGAAACCGAGATAGCATTTTAGCCCACGTCCGCCAACTTCGATTTGAGAATTTTAAAAAATGGACTAAAAATTCGAGTTTCCCGTCGAAAAATACCTCCTGACACCGAATTTCAGAAAAATCCATCGAACAGGAGCCGAGATAGCATTTGAAGCCACTTCAGTCATTTCGGATTTTTGAATTTTGAGTTTTTTGAATTTTGACAGATTTTGATTTAAAACGCGTAATACTCAAAATCGAAGCTCAGATTCGGATTCCTCGTTAGAAATCGATGCAATTTCATCTATCATACCCGAGCATAGCGTGGAGGAAAGAGACGCAACGTAGGCATACTGATTCGAGCATATGAATGCAACGTGGCAACATGGGTAGTGCTCAGTGGGTCAGCGGAGGAGGAAGAATAAGAATTTATCTTGAGGAATTCCTCGGGACGAAACCGAATGCTTAGCGTCATGGCGCCTCCCCGTTTGGTTGCATCTCGGGCCGTTGCGGGCGACCGGCGCGGCGGCGTAGTTCAAAGACAGAATCTATACGCGTCGTTAAACCTTTTTCCTTCACGCTATTCTAACATATGATACATGAAATCTCATCAATTTTTCACGAGAAATCCGAATCTGAGCTTAGATTTTGGATATTACGCGTTTTAATCTATTTAAAATCGTAGGAAAAATTACAGAATTGTCCTTGAAAATTGATCACACATTAGTGTTTTCATACGTCATTAAACCTCTTTCCTTCACGCTATTCTAACATATGATGCATGAAATCGCATCAGTTTTTCACGAGGAATCTGAATCTGAGCATAGATTTTGGATATTACGCGCTTTAATCGCTTTAAAATTGTAGGAGAAATTACAGAATTGTCACAAGATTCACGGCTAAAGATGGGTCTGTAAATTTTCAGAAATGTTGGTAACCCTTAGTATCATCGTGCAATGGATGTGACAATAGCTTCTATGACACTAGCGGTCCCGACTGTACAATCTGACACTTGGCGCCAGCACAGAGACCGTACAATCAGCGGTAGGTGGGCCACTGATGACAGTCCATTTTGCCAGGGAATATCATTGAATGTACAGCCGGACTGTTTGGGTGATTGCAGCTCATGTTCAGGAAGTAGCATTAAGTACCTATGTAGGTCTTGGAAAAGAAATGTCATGCAATGGCTGAGCTCCTAATTCATCGTGAAAAGTGTCCGCTGTTAGCCCTTACAACTACTTAGAGATGCAGAATGTTCCAAGCTTCCATATTTCCCATCACCTGACGCTTTCCATATTTTACTCGTCGGCTGAAGCAGCCAAATAAGTTTATGCACTTGTAGACAGTAAAAGAAGATTGGCAATCTTGATTCTTACATTTTATTTCAATAACCAACCAATGTTATAAGATCTGTCACAGGCTGAAAGAGATGGTGCACCTATTCAGCGTGGACTCAACACAAAATTCCCCACCAAATTTTGTGACCTTTCCCTTCTAGTTTCCTATGACTTTCAACGCTTATAAAGGTTCTCTCTTTTCACATTTGAAATGGTCATTTTCAAGCGGACGGCAGGCCCGAGATGTAGCATTTTCAGCATCCCTGCTTAGAACTTCAGTCCAGAACTTAATTTTGACTGGCATGCGGTAACACTTCCCAGAATTACCAAGTTCAACGATGACTTCTAATTCTAACTTGAAGGTAAATGGCAACACTTACATTAGTAGGTAATCCTAGGGTAACCTCGAGCTCTAGTGCTTATTGCCTCGCTGATCGCTCCTAGAGCGATCTCTAGGAGCGAGAAGCAAAGCAATAAGCACTGGAGTTCGAGGTTACCCTAGGTAATCCCAGAGACAAACAAACAACATTCGACTTCACTTCACTAAAGGGACTCTAGACTTCACCTTTCACTTATCACTAAATCCTAAATCACATTTGAAAACGGAGGGAAATAAAACATAAACACGTTGATGAAGGACCACGATTGTTGTTGTTCGACGAGGAATGGGAAAATGAATTAGAAAATTTAAAATCAATCATGCAACACCGCCGAATCAAAAAGTAAATATAAGCTGCTATCTGTTATCACAAGAAGTTTATTTTTGTATGTAACTGGCAAATTTTTTCACCTTTGATTTTTGAAGTTTGAAGTTAGATATGATTACAGAATTTAAGTAAATATTCTCTGCTCCAAGTAAGTCAGATAAAATAAATGACAGTTTCATCAAGTTCAACGTTCCTGCTTCATGTATCAGAGAAGAAGTGAGAGTGTGCCCAACAGAGCTGATCCTTGATAGCGCAAAGTGTGGACTGGCGATCTTAGCTCCTCACTGTTTTCTGTCTGATTTCACGAAGGATGTGGCCAAATGCTGCCTCTATTCAGCCCCTAACAAGCAGATTGAAAAGGTAATTTTCTTAATTTGTACACTTTCATCAGCGAGTCCTTTCTGTCTCCTTCAGCAGTGCATTCAAATTTACCCATATCACATCAGAAAGATCTTTGAAATTCGTCATCACTGGATCAAGGTAGAAGATGAAAATTATCTTCAGAGGAGATCGTTGTAAAGCTGATGTTTGAAAAGTCCAAGCAAATAGGAGAAAGAACAAATATAGACTCGCTAGCTCTCATTCATCTGCTCCCTCACCTACGTCAAGTTTCTTTCCTGATTTTTGTAATGAAATAGATGTTAGGGAGAACGTCTGTTTTTTTAACTCATCACATTTGCTCACACTCACACATCTCTGAGAGAGGAAAGGGATTGAATCATTTATAAGACAGGCATTCTCTCAAATAAAAGTTGAATTGCAATGTGGATTTGTTTTCTCTGCAAAAATGAAGCATGCACTGGAAGTTTGAATAATTGCAATCGAGCAATTCCTACTTAGCATTCCTGGTCATTGGTTTGATTTTAAATGTACGTAACAGCAGAGAACACGCAGGATCGTATATGGAGGACTTAAAAAGTTGATTTTTTATTACTTGAGAAAGTGAATTTATTCCGGGTGTGGAATTTTCAGTTGAATGTTTTGGCAAGTTTTACCGAAAGAAACAAATTTGTCCGGCAGAATTACATTTTAAGTGAAGGGAAAAATTATTAAACGTCTGTCAACATATGGAATAAGGGCAGGTTAGGGTGAAAACAGATGCAGCCCGCCAAACATAGCCCGGTGGCTTCCTTTTCACCCTTTATTTTCCGCAGTTATTACTAACACACTCTCAAACAATTTCTCAAATGGCCAGGAATGCTAAGTAAGAATTGGATTGAGGCACATGGTTAGGTGGTAGGCCATTGAGTGGATCCCAGATGCAAAAACATTTAAATCATCATTGGCAATCTATCTTGAAACCATGTTTCTGGCTGCATTCATAAGCTATTAATATCTTCTCTGCTTTTCCTTCCCCTGACTCCACTTTACCTTACTTTTTATATTAATTTGTTGCGGTTATTTTCAGAATCAGATGGATGAACTCTGTTTCAAACTCAAAAGTTCGGTACGATCCTACGCCAATTGAGCATATCATGAACATCCTTACTCATGGGGTCAGTATTTGGTATCATTTGTCGTTCCTAATGTATCAAGATGGCAGTTTTTTAGGATGATAAACTTGTAATATTTCTCCCAGTATCCCATTTATCACAAGAGACGAGCTTCCGCAGGATTTCAAGTCAGGAATTAATTAAAAATTATTTCAGCGCAAGTTCATCGGGTGTCATTGTCACTCACATTGTGTGCCTATCAGTGATGTCTTTAAGTGCATAAACTGATTTTGGGAGAATATTTATGTAAATTTATTTGAGACTGTTCCCAATTACCAGAGGAAGAGAAACTTTTATGAGGACTCCCAACATGACTCAGAAATTTCCACCTGAATGCCAAGCCAGTTCTATCACTACTATGCGAAAAATCAGGAATTTTAGTACTATGGTTAAGCGATTGATCAGCTGCTTTAACTTGGCAGAGATTACAGGTCCCCTCGCTTCTTTGGATTATCCCTCCCGCTAATGTTTCAATCAGTCTGTTGCGCACAACAGACCCATCGTAATTTTCGTAGTCTTATAGGTATTACCTTCTAATCTTATATAAAATAAGTATCTACTAACTTTGTTTTTCACAGATATCGAGTCCCACACAAAAGAGATAACTTAGGCTCTTTCTAGCTTTCTGTGCACATTTCTTTTTTTTGTCGACTTTTACCCTCTTTAATTTGTTGACAAAATTTCTTTCTGAAAGAAATACTATGAATCAAACACATTTGGAAAAAGTTGCCAACAAATAATATTTAGAAAGGATACCAATATTACTATGGAAAGCGCCTCTATCTTTCCAAGCAGCAGTCTTGTTCAGTGGCAGTGTTATTTTTTCTTTTACAGTTGGTAATAGTACCTAGTATTTATGGAGGAATTGTATTGGTTCAGCAGTCGCAAAATTTCAGGCAGATTTTCGCAGCTGTTATTTACGGAATCTCACTGGTTTTTATATTCACGATGTCCACACTTTTTCACTTGACTGCATACTTCAACTATGACAAGTAAGTTTACTCAGGAACGTATTACCGAACTACCCACATTTATTTTGCAATTTTGGTAATATGTTAGTGCCAGCTACATTAAGAACAAAAGTAATTGCTGCAAAGTAAATGTTTTAATCTGGCTTGTACATACTATTTTTCAGCAGTCATTATTTCAAGGATTTTATATTTCATAATAAAAATTGAATTATTATTACCTGATTGGAAACATACATGGGAAGTACAAACTGATTTTCAATTGTCTACTACTTAAAATGATATTTTCTAGAGGTACGAAAGTTATACGGATACCCTTATTTCAAATTTGTGTGTTTCAATTTTACTCTCATTGATTTCAGAAAAGTGAAAGATTTTTTTCACCGAGGAGATAGAGCAATGATATATATATTCATTGCAGCCTCATACTTTCCATGGCTCATATTAAGTCCTGCTATTCGAACGAATGAAATAACTCTGCATTTCTGGTGGATAGTATGGTTGTTTGCTGTTGTAGGTGTTATTTATCAACAGGTATTTATAATTTATCATTATCTAATATATTATTATTACCAATCCCTGCAAAACAGACCCTGTTGAGAGCATTTGACGAATTAAAGTCGGACAATTACAAGTTTCCTTCAACTCTGCCGAACTCTCCACTAAATCGTCATTTTTTTTGAGAGAGGTCAGTATTCCCTATTTTAGTCTGACATGACCATAAAAAAGTATTTTTTTACCTCAGAATCTGCTGATGTCGGTGCAAAATGAAAAGAGTCGGAAAATTTACGACATTCTTTTTTACCTTGGAATAAATTCATCTTTGTATTCTGATATTAAAGTAAATTATATACTATTTTAGAGTAAAGATCAAGTAAGTATTTCTTATGAGTAGGTAAGTATGCTGTTAAGAAAAATTTTCTTAATGAACTCTTTAAAACACAGCTTGATAATGTGTTTTTACAAATTCATTCCTGCCATGCCAGGAGAATTTTTATAAAAATAGCGAACTTCAATGGACAATGAAAAAAACTTTGAGGCCAGGCATTTTCTAGAACAAAGTTTACACATAGATACAGTTAGCTTGACATCAGTTCGACAATGTTTGCCCCATGAGCTGGATATGATAGGCAACAAGTTTTTCACGAGCTTTTTAATTATTATTGTTTGTTTTTTTTTGTAGATATTCCATGAAAAATACAAGAGACTGGAAACCTTATTGTATGTGCTTTCTGGACTACTTCCAGCAATACCAATTGTTCGAGCGGTGAGTAAATTTTTCTCATGATCAATCCTAAGTAACTTGTTGGTCTCGTTTTAGAAACATACAAAAAAATTTCTTGTGAGCAAGTGAATTAGAAGTTTCATGGGTTGGTTCACTTTATTGGCTTACATTATTTATTCGCACACTCACAATTTCTGACCTGATGGTTTCAGATGAAAATGATGGACTTCAGATGATGGGCATTTCAGATTCCATCAAAAATCCATCCCCAAGCCAAGTAAATAGCAGAAAATTACTCATGTAAACAGATCATGAATTAAGTAAAATATAATTATTGACCCGGTTGTAAAACTTGAATTTTAAAAATTACTACATAAACTTAAAACTTTTTGGAAAAACCGATTAATATCACTTACTTTCTTATTCTCTATGCACAATGGCCATTTCGGGCAGATAAGAAAGTAAGTGATAATAATCGGTTTTTCCAAAAAGTTTTAAGTTTATGTAGTAATTTGTGTATAGTGCCGATAAAATTTTACAAACCGTGCAATATGCAACAACATAGTGTTGAATTTTAAAATTATAAGATACTCAAAATGAATTGTGAAATTGAAATGAAGAACAAATTTCTGCACTGATATTATCAGTAGGTAGAGGCGGTGTGGTCATACCAGGTAATCTTGTCAGGAGGAGAGAGGGGTTGTTTGCCGGCTGGTTACTTGGCTTCTCAATTGTGTATTTCATTGGTCTATTGTATGTTTTAGTTTTTCGATTTTCTCCTCTGCTTTCAGAGGCTCCTTTATTTGGTTTTTTCGCCCTGGTTTTTAAAATTTTACCAAGCATTCATCCCTACTTAGTGTGGTTATTTCCTCTCAATGATCTCATAGGTAGCTCCACAAAACATCTCAAAAATATATTCCCTAGTTCTAGTCAAAACAGTGACATCATTTTTGACTATAGTTAAAAAATTAGCAGGAACAAGTAAGGTGCTGCCATCTGACGGTCGCTCATCTCACGTTTATATGAGCTGAAAACTGCTCCATCACCATTGTGTTCACTCTCGTGAAAAGAGTTGCTGGAAGTTCTAAAGGAAGCTGAACTATGTAACAAATATTGCCTTTCTTTATTGGTTTTCAGGTGAGAATTGCTGGTTTGGAAGAATTGAAACTTGGAGGTGTCCTGTACCTTTTTGGCGTCTTTTTTTTCAAAAGTGACGGTAAGATTCCTTGTGCGCATGCAATTTGGCACACATTCGTCGCATTTGCTGCTGCTGTTCACTTCTTTGCTGTCTATCATTATCTCTATCTTGTCGCAGAAACTTGATTATTCTTAGAATTTCTTATTAGAAAAGCTCAAAAACTTTCTGTCTGTGATACCTATCATTAAGTTTCATGTTGTTTTACCTCAGATTTTTATCAAAATATCTTTTTCCATCTAGTCATCATAGGGCAGACTATTATATTTTAGTGTTTTATCAGTTAGTCAATTTAGCAGGTTTTTTATTTTGAGCTCCCATAATTGAAAAATGTCATGGATTAAAGCGCTCATTTGCATTATCCTGCTTTCATTGAACTCTATGTACTGCAACAGGTTGACAAATTAGAAAAGAGCATGTGGGCTTAATAATTCTTCAAAGGACTACGTGCAAAATGGGCCATTTGGGGCTCGGGGCGGATACCTTTGAGACTTGCCCTATTCATTCACCTAACAATGCCCCATCTTTTCCCAAAGTTTCAAGCCCCCCAAAAATTTTGGGGAGACGCGGCGGGGGGTCAAAGTTAAAAACCGGCAAAATTTTCGCGAATTTTTTACTCAAAAACCAAGAAGTTTTGGAAAACGCGGTTTAAACAAGCGTATTCAGCGTGACGAGAGCTTTCAGAAAATGTATAACATCATAGGGTTTTGTCAACTTCAGCTCGAGTTATCGCCTCCGAAACGCCGGAACGCTCAAAAAAGACCCCTTATTTTTTCACGTTTGGGCCGATTTAAAAAAAAGCCATTTTTTTATTTTGATGAAAAATTGATATGTTGTTTCTGACTCTCTGTAGCCCCTCTGGCTCTTTACCGCATGCTGGGGACATGTTTTGGTCGCGAGTTATAAGAGCGGAAAGGAGCGAAGGTCGGAAAAATCGGCTATTTTAAACTGCGCGCGCGGCGTTGATCGGAGGGAAAACGTCCCCTCCCACTCAGTTCGGCGAATCACACTCCTCTGCCGACCTCGCATTGTTGCCACATGTCTCCTGATCTGTCGCCGCGCGCAGTTTAAAATAGCCGATTTTTCCGACCTTCGCTCCTTTCCGCTCTTATAACTCGCGACCAAAACATTTCCCCAGCATGCGGTAAAGAGCCAGAGGGGCTACAGAGAGTCAGGAACAACATATCAATTTTTCATCAAAATAAAAAAATGGCTTTTTTTTAAATCGGCCCAAACGTGAAAAAATAAGGGGTCTTTTTTGAGCGTTCCGGCGTTTCGGAGGCGATAACTCGAGCTGAAGTTGACAAAACCCTATGATGTTATACATTTTCTGAAAGCTCTCGTCACGCTGAATACGCTTGTTTAAACCGCGTTTTCCAAAACTTCTTGGTTTTTTAGTAAAAAATTCGCGAAAATTTTGCCGGTTTTTAACTTTGACCCCCCGCCGCGTCTCCCCAAAATTTTTGGGGGGCTTGAAACTTTGGGAAAAGATGGGGCATTGTTAGGTGAATGAATAGGGCAAGTCTCAAAGGTATCCGCCCCGAGCCCCAAATGGCCCATTTTGCACGTAGTCCTTTTAATTTTAATCTGGAACCAGGCTCCAACAATCCTTTCAAGGTATATTCTGAGATAGAATTCAACAAAGCTAATCAATATGGTTTCCTCTAAAAAAGGAAACTATGTATTCTAACATTTTGCTCACTTTCCATCATAGACAGTCATGATTTAAATGTTTATTATCCACTCATGGATGATAAGTTCTTATTCTCTCTATAAAAGAGCCTATCATGATAATAAATAAATAGGTGACTCAAGTCTCACTCCTTGAAAAGCGAATCTTGGACATATCATCTAAAACGAATTTTATTTGAAAAAATCGTAAAAAATATCAATGAACTGCTGGCAGATTTTAGCCTTTTCCATCCATCGATTTTGTTGTAGGTACTTTCATTATATTTTCATAATCGAGGAGTTCTTCGGAACGAGGGCATGTAAGACGTATAATGCTGCTAAGACTGTGCAACTTTATATACAATTAGCAGAGAACCAAGTTACACAAACATGCTAATTATTTTCATAGAAAAATAAATCAAAATGATGAGATTGTTTTCAGAAAAAAATCCGAGCAGGGCTTTCAAACTGTTCAAATGGAAAAGATGCACTAAGTTGTACAATCTTAGCAGCATTGCAAGTCTTATACGCCCTTGTTCCAAAGAACTCCTCAATCGAAATGGGCAATATTGTTCCCCAGTAGTCTGCTTCTACGTCTTCCTGTGGCTGTCTACTTTAATCATAGTATCTTTGATCTGTGTTTTACCTCCCTCAGAAAACTGTTTAGCTCTCATTGCTAGCAATTCTATCACTTTAAATGTTTACTGTATGCATGTATTACATTATTCTAAGAATCTTTATTAGTATGCTCTGGTTCAAAATCTTCTGCTCTTTTAATCTGGCAATGTATCAGAATTATTTTAATCATACATCATCTGCTCAGTCAGGATTTGTGCAAGTTATGTGTAACAAGCAATATTCCAAGTCTGATTATTATTATCAACTACATCCTACTAAGTACTATGCTGGTGTACTTAAATTCATAACTGTTATCCTCATTGCTGATACCAGTAGAGGACCTTTTCTTTGTGCTGCGTCCAATCAGAGAGGACCAACCGCTACAGTATCTTGGAATTTGGCTTTAGTCAAACCAGTCAACTTGGTGTAGGTATCACTCCTCTCACTATCATTCATGTATGTGCACAGAAACATCTTTGACTTGTATACAGTAACTATACCTTGACATGTGCATGTACACTATATAGCCAAGTTCAAAACAATATTGAGCCACGTTTCACCTCTTGTATCGGGCCTTCCATCAGCTAGTGAAATTTATCTTTGAAGTACATGCTTCTGAAGATCATCAGTTCTGTACTTCAAGGTTGAAAAGCTATACAATTGAACCATTGTTGGAATAAGAGCATGCTCTGCATGAAAATAATTTTGTTATGATTCTCTTAGTGTTTTTAGTATTATGTGCCTTCCGTAGTCATATTTCGTGTTTGGATCTACCTGTTTGTCTTTTTAACTGGTAGACAGGGATAGCTTCCCCTTACTCAAAGGAGGGCCTAGTAAGGATTTAGCCCCTCGTTTAATGTTTTTACTCAATGTTTGATATTTCCCACATGAGATAATGGAAATTAACAAGGTCACTTTCTGATGGAATGGAAGTTTTTATAAAAGAAATTTACAACACCAGCGTGGGTATAAGAGCACCGTGACATTTAAAAAGTGAAAGTCGAGTCTTTTTTAGTCAAGAACTTAAAGAGGGAGCTGCCGCTTGCTCTTCTCCCACAAACTAACTTAATTTATTTACATAGATAAATCCAATAAATTTGACAATTCAAATAATCAATAGTTTGAGTTAATTTTCATATCTGATAGAATTATAAAATTGTGCCATTACTAGTTTTACGGATGTGAATGTCAGAAAAACAGCAGCTTCTTTTCAATCAATTTCCATGAGACGGAAGTTATGTCGGTGCAATAATTGTTGAACACTGGAATCAAATAGATTTGGACGGTCTATGTTGTATTGTCAAATGACCTGACATTTTCACTAAAGCGGATATCTTTTATAAATAAATGGGTTTAGAGTATGTAACAAATTAGCAATACTTAGGACGTTTCAGTTACCTCCCTTTTAGCACCTGTTTGCAGTACTTTATTGTATTATTAGTAAATTATTTATTTAAAGATTTTGAAAGCCTATAAATGTGACTCTGTTGGATTACTTGTTTTTACTCGGATTATTTTTTCAAAATTTGATTGTTTTCAACATTGAATTGATCTGATCCGAGTAGTCTAATTAATTGAGTCTATCAAATCTGAGTAGTCTTTTCAGTATATATTGATATTTGCTCCAGGTGGGTTGTTCAAGTTTTGTGTTTTCACCGATTTTATTTAGTAATTTTTTACTCCTTTATGATTCCATCAATTTTTGACCACTTAATGATTTTTCGTCACTGTGTGTGGATTGTGATTTATCGTCAAAGATTTCATGTTGAAAATTTCAATGAGAGGCAAGTTAATGTTTTTGGAAAAGTACAAAGCTTTCCTCTTTAAAATAAAGCTTTGCAATAGCTCAGCTTTTGTCAATTTTTAAATACACACTTGCCCCTAAAATTCTGTTTTCTGTATTTAATTATACGTAGGAAAAGTCCTCCTGCTTTTGTTGTCGAACATCACAATTTCTACTGAGATTATACGACTCATTAGGTATAATAGTTCTCCTGTTATTTTTTACAGGATTAGAAAATTTATTTTCCTCAGATTTTTTTCACCATATATCCATGAGTTTTCCCTTGATTCAGATTTCAAAAAATCTTTGATTCGATTGAGGAAAATCATTGGTGGCTAAAGTCGAAAAATGCATATCTCCACTGTAACATTTTTAAACCTACATCTGAGATTTATTTTTCTTGTAAGAAAAGTAACCAAAATTTTGTTGGAAAACGTTGATTAGTTTTTCTTAAAACATAAAGACATGAGCAGGGATTTGCAATGTCTCAATTTAAGGTATGCATTATTCGACTAAGGACGTCAATATCCATTCAAATCCATGGGAAGAAATAAAAAGTAAAAGAAATAGAAGCACTGTCACCATGAAGTTAAGAATTGAAAGAACGATACATCAAGCCAGGGGGTTGACTTTACCGAACGGTTGAATGGATGCAAATGTGACTTTTAAAAGAAGTCAAACCAGGAAATATAGCAGAAGCACTAATTTAATAAAGCAGTACAGTTATACTCAAGTCATTTAAACAGTTTTGAAAAATTAAGTAACGAAATTCTCAATTAATAACAAACAAATGTTTTTATTTACAGTTTAGAGGTAGATAGCCGTATTAGTATTTTATGTTTCGTTTTTTCCCCCCCAGCTGAAACGCATTTACAATGTAATGTCTAAAACTAAAGTTGACCAGCTCATGAAAAAGAGACAACATTTTAACATCATAATTTTCCTTCCTCTTCTTACTTCAATCCAGCCAGTAGGTGAACAATTTTTTTTTTTTTTTTTTTTGGCCTTTTTAGGTACCTAAAAATTCATTAACATTATTTATTTTAAAACATTTGAAAGTAGGTAGCCTGAGTGAATAGTTTGTCACTTATTTTTGAAAGGAATCTAAAAAAGTCCAAGTTGGGCTTCGTAAAACTAGATCCAAAATCTGAATCTACGCTAAAAAAGGTCTGGTTCTAAACTGGGTTGTTCCTTAATTGGTCGCACTCATTCAAGAGGATTCTAAAGTGGGAGGGTTTTCATTGCTAATGGACCTCTTTTGCATTTAGGTAGTCAATTAAAATTTTCAGACTGAAAAAAATCGCTCAGTTAGAGAATTTTCCCTGGAGACTTCGCTCATTTCAGCCAAAAAACTGCCACATCAAGAAAACAGCTAAAAAAAATCAGGCTGCAGTAGGGGCCTTCTCTGCAAATCCAACTGTGCTTAGCTCTTAAGACCAAAAAATGCCAGAGTCTTGTTTAGTATGTGTCGGCAATAATTTAAGGTGACACTTGCGGAGAGAGCAAGGAAGCAGGGGGCCTCTCTGCGGAATGGCACATTTTACCATTTTCGTAGAATACCAGCTCTCCAGCCTCTGGCTGAAATGTGCCAGGTCTTTTCTAAGGGAATCATCTCCAGAAACACTGAAATTTTGCTTTCAGTGTCAATGATTAATACATTTCATTGTTCAGATGCCGAGTAATTTCTTGAGATTTCCTCAGGAAATTTTACTGCAGATGTTTCACTCGCCGATATAGACAGGCCGTCGGTTCTCATTGAAAGCTTTGAGACCCTCAATTCGATCTTTAGTAGGAATGACGCGTTCATAGCAAGCACCCTCAATTGCTAATCCAGAGTTGACATCAACCTCCGATCCTCTATTGATGGCCATTTTAGCCAATTCAACCGCTATTGGCCCATTCGCTGTTATTGCACGCGCTATTTCAAGGGCTTTTTGGTAGGCTGCATCATCAGTTGAATTCTGCTCCACTAAATGATTGAAAATACCCCGTGTGAATGCCTCCTCTCCATCAATTATCTTCGCTGTGAATATCATCTCTTTGGCAAACGCTGTTCCAACTAAACGTGGAAGTCTTTGCGTTCCGCCTGCACCGGGTATAATGCCTAACTTCGTCTCCACTAAACCTACTTTACTATTCGTGGCACCAGTGCGGATGTCACAAGCTAGCGCAATTTCAAGTCCACCTCCGAGAGCAACGCCATCAATCGCTCCTATTACAGGAATGGATAAATTTTCAAATTTCGAACACATCGTTCTCAATTTTTTAACGAATCGAGAAACCTCTTCATTGGATAGTTTTAGTCTTTCTTTCAAATCAGCTCCTGCACAAAATACTTTGGGAACAAGACTTCTTACAACTAGCACTTTGGCTTCCTTGTCACCTTGCAGATTGTCGAGAGCACAGTCCATTGCATAAGTCATTGTTTTATTCAAAGAATTACGTCCTATTGGTCTGTACATACCCATGACAACGATACCTTCATCCTCACCTTTCAAGCGGTCTACCTCCAATTCGCAAACAGTCGAAAAAGCTCTCAGCCGAGTAACTAGTGATTTCGAATTGCGCATTGAACGTACAATTTGTGAGGGGTTCATTATAAAATTTCTTCGCGACTGAGAATTCCAGCACACACGCGACTTTCCGAACTGCGAAATCAAGTCTGTTTTAACTTTGAGAAGTTGATATTATTCCTAAGGATCCAAGCAGGTCTCAAGTTCAACACCAACTCACTGATAACGATAACCGTTCGTTGATAAGAGATGCGGTGTTTAACCTCAAAGTTTCACATGATGGTTATTTTATGCTGAGGAGCTAGTGGCGATCACAAAAGATAATGAAACGTTTCACTGAACTTTTACTGTAACTGTCTCAGCAATATTATTTCCCGTTAATGTGTTCAAACTACCTGCAAGAATCCCAAAACAAAGTCAGAAATCTTTTATGGCGAAATGTTTTTGTTTTGATGACATCGAGGTCCAAGGGGTGGAAAGGGGGAAGGAATCAGCTGATAACAGTGACGTCATTGACTCAAGGTTCCCGCGATATTTAAAATGACGGCGCGTTGTGTTTCGCTACTACGGCAACGAGCAGGAACTCGTCAAAACAAAACCTGAGTATTCCAGTTGACATTTCCTATCTTTCAACCACCAAACATAATAAATGGTCTCACTCTATTCATTTTCACGTAATGCGGTTGAATACTTGAATGTGCCAACCTTGTTCTCAAGGATCTTTCACAGATTTTAATTAGGATGATATCCTGTGCTCCTTTCCCTGTCGGTGTTCTCTGTGTTTCCAATCTCAAAAAGTTTAACTCGTTTTCTGTTTTTTTGTTCCAACTAATGCACCATTTAGACTTCAAAAGTGAGCAGCAGAAGCTTTTCCTCAATCGGAATTGAATGGCTTGTCCTTGAAATAAATAGTGCAGACCATGGAAAAACTTGGCTCTGCCTGCAATAATTAGATGGAAGATAAATGTCAGTCTGTTGGAACATGGGTGAGCCCAAATTCAACTAAGCCCTTAAATTTTATCTGAAAATGGATTCTCCAAACGACAACTTGCCTGAGTGGTTGCAAGAACTATCAAAGTAAGTTATGATTTTTTACTGTTTCTTCATTTCTCTGCTCAATTGTAATTTATCCTCCCCCCCCCTCCCCTCAAATTTTTATTCGGTTTTTTTCTGTGCAGCCTCGAAGGTCTTTTTTGGCTCTAAAACCTACACTGTACCTAGTTAGTATGAGGTTTACTTGTTGGTTCAACAGAATTTCTCTATTGATCTCCCCAACGACTCCAAATATTTTTAATTTGGAAAGTGCAGAACTTTGTCTTCAAAGCCAGATTTATTTTCAGTTTTTTTTTTTTTTTTTTTTTTTTTTTTTTTTTAAAAAAAATTGAGGGTATTAATATTTTTAAAATTTATTTTTATACAGGCAGTCTTCCGGAGTTAGGCCAGCTTCCTTCAAGTCACCTTTAATGCCCAAAACCAATGAAAGGCTGCGCAAAAAAAGAGCTGTTACAACTCCTGGTCGTTTCAGTTCCATGCCAAGATCGAACGATAGGAAGACAGACCTTCTGAAACTACTTCTAGACAGCCATAACGATGGGAGTGACATGGAAGATGATGAAGTCAATAATATCATGAGCCGAGATCCTGATGAAGATGATGATGATGATGTTGAGTTTGGTTGGTCGAAACGAGTTCGAGAGACGTCTGCCCGTTATGGGAGAAGATCGGTGGCCTCTAATTCCGTGCCCACATCAAATCAAAATTCTCCTTGTAAACAACCGCTCGAGACTGTGGGTCAAGATTTCTGTAGCTTGAATCTGAATTGCGATGTCAAGAAGATCAAGCAACCCGATTTTTCATTGTTTTCTCCACCTCCAAATATCAGCAAGCACTTACTATCGCCAAATGAAAAGTCGCTTGAAGAATCCTGGAGCTCTCTAAGTTTTTTCAATCGAAAACAAAGAGGTCGTCTTTCAAGAAGAAAAAAAGGTACTCTTATTTTTCTGTAAGTTTTTATGCACGTGTCCCTCGATGATTCAAAATGTAAGAGGATAAGGACAAAATGTTTCAAAATTATCAGTCTTTGTATTCCATGAAGCAGAATTTACAAAAATAGGAATTTGATGGCAACAAGTTCACAATCAGTTAGCTATGTTATGAGAACATACAAAAATAACATGGGTACTAAAAATTCAGCTCACAATTAGTTGAGGGTGAAAGCAGGGAGATTGATTTCATTTGAAATTGATGAGCCCTATATGTCATTATTTTTACCTCTAAACAAGCACAAAAATACGATCATATCCTCAGGAGCTCTATTATCCTAGTTTGATTTTTGTCGAAGAAGCAACCAGAATCATCTATGTATTAAAAAAAAGAATCAATATCTTGGATCAGTGAGATCTGGAAATCTATTGGGCCAATTCTCACGATTTTTTTTTCTTTTCTAATTTTTTGATTCATAGCAATGTGTATGAAGATTTGCCAAATTCGATCAGATTCGAATCTTTGACATTCCTTGATATTTTTATTAAAAAGTATGAAAGATTTCATTTACGTGCAGGCATTACAATCCCGTTTTCTTTCTGTTATAGCTTTATGCAATCTCTCACTCCCAGATCCTGCCACCCCTCTCGCCTCCTCCTACCTCTCTCTCCTGTCGAGGTCGTAAAAATTTTTCTGGTTGCCTCAAGATATTTCCTTGGGGGGGGGGGGGGGGGGTGAAGATATTTTTAAGGCCTTCTAAAATCTACTCGGGGGGTTAATAAGTATTAAAACTTTGAAATATTTATAAAAAACTCACGCTTTCACTTCGAGAAGTGAATCATACATAAGGGCTTTGCTATATGCTTGGAAAGTTCAAGTCAGTTACAACAGCGAGGGCGTATGCCACGAGTCACCCCATCCCTCTATTTTTCGTATCATGTAAGTGTGATCGCTCAGATTACTTTTTATTTACGCTCGAAAAAATGATCAGTTCTTCTAATGAGATGGTACAAAGTAAAACTCCTCTAATATTTTTCTTTTTTTCTCTGATCCATCTAGTTCCCTCTTTAAATTGTTTCAAAGAAGAAAATAAAAGATATCAAGTTTTTAAACGTTATCTTTCACAACCAATCGAAGAAGAAACCTCCTTTCTCCATTTATTCATTCCTTTGTCCCAATGAATATACATGAAAGGACGGAGAGGTATATGTGTCTCCTTTTTCTTTATTTTTACAGAACTGAAACCAACTGATATTGAAGCTAGCAGAACATTAGCCGAGGAATCAACTGAATCTTCAAATGAGGAGGCGGTATCGGAGAACGATTTCATCATACCAGAGCTGCCAAGTGGTCAAGAATTAGTAATTGATATAACCAGCACATGGGGAGATAAACACTATTTGGGTCTCAATGGAATTGAAATTTTCAATTCCGATGGAGAGCAAGTTAAAGTTCAAAAGGTTTGTTTGCCTTATGTATCTTGTCGTTTATCGCTGAGGCTACGTGTTTCTAAGTTTTGTGCGATTGACAAAAACAATTTTACTATAAAAACTCAAGAGAAGTTTGACTTTAGTTCCTTGTATGTAGAAGCGCCGATTTTGGTTTTTAGGCGGGCTCATATATAATATGTCAGAGAAAATCATGAAAACCTCCAAAAACTAATCGAAATAGACCAAAACTAGTAGAGGCATTAGTAAAATATTTTATGTTTGAGGGAAAGGCTTATTTCCTCCTTTTACTTAGTGTGTATGTAAATAGAATATACTACTGCTTCATAAAAGCGTTTTCTTGCATACTTCTGAAACTGATGAGGACTGACATGGTGTGATGTAAGCCCTCTGGGGCAAAGTAGTTCTGCTCTGTCGTGTGTTCTGACCCTTATCAACCTTGTGTACTGGCTGAGGAAAATTTGTGTACCAATTTTTTTTTTACACTCGTAAGGTACAAGAGCGACAGAAAACTTTTAAGAATGCTAATGGAAATATTGTCTCTTCGATTTTATTTTTGATTGGTTTCTTGAACTTCACGTATGTTGGAAATGGCACATAAGATCTTCTCCTGTCTGTGAGGGGCATGGTTAAAAATGAGTAGGTGAGGTAATTAAATTTGAGTAGCTATGAGGAGCACTGCAGTTACTTCACACGCTATTGCATGAAAGGCAGTCCTTTGATCGAAGGAATGGGTATGAGTGATCTATATCTGTACAGTAATTTAATCTTTAGGAGCATTGAAAAATACTTTTTCTTCTTTTTTCAGATTTCAGCAGATCCAGCAGATATCAATGTTTTACCCGAGTATTGCAAAGACCCAAGAGTCGTGGGTAACCTACTGGATGGAGTCAACAGAACACATGATGATATGCATCTTTGGTTGACTCCGTACTCAGAAGGGGAGCATCATTATGTATATATAACATTCTCACAAACTGAAACGATAGCGTTAATCAGAATCTGGGTAAGTATTTTACAATATCAATCAATATTTTACTTATTAATTTAAATGCTATTCCAATAAGTCTGCATCTGGCATGTACGTTCATAAGTACCTACATCTAAAGATTACAATTTTTTTTTTTAAAAATAAAGGGAATGTGTTTCAAGACCCTGCGTTCTCTATTTTGAAGCTAAATTCCTACTAATTGCAATTGTTTCACATTTCCTGGTTGCTGTCTCAAACAAAATTTCTTGAGCCTGCATTTTTCTGTTCATTACTTCATCTACGCTTTTCTAAGGGCACTGACTTGCAGCTTGCAACCTCCTTTTACAACCAGGGCACATGGAGAGCCAAGAAACCTTTTTGGTACTTCTTCAGGTCAATGCATGTGAAATTTCCATAAAAGAAAGCCTAAATAGAAAAAATAAAAACCTTTTCTTCCAGAATTACAATAAATCACGTATTCACTCATACCGAGGAGCAAAAGATATGGTCATCTTCCTAGATGGTGTCATGATTTTTCAGGGCGAAATTGCCAGAGCATGTGGAGGAATACTTGGCTCAGTGGATGCATTTGGAGATGTAAGTCATTTGTGTTGCCTTTAATATATTTTACTAAGTTTTGGTGATGAACCTAAAAAAAGCATTATCTGAAGCATCATTTCCCTTGTAAAGTTAATACATTTCCTACCATATTTTATTTTCAAAGAACTTTTGCATGATTTTTTAAAAGATATTAGGAGAATTTTCATCATCAAATACGATACAATTTTTGAAGCAGGAAATGCCAAGTGATGCCTATATTCAGTGATTATCTCAACCCGTCAGAGGTGAGAATATATAAACACTAAAATTCACGAGAAAATGGAAAAGGGGATGAATTCATATTGCCGAGAACAGGTGGGAAAGAAAATGGCGTCCACCGCCATTGGAACTAAATTATTTTACAAGTTGAGCCCATACTAATTATAAAACTGCATCATGCATGTAATTTCTAATCTTAAAAAACTTTAATTGAGAGATTGTTTGCTATCAACAAATGAAAGTAGGATTTTTTGAGGTGTCGCAGAGAATCAATGATGTTTGTTGCCCCTACTGATTTGATTTATCAGTTCACCCTGCGAATCAATTAGAAACTTTCAATCGTTGGAATTCACAGATATCAGAAGAGACTCTCAGAAATGTTACAGATGATGAAAAAAAATTAACATTTGTGGAGTATATTACAAAAATGTATCATGAGTATTTGATTTTAATATCTGTCTTTAGCAAAAAAAAAGAGCAAATCAAGCAAATACATTTTGCAAAACCTTAGGAAATAATGATGTTGAATTATTTTACATTCTTGCATGAAATAGGTAAGTGTGACTGAAATTTTATGATTTTTCAAGAAGGTTACAAGCACCGTAACTCAGTTTAGTCTATCTATGTTTTGATAAATCCTTGTATTGTCTTGGAACCTGAAAGATAAACTTTGCAGGAAAAAAAAACAACACAATATGATGAGCTGTCTAAAATTTTATTTTTATTTATATATTGGCCTATGTATGTTCAGTTTTCTTGTTTGTTTCTTTTCAGACAATACTTTTTACACTGGATGAAGACATATTAGAAAAAATATCTCAGAACGATTCTTCATATTCAATTTTCTTTGAGGAAAATACCTCTGCTTCCATTAATCAACTGCATATCACTAAAAGACCACTAACAGCTGACACTGCAGTAAGTATCAATGTAGTAAAATTTTTCTCTGATACGGAAAGCACACTCTCTTCAATTGCTGTTTTTTCTTCATACTTGTGGTCATTAATTAGGAAATAATTGTGGCGAGACACTTAGTTTTTTGCTTTTTGCCCTCAATAGCTGCATGTGTCAGAGCGTTTTCATGGTCTCATTTTTCAAACCCTTTTTGTTTGTCTAATTAATTGAGAAACCGTTTCAGAAAATTCTAGTTTTTTGGCTCATGGAAACAGTTTCTCTCACATTTTCCTTTTTTTATTTTTGTATTTGTCACTATTCACAATGTAAGTGTAGCAGCGAAAAAATTCAAAATTAGTCTAGAATTCATATCCTTGCATAGAGGAGTATTAAATGAACATGGGGTTCAGAAATATCGAGTAGTATTTGATCAATCTGGAATTAAAACGATTTGAAGTAGGCAGTTTTGCCAATATCGAATAGAGTTGTCCCTTTTTTCAAATCCGTAATTATTTTTCTTGCCATATCACCATTAATTGTCCTAATTTTGTCTCGTTTATTCCATCATAGCAACAGGACGTCCGACCTTTGACCTCTGCTGAAGCAATTCCATTGGAAGTTGCATCTGCAGAAACACCCGCTCACCAGTTGACAACTTTCGCAGAATTGTCACCAGTCTCGCCATTACCCTCTCCAACAACTTCAGAAATTAAAGCAGCAAGCCCCTCTCTGACAGTTGAGCAGTTGCGCATAGATCTAATTGAGAACTGGGGGCACTCGATGACAATCGGTCTAACAGGCATCCAAGTTGTGTCGGATGTGGGAAAGTTAGTTCCTGTCGAAAAGATCACCTGCAATCAACCGTCCTCTCAGATTGAAAGGTACCCAATAATAGATATAATGACTCTGAAAATAGGGTCTAAATGCAGTGTCCTCCTACTGACACCCACAATTTTTGACAAATTTGGAAATCAATCTCCGTAGATGGTACGATCAGTAGCAATCATCACCGAACCAATTGTTCAAGAAACGGACAAGGCTATTTTTTTATTTTATCCAATTTGACCGATGTCTTTTAAAATTTTCTCTATCTGGTCTCATACTTTTTTCTGTGTGAATTTTTTTCCTGGAATATTGAACAAGAAATATTGAGGTCTAAACTAGTGCTCCAATGGGTGCTATGCGATGGGGAAAATTCATCTAAAAATGTGAAGATCTAGTCAAACATGGCATCTAAAAAATTTCAACCAAGATTTCTGTCAAGTCTCTTCTTTCGATCTAATCTTAAATGTATCACTGAAAAGTTACATGACTCCTGGAAAATTGCGTTTTGTTTATAACAATTAGTTTTCCTAGTCAAATGTCCCCAAAATTAATTTCTCTGGGGTGATATTACTAAGTACTCGGAACATAGTATCTAGGTCAATATTGTATTGTTACTGGAAGACATAGTTTGCTCCCGTTTTTTTCCAGGTTAATTGATGGAGAGCTCATGACAACAAATCCTGATCATATGTGGTCTACAAACCACTCAGAACTAGCAAGAACTTTCATTACTCTCCACTTCAAGGTTCCACAACAGGTCTCTGCTGTCATCATTTGGAATTACAATGCTTCTTCAGACTTAACTTTTTGCGGGGTAAGCATCCTTCCAAATTTAACTTTTCCTCTCTTTTTTGCCTTAATTTTATAAGGTCTCACCTCTTTAGCTCATGAACATCATTCTATCGACGTAGACTGATGAAGAATTTTTAAACCTCTTAAACATAATTTCTCTATTCGATTGAAGTTTTTTCATAGGATTGTTGTAGGGAAAAAAAGTTGTCTTTTGTTTGCAAGAAATTTTGTTTCAGAATATAAGTGAACTGCTTTGAATATCACTATCTATTATTGAGTTTTATCACTAGGAGACCCGGTAACTTACTTACACACTTGTATGTTCAAGGACTGTGGTAAACAGTTTTAGTAACGAAGATTCATTGAATAAAGGTATTTCTCTGTTCCCTCTCCCCTAAAGGGTTTTTTCTCCTTTTTCAAGCATAAATCATCCCATCTGGAGTGTTTTGTTTTATAATGCAGGTCTTATTAATCGTTTAATTTTTGAATGATTCCTGTAGGTCAAATCAATATCATTATCGGTAGATGGTTGTATCTTGCCAAATCGAGAGTGCATTTATCTGCGACGGGCTCCTGGAAACTGTCACTATGTTTATGGTCAATGTATACCATTAGTATTTAATGTTGACTTAGACGCAGTCTCAGCTCAAGCTCCATCTCCTTTTATGTTATCTCCAAGAAGTGAGTCCTTCAATTGTTACCTCCTGTAAATCCATAATTAGGGTGGCATGCACAGAAATCTAGTTTTGTTCACTCTTTACTTTAGTTACCCTAGTTATCTAAGTTACTAAGTTTGAAAAAAAGAGTTAAGGCACGCTTACCTTTTCCCTGTCCGTTTCAATCATGGCAGGGTTCTTAGCAACCTGAAAAACCGTGAAAAGTCAGGGAATTATGATGTTGGTCAGAGATTTTTTTGATTCTGAAGCGCGCCTTTCGACCCTTCAACCCAAGCCTGAGTGTATATACACGAGGTCAGGAAAGTTTATCATGGAGTCAGGGAATAGTCAGAAAAAAGCCAGGGAACGGCAAAAATGATTCGGCTAATGACAGTGTCATGGGTTCAACGGTTGGTCAAGTAAAAGGCGAGTGAAAAAAAATAAAGTGTATGCTTCTGCATAATTATTGTGATGTTGTCCTCTCTCTCAAGTTGATAATGGGTCTGTTGCACGAAGGAGATATGTCAAAGAGCAGACCCATAAAGATAAGATTGCAATTTTATATATTTACCTATTTAATTATTTATTTTCCAAAATTCATTTCTAGGCGTACTTGATGATGACTATGAGGCAGTTCTGCCGCAAGGATTTGTTTATCAATTTCTTTTGCTATCAACATGGGGTGACGATTATTATATCGGTCTAAATGGTTTGCAACTATATGACATCGATGGTAGGATGATCCAGCTGAATGAAGCAAGTAAGTTTGATCTCCGATTTTACAATCTAGTGTAAAAATAAAGTTTGACATAATTTTACTCGTGAATAGTCAAAACCATCTAGATGCATAGATATAAAATCTATGACAAAAATGATTTTACTGGATGAAAGAGACTTTGGAAAATCTCTCTTTGAGAAAACTGTCTTCTTGTGCTTGGAAATGCTTGTATTTTACATACGAGTGTTGTTTTAAAACGAGTGTTGAGAAGTTCAGCAATCTTTACATTCTCTTGAGCACTATGTCTCTGAACAGTCTGAAGGGCCGTTCGTAAGTACTTAACGCTCAAGGGAGGAGGGGGTTCTTAGTCTGTGTTACAGGTGGGTTACAGGAGGAGGGTATGTAATGTTAAAATGGGCGTCTGGAGGTGACAATTTTTCATCCAAAATTCATCATAAAATGCCAATTCAAGAGGGAGGATCTAACTGAGTGTTATGTAATCTACTCAGAAGGTTGCAGATCTTTGTTACAGGTGCATTACAAGAGGAAGGGAAATGAAAAAAATTCAATTTTTAACGATACTCACTTTATGAATGGCCCTCAATAGCATTATCTGTATTTCATTTGGCAGTGTTTATTGAAAAGGCACAAAGCGTTATCAGCTGTTGTCAAATTTTAATCTTTCGACTCTCTTATTTTTCAGATGTGAGTGCATATCCACCTAGTGTCAATATTTTAGAAGGAGTTGAGAATGATGTACGCACAGCTGATAAACTTATCGATGGCGTCAACGATAAATCTGATGGTAGTCATTCCTGGTTAGCCCCTGTACTTCCAGGAGAGGTAATTTGAATCACTGTAGATTCCTCAATGGAGTTTTTGCTTCCAGTTAAATTTTTGTAAATAAACCAACCCATTGCAGGCAGATTACCAAGAGACATGAAAGTTGTTCCGGTGAAGTGTAAAATAAACTCTCAATTTACTAAAATCATCTGAAGTTCTACGCTAATAGTAGCCACAGCACTGCTTACATGTGGAGTTAGCTGTTTAGTTCATCAATTACTCTATGGTTGTTGCCATATTGGTAAAATAATGAAAGAATGAAATCCGATCTAAAGTCATGAAAAGAAGGTAACAAACTGTGTGCTCTAACCAGCAGAGACAACTACAATGAACAGAAATTATCAACTGAAACTTTTATTAAAAAAAAATTTCTAACCCATTTTGAAAGCTTGTAGTGTAGGGAAAGCTCAAAGAATAGGTACCCCAGGGATGTGTGTAGTTCCTGTTTTTCAACACCCGAGCTTCTCATTTGAAATTTATTTTATTTTTCGTAAGAAAAGTTGGTGATATTTTATTAAGGGTTGAGAGATGAAAGTTAGTCTGTAAGCTATCTAATCTTTTAGTTTGGTTTTAGGACTTGAGTGGTATTTACGTAGGTTAAAATACACTGTTCAATTTTTTAAACATTTTTTATAACCTCTTCTCCTCTATGCATGTGTTTTTCTTTTGCTTTTCTCAATTCCATGACAATTTAAAGTGTGAAAGAAAAAATTACTCGTCGGGAGGAACAGGCTATAACATTTTTTTCAAAAACTCAGCTCTTTTCATCTGTGACACTGGACTGTGTGCCACAACACATCAACTACCAACTGATTATTAGGTCAGTTTCTGTTCAGTGTTCAGTGTGTCAGTTCTGTTCAGCTCTAATAATACTCGTTCAGAGGATTATAAAGATTCTCAAAGAAATTTCAAGCTGTATTTTTTTAATAATTATCATCAGTCAAAAATATGTTGATGAATCAAGTAAATCAGATGTCTTTCATTCTCCTTCTTCATACAAGGACAGCTTTTTCTTCCCATAGAAAAATTACTAAGCCTGATCTTTGATTCTGGTTTTTTTTTATTTTTCCAGTTGAATCGAGTCTACATCATCTTCAGTGTTCCGATCTCTATTTCCATGATCAAATTATGGAACTATCGGAAAACTCCTGCCAGAGGTGTGAAAGAATTTGAGGTAAGACTTCTTTCAGAGTCGAAGCATGTCTTTGGAAGGGTAATTACCGTTCCTCACCTCTTAATTTGAGTTTTATTGACTTGAATTTTAAGTGGAACTTTTGATTATATTATACATAAAGCATAAGGCATCACATGCGTTGCTTTGATCCATAAAAATCAACCATACCAATACAAATGGGCAAAAATTTAAAAAAATGAACTACACGAATAGAATTCATGCATTTTGAATTTTATCGTGTTGATCAAAAACTGTAGGACATTCAACCTCTCTGTCTAAAAATGTGGGCAAAGGCTTATGTTATCAAAAACTTACACATGTAAAATTATGCTGCCCCATCAGAAGTATGAGAAGTATGAACCAAAAAAGTATCTATATCACTCTCCTTAAACATGACGTTATTTCCAGGTTTTACCCTGTTGTTATTTTGCAGATTCTTGTGGATGACCTACTAATCTATAATGGCGTCCTGGATGTTTGGTCTAATAATAGTGCTGTCAAGCCGTTTCGCACCATAGTTTTCAGCCCAAATCATCAAGTTACTAATGAGGAAAAATCCACTATTTTAAAGTAAGAATCCAAATATTCGTCTAACTTTCGATAATTTTCTCATTTTTATTTCTGAAAATCACTCATTTCATGAGAATGGTTGTTCCAGTAAAAATCTAGTTTTCTTGCATATCCCTCGACTGCTTTTCACACAATCTTGGGATTTTCATGAAGCTGAGTGTGCCTGACTTGTGACTTTTTACCGATTTGAATATCTCTTTTTTTTGGAAGGTAAATCTCTCTTCGCAACAGTTCCAAGAAAGAAAAAAAAACGTTGTTTGCCTTTCTAGAATATCTTTTAAAGCAAAAAAAAATTTATTTTGCTCCTACTAACAAAATCCTCTCTTAGTTACCAAAATATACTCCTCAATTTTTATTCAGTAATGCTATATTCACTGGAGCAAATTGCTCGGCCATCTCTGTTTGTCCCTCACTCCTTTCAGTGCAACATTCCCATTTCATATACAATAGTGGTGTTTGTTTGCATGATAATCAGTTCACTCCTATGAAAGATATGTAACACCTTGATGCCAAAATTAAATGAAATGGAAAACCTGAAGAATATGACTTCAGTATATTTCGGCAGATAGAGCCAGAAGGAACAGTTGGAGTTGTAGAATCGAATTCTGCTCCTATCACTTTGCATTGGTACTTACTATATGATGCCAGTGCAGTAGTTATTATGGTCTATCTTGTTCTGTTATCAAAGGAGTTAGCAGTGTTGTCCAGGTTGGAAGCTTTCTGTTTCGCAGTATATTCTCACATTTGTATTAACTATTTCCAGAGCAAATGATGCACGCTGTGATGTACAACTGTTGAACGATCTACGGGTGACCTCCAGTGGTTCTCAGGTGACCGCTGATCAGTCTCAACGTCCTTTTACTTCCTTGATTATATCGGCTCAAAACAAGGATGTTATGAATTTGTGACGAATTCCCTTTACCTTTCAGGTACATAATTTCATGATTCTCTGTACAGTTGAAAATGCAGTACTCCTGAGAGTAGTAGGCTGATAGTAAGTGTAGTTGACTGTAGGCTGAGCAGCTGGATTGAAACAGCTCTAGGATCAACATTTTCCAGACCGAAAATTTCAATTTCTTTTCAGCTCTATAAGTGATTTTTTTTCTCAGATTAAACTGAATACAGGTAATTAAATACAGTGGTTGTTGAGTGATTTTTTTGTCTCAAAGCGCAGGAAATCTATGAAAAATTGACTTATTGTTTTAGTTTATCCCCGAATTATTAGATTTTGATGTGAGAATGAATATGGCATATTTTTATTCAAAAACCATTCTATATCATTCAAAACTCACTATAGTCCATTTCACAAAACCTGAGACTTAATTCGGCCTTAAAATCCGTGAATGGCAACGCACATGTCTCGGCCGCGATGGCCGGACCGCTCACCGGACACCCTCTATTTTGCAACGAAAAGAGGACCGCAACCAGTTCATTGTCAGAGTAGAAACAATAAGCACCCTTCATCTCTCCTTAGAGAGCTGTAGCACCCGGATCGAAATTTTTTTGCTGTCAAAAAATTCATCTTTTAGTGTGAAAATTTAATTCCAGCGTGAAATTATGATAAAAGCGCCCTACAATTCTGCCCAACTGTCTTAATTTTGAGCCAATGTACGATATTTCGTGGCAAATTGCGGTCATATGCAAAGGACGTATAGTAGCTTAAAATTATAATTATTTGACGGAATTTAAGTGCTCTTTCATCATAAATTCGTGCTGGAACTAAAATTTCACGTTATAAGATGAATTTTCCAAAAAAAAAAAAAAAAAAAAAAAAAAAATTCGGTCCGGACACTGGATTTCTTTAAGGAGGGTTGCAGGGTGCCCATTGTTTCTACTCTGGTAATGAACGGGTTACTGGCCTCTCTTAGCTGCACAATAGAGAGTGACCAGTTTGCAGTCCAGCCATTGCAGCCAAGTCTGTTGTGTTGCCATTTACAGATTTTAATGCCGAATAAAAAAGGCTCAGGTTTCGTGAAATGGACTAAAGCACATATATTGATATTGTGTTGATACAATTCACTGGCTTTACTCTCCAGTGTCCTTTGGGTCTGTCAAGCCAGAGTCAAGCTAAGGATGTCAGAGAGAAGAGTGGGCAAGACTTGTCCGTACAATATCAGTTTAAGCGTGAGTATTTACATGGTTTTTGAACCTTTTCAGTATAATTATTATAGATTTCTATTTGGATACTCTAAATCTTTTAAAGTGATTTTTCAACTAACAATAAGATATGTAACCGATTGCTCAACCCTTTCCTCATGATTTCAAGGAATTAAGTGTATATTCCCTGAATCTCAATTTAAAAGTAATAATTGCGACTTTGTTTGTTTCAGGTGTACAGTAATGTTAATGCTATTGCCAAAATTTTAGTGCCAGTTGCCTGTTGCCAACTTTAATGTAGATTTTAAGCAGAAATGAATGAATGTGTGATACGGAAAAGTAAATAAAATAATTCATTAGCCACAATTTTTCTTTTCTTTTTTCTGTTTTTTTTTTAAAGATTAGTTCAGTTAAATTCTGCTCTTCTCTGTCAATAAAAATCGAAATTCCTCCTGATTTTTCATACGCAACTATGCAGAAATTTTTGGAGAAAAAAGAGAAGTAGTTTTGAATTTGACTGGTTGTAAACTTTCTACTGTCAAAAATTCTAAGTTAAGAAAAAATATTTTGAACAGGAAGGCAGTCATTAAATTTTGCCCTTAGTCAGTCTCGTGGCGGAATAAAACTTCAAATCTCTTTTTCTCACTTCAAACTTGATGCGTTTCTGTCAAACGTGGTTCATTTTGTGAAATAAAATTATGGCTTTGGAGGACAGTGATTCTCTTGAAACGTCAACCAACAGGTAGCAACAATTAGGTTAAAATTACATTTTGACTACTTGAATGTAAAAAATCCTTCAAGGATGTCATCAAAATCAGCATAAAATTATACTTGGATTGATAAATACATAACATCAAAATACGCAAGAGGAAATGGGTAAAGTTTTTCAATTACAGCGTTTAATCACTGCGACGATCAATTAATGCAATTTTCAGTAAATCTGTGATTTTTTCATGATTCATATTTTTCAATATCTAGTCCTGAAACTTGCAGTTTTAGGGTATCATATATGTAATTCTTTCTGCTCGCCCAAACTTTCTGATTAATGACTTGACCAAGCAACTTGAGTCTACACCATTCTTTGAAAGTAGGAATGCAATTTGTGTAAAAGATTCTCCATACAGCTTAAGGACAACATAATAATAAAACAACACAGTTTAACAGGTAACAGAATTTATTAAACTCATCAGTAAATCAATTGAGGCACTTCAAACTTAAAAATTACTAAATTGAGTTTTGTTAATCAGTTTTTACAGTTACAGGGTTGCCACAAGAGTTAGAAAATGAAATTCCGCGAATAATTTTGGCAAAATCCTCTGTCACTAGACAATATGCTGAATGGTTAAAATTAGCCACCTACAAACCCAAACACCTAAACTTTATTGTTCAAAACTGAAACACATTCTAAAGAGCAAACAAAAGCGATTCGACACTTTTTCCCTGATAATTCCTTGTTTCCATTGAATTTGAAATTCCCTGACATTTCCCGGTTTTACTGGTTTCCTGATTGTGGCAACCCTGCAGTTACAATTTGTTTAGTATGATACTAAAATAATAAAAACAATGATGCAGTTCTAAATACCTACCTTCTTGAGCATGAATTCGGTCTATGAATACTTCCACAAACTAATAATATAACATAACAGCAAATCGCTGCAAAGAGAAGAATTTGGATGACTCCAGCAGCCGGATTGTTGAAACTTTAACTGGCTATGTCGGCACGATTAGACAAGACATAGCCCTATCTGCGCCGTGTAATATATCGATTTTCGATTCTTGTCGTGCAGACATAAATTTCAACAATCAGGCTGCAGTGCAAAACTATGTATCTCCATTTGCGACGTTGCAGACTTCCTGTCATACTTAAATTTTTCTTAGGAAAACTAGTTGGCGTATTTTCTTGAAAACCTCCTTGATTCTTCTCTGTTAGCAAAATATTCTTAATAAACTTCAAGATATAAATTTGGCTTGCATCTCGTTGAAAAAATAAGATAAGAGTGGAAATTTTGTAACACTGCAATGGAGATGCATGGTTTCTTACTATGGCCATTGATCTGCTCCATGAATTCTTCTGAAATAAGTAGTTTGTAATGGTAAGTTTCAACGATTACTTACAAAGAGAGAAGTTCGGACTTCCAGAAAAAAATTGAGCCAAATTTCTTGATTTTTAAATAAAATGTTATATTTTTAAGGCTTTGAGGACACTAAATGTCTAAGCCAGTGTCCACAGAGCTGAGGAGAAAAGTAAATTTTTGACTTTTAAAATGATAAGAGATGGAATCCTGGTTTAAGTCAAATCTGACAGAACAAAACAAGGCTATCTTCTTAGTGTCTCTCCTATCACAAATAAATCAGTGATAATAAAGAAAAACCAATCTTGAACTTATTAAAAAAATTAGCATTTAAACTGAATCCTGTAAAAGATGCTCTTTCTTGTAAAGTAGACAATTTTTATTTAATAAACTTGGCCGTGAAACAATGCGTATTAATAGGGTCGACTGTACCCTACATGATCCTCAAATTGTTATTTGTTGCGTTTTTCCTTTTCTTTAATCACTTTGTGATCACTTGTTGCTGATCAAATAACAATTCTAAGATGGATCTTTTTTCCATTTTTCTGCGAATGGACCACTAGACAAGGTATGAAGTTAAGCATTCTGATACATGCTTCTTGACCAAAATTTTAGGTAGAACATGCTTTGTTCAACAAAAATTACTGAATTAACTCCTAACTAAGATATTTAATGTTTCTTGACGCGTGAATTCAAACCTTCCGCTCATGAGAACACAATGGTCTATGTGAGTCTAAGTGCACACTAAAGATTACCATGACAGTCTCTGCAATTTGAAAATCTGACAGCCTCAATCTTGACACTTTGACTCAGCTATAGCAAGTTTTTTATAGTTTGGACAACACAGGATAGGGAATGAGCATTGCTTGATTGAGAAGCCTGCCGAAACCGTTGTGGTACGCCACTGGATTGACGTGAAGTATTGTGTTTCTTGTGACCGGGCAATTCAAATTTCTCAGAACCAATGTTAAATAAAAACGTTAATATCTTACTTACAAGTTGATTGCAGTAATTTTTGATGCAAGAATCGTAATTCGAAATTCTGACGAAATTCTGATTAAGTAACGTGTATCAGAATGCTTAACTTTGTACCTTGTCTCGTGGGTTCATTAACAGGTTTTGAAATTGGCCATGAAAGAATACAATTTTTCACTTTACATGAGGTACTTTGATCACATGATTCTTAGGATATTAACAAAATATACACATATACTACAAAATTACTTGCTCATACAAAAAATCAATGTCAGTGAAATGGATCCTAAACTGATTCTTCTTCCGCAAGGACTAATAATTTTAAATCGATAATTGATGCATTGGAGAGATCAAAGTCAATGTATTGGAGATTGATAAAAGTGGGATGGACAAAGGTGAGATCAAAATATACATAAAAGAAAAAATATGCAGTAAAGAGGAAGAATGGGGGTGCCTTCCACCTCGGCCAGAAGATTGGGTCACTAAATAAATATCAGTAAAAAAACGAGAGTTGTTTGGGATTGGAAAAGCCGCAGAGGGCTCGATGCCCACACCAAAAATTAGTACTCAAGGTGAGAACTAATCAGGACATGGTGGTGGTTGTGATTAGCTGGAATGAATGAAAAATTATTGCGGAGTGTTACTGAAGTTTTTTCATCTAAAGATCACTTTACTAGTGAAAAATTATTAGGAAATCTCCTGATACATATTCTTCAAAATAGAAATAAAAAGATAGCCAAGAGGAGAGGGCAGAGAATAAGTTGAGAAACCTTTCAAAAAATCAATAACTCAAGTAATCTAAATAATTCAAGTTATTTTAACTTGATTTCAGATACATCCATTTCTATACATAGATTTTTATGAGCGGTACAATAAATAAGAGGAGTTGAAATTTTACCTTCTGCTAAGTTAAAAGGCGTACCTATTACATTTTAACTGATAAGAAAGCTCGAAAACATGTTGACTAAGAAACTTCCTAAGACTAGTCTCTAGACTTTTGATTGAAAATAAAAATTATTGAAAGTTTTATCCATTATGGCTTTATCCATTGATTTACATATGAGCATATTCTAACATCTTGTGCCAAAAAAAGTAACTGTACAACCTTTTAAAGGCTAATTCTTTGGTAATTAAATTATTTAATTGTTAGAATTAAAAAAATTAGTCTCTTATAGTGAGTTAATTACAAATGAGATTAAGGAAAGCATAAATTTCCATGTTGTTACAATATCTTCATCATTTCCCACATTATGTTCTCCTAATAGCTCACTGCTCAAAGTTTGCAACACCTTTCTTCAAAATAATATTCCTGCATTTGAGGGGAGAAATAGATTTTTATAATAGGTGTGTGACATACGTAACAGGTATAAATATCTTAAATGAAATAAAGCCTTTGAAACGTACACACAGCATGATTTGATTGCTTAAAAGGTTTTAAGGCTGAAAGGGTAAACAGTGCAACTTAAGTGCACCAAAATTTATTCTTTTCTTCCATAAAAAGTGCATTTTTTCAATACTGAGCCCAGCAATTTATAAATAAAACCAAAGCAACATCGTCAGTTTTTGGCAAGGAATGCATTAAACTAAAATCCTGAAGAAGAGGAACTAAAAATTACTACCCTTAATTTTCCATTAAAATGCTGCTCCAAATTTAAAGGCCTACCTGTAAAATTTTCACGAAGACCTTACAATTCTTTAAGTTCATTTGATAAATACACACATACAATCACACGCACAGACAATTGAGGAAGCCCTTCCACTAAACAGACTGAGATACAAATACTTTTGAATAATACTTCAAAAATTAAGAATCATTGAAATTTTACTTTTTCCAAAAATGAAAGTTCGTTTCTAAAGGCAAGAGAAGAGGTAAAAAGTTGTGCTGTTCGCCTCTCTCTGTTTCTTGCTGTGAATTGGAATTGAAATATTGTTAAAAGGAACGTTTTGTGCGACTGAAAGATAAATGACAAATGGACTTTTCAAGACTCTTTATCACTGCTTGCATTAGAATCAGGCAAGGCACTTGCTTGGGATGTTGTATCATACTGCGGAAAATCAACGCGGAACCTGCTTACTTTTTCACCTTTTTTTGAGCTACCTACAGCAATGTCTGGCTCAGTTCTTTCTAGGGGCTCACCGCTTGCACTGACAACTTCATTAATGGTGCCAGCTGAGGTACCGTCTGCACAGACCTGAGACGAAAGCTTATTTTGAGCTTCGATGTGCGCTTTCAGAGCTGCTTTTAATTGGTCAGTTTCCTTCATGGTTGAAGTGAGGGTCTTTTCTTCTTCATTCGCCTCTAAATGCATCATGTCATTATCGGATTCATTGTTCACTTCCGAGTCAGACCAATTGAACTTCAGCTCAGAACTGGACACAGGGGTCAACTCTCCACTCCCTTCATCTGACAAAAAAAAAGAAATGACATTAGAGAGCATTATATGATACTGTGGTAAAGGATTGATTGTTCCAGTTGAAAATTGCAGGGAAAATGTTGCAAATGGATGCATTAATAAGCCAAGAGGAAATACAAGTTTATTCCATGAATCATTCTGTGAGAGATAGTAGCTACTTACACAGTCAGTGGTATTATTCAGACTTTTCATTCCAGCAATAGACCACAAGAGGAATAAATAGACACTGTGCATGCAAAACACTGCTTTTAACATGTTGAGCTGTTCGCAACGAGCAAGTAAAAGAAAATTGGGACACACTTTGAAACTCGAAATTGTGGAGTGCATGGTAATTAGTTTAAAAGATTTTTGAAAAATAAGTTAAAAGTAGTCTTGAGCTGAACTTGTCATATATTTCCTCCGATGAAAAATTTGAAGTTTAGAAAAAGAATCGAGGGAGTAAATTTATGGGTTCAGTAAACATCATCTTCAACATTGACTTTTGTGGAAAAATAAAACTTCAAATCTTTTTCTCTGCTCCAACTTAAAGTGCATTAGTTTTCTTTGCTTAACTCCGCCCAACAGACCACAAGACAAGGTGATGAGAATAAGTCTTACGCTTCCTCTTCAAATTCTTACATAGAAAACGATTTACACGACAAAAAGCTCGGAAATCAACACCTAAATAAGTCATTAACAAACTTTTCTTCACAAGAGGTCAATATACACCATTTTACAATTACATGGGTGAATCTGCACATCTTTTGGAGTATAAAGGTGGACGCAACTAGACTTTGCCCCAAATGTGATAATTACACTAACTCCCTTCTTCCTTTGTAGAGTTCCAGTTTGCTTCCATCAATATTTCATTGCAAGAGCACCTCTACCTTTGTTACCTTCAAACATTAGTTTTTCACACTTCCAAACTTTGGGTTGAATGATTCAATTTCAGTCTTTCATAAAAACTGTCATAGGGTTCACATTAATTTATCTAAGTAGAAATTATAATATTTTCTGAGATTAACGTAACACTAGAAATAAATTGGTTCAACTGGTGCTTGACATAGAACTTGGTCATATTGATGAGCTCTCAAATAAAAAATGACGACCAAAAAGCTTTGACCATGAAGTAAATGTTAAATTAGAACCAGAGGATAATCGTCCCTTAAAAAGTACATGAAAATACACAGTTCAGTCTGAGATGATCTAAGCAGAAAATTTTTAAAAAAGGAAAGGTCAACATTTTTAAGATGAGCGTGAAAATGATACATGTGTTATGAATAAAGCATGTATCATCAAATTCGCCTGCAAACCATAGTTTCACAGTTATCTTTGCATAGAAAATAAGTATTGTTATGAAGGCAGGAGAAGCAAACATATTAGAGTTTCTGCAGTTCATTTATAAATATCTTCAGGTAAGATTCCTAGCTTAGAAACTTACTTTGGAGTTAACATGAAAACAGATTGTGAGAAAAGGATGAGGCTGTAAAGGCAGAGCATTTTGACAGATATCTCTGTGGTTTAGAGCAAAAGAGTCACACTTTTTTAAATTCAATACCGCTTTGTAAATGGAGGTTAAACCGGTTATAAGAAATGAAGGATAAAATAAATGGATCATTCAAGTCGAACTCTGAAGGAACAAGCTGACGCATCTGGCATACTTTTTCTGCTGGAGGATAAGCATTCTCATAGAAAGTAAGATTTGTGGGAAAAGAGGGTTTAGTTCAAAAGATTATTTTGGACTGTTTATATGAGTCACATTTGCACGAAGAGACATTCCTTGTAGCAAAATGCCTGAGGTTACACAGCGAGCATGATATGAAAGCCTGTGCATGAATAAAAAGGGCTTGAAAATATTCTTTTAAGCTACAACAGACTTCCCAAACAGCAGAGAAATTGTGAGGCTTTTAAAGGGGAACAATTAAAATAGTTCTAACAAATATAATTGTTTTTTCTTGCTATTATCGAAAAATTACAGGAAATAAAATTAAATAGAGAGAAATGTCATTGGAATTGATAGCGACGTATTGACTCTACTAAAAAAATAGAAAAATACCAGATAAAAAATAAAATTGATGAACCATTCAAGGATGATGAAATACACTTTTCCTGTAGAGAAAATACAGAAGGTGATTACAAGCAGAGAAATGTACATTACTATGTCACAGCAAGAAATCACAAGTCTGATAAGGATAATAGCAGCAAAGTTGGGTCGTGTATAGCTTTTACTGTCTGCACCTTCTTATAGTCTTTTTCTCACTGACCAATAGACTGACATATATCTGCTTCATGGCTTGAAAATGCTGCCTCACCACCATCTTCTATATTTTCTCTTTTGCTCCTTTTCTATGTTTCCTTCTTTTTTTTCACCGGCCTTCCACTTCATGCATTTGGAACACTTTAGTAAATTTCAATAATGGAAACAGAAACCAGTAACAGCCACATTTCCCCCTCCCTCCTTTTAAGCATTATACAATGCTCGGACGGTCCTTTAAGCACACTGGTAAGCCAGAAAAAATTCTGACAATGAAACAAATCGCACACAATCCCCTCAATGAAGCAGTTTTGCTAAATATTATTAGAATGAAGGGAAGCAGATTAGAGCGATGAAAACAGGGAGGAGGATGGGGAGGGGAGAGAGAGAGAGAGAGAAACCCAATGGTAATCCTAAACTAATATTCTCAATTGCCTCAATGCAAGTGAAAGGTGGTCACTTGATCACTAATGCAATAAAGCTACAACATTTCACCTCAAGAACATATTTAAAAGGGCTGAAAATTTTAGTTCTCAAATTGAGTTCGTTTCTTGGCAATTCATTTAAAATTAGCAGATAGAGAGCTCCAGCTTAAAAGCTTCGGAAGGTCTGAAAAAACTTAAAAAGAAATAGCAAAATTTAGCCAGCGTCAAATTCCTTCGTATTATGTATTGTCATTAAATAAAATGAAGGATGACTGGGGGGGGGGGATCCCTGAGATAAATTAAAAGCGTTAACTTAATGGTTGTTGTACAAATGCGTGGTGAGACAAAGTTTTTGGAAGTTTATCGGGAAGTTTCCATCAAATTTCAATGCTGTTGGGGTCTGTAGGAAACTACTCTAAGGGTTAGTTACTTACACTTATCATGATCTAAATGAGGAATCGAGGGCGATTGAGAATATAAAATAGTGTTGAGCTGGGCATGATGAATAGCAGTACTGCGCATCGTTTCAATCGTTTCATCTAGAAAACAAGGCAGCCTAAATTAGTCATCTAAGTTTCAACACCCTCGATTCCGGTCAAGTTCAGCACAATACACTTGACGTAACCTTGTCTATCATAGATATGAAGAGTGTTCTTCAAAATTGGTTTGATTCTCAATATTAACCATCAGATAAGAAATTTGTTACTCCTTTGGGGCAATGGAGCAATGAAAGGATAACGCGAAATTTAAAATCAGAAGATATGACAGAATACAATTATCATTGACAAAATGAGACAAAAAACTGTGAAAATTAAAAATTACGACTTTGCAGGGTGGAGTTTTGGACTTGTTTTGTCTTTGCTTACGAAAAGCCAAAGAATATGAAATCCACATACCCCTCCACTGAGTGAGTTCTGTGGGATTAATATAGTGTCTCAGACCAAAAATAAAAACCACTACCATAGCATTAAAAAGGGACAAAACACAAACAATGATGCAAAAACAATACCCGATTATGACTCAAAAGTTGCTAACATGCAGATTTGATTAAGGGAGAAACCGGAGAACCTTCACAGGGAGCATGATACACTGATCAATTGTAGTAAAAAAAATAATAATAATAAATGTTTCTAACGATTGATTAATTTGCTACGGACCTCCTCCTCTTTGTCGACCAAAATGAAATTTTCCTTGGATGAAAGGTGAGAAAAAAGTCATGACCTAAGCGGTTTTTTTCAAAATTAGCCAAAATAGTTTACTTAAATTAGATACTAATAGCATCACACGAGTCTTTGATAGCATGAGTGATCAGCAATAAATTCAGGAAACATATTTGGTCTCTCAGTGAAGGTACTCAATTATAATTGCTATTGATACTTGAAATCAAGTTGAAACTTAATTTTTAATAGAAAACAAATGAATCACTATAATTTATCTGATCTCAAAAAAACTGCATGGCGTGAGTAGGAAACAATATTCAGGACACTTAAGTAAGAAATTTTAAACAAAACTATAATTAGTTGATTGCAATGAAAACATGGTTAGCAACTGGCGATGCAAAAAAAAAAATTCAACCATAATATAATGTATCCACTTCAGCGAATCGGTCTTGAAGCAAGTTATGTCTCCTAATAAGTAAATCACACCATAATAATGATTTAAAGGTCTTAAATGCAGGGTACAATGGCAACCTCTTTCTTCGGCTGTAAGCTGTTTTATTTTTTCATCAAAAATTTTTAGAGCTCACAGACCGTAGAAACCCAAGGATCCTTGCTGCAGTCCAAAGAAAGGCAAATACGGGTAGAACAGTTTAAGGAGGGGCGGGGGGAATGACGCTCCAGTTTCATTGATGACTTACATTCTATGAGCTATAGAACTTGTTGCCCACTATGGTCCGTAACATTCAAATTCCAGCGCATTGTTTATCGGCAAGCTCACCCTCAATATTATACCCTGCCTTTCAGCAGAGTTATAGAATTTTGTTGAGGCCAACAAATGTTAAAGGAGACGAGTAGAAAAAATTAAGCCGCAGTTAGACAGGTACAACACACGACAAAACTTGTTCACTTAGACCCCAAGCAAGATGTAGAGTTAAACAAAGAGTATCATGAATGGCAAGGATTCATACTTACTATCAAAATCGGATTTTTTGTTTGGCACATAAAGGTCAGCGATTTCAATACTATCTCGATGTCCATAATAATTATCGCTCATCAAGTCAGTCGAACTGAATGCATCAACATCAAAATATGTGTGAGGAAGCCGTTCACTAGGGTGTGGTGAAAACAAACAGAAATTACAAATGAATGAAAGCGCTATCGACTCAAAGGAAATGAATTGCCTGAAGAAAGAGAAGAGCAAAAATGATCTATTCAGCAAGTTATCTAGGCTCCATCTACACAGGTGATCTCCCTCTTAACTTTGACTAAAATGAATCAGTAGTGAAGCACAATCAATTTGGCGAACTATTTTTACCTCAATTAAAATTGATTTAATCGAGCAAAAATCATGACTCTTCTTTGACTGGATTCAAGTTTACCCAGAGAGCATCAAAGTATATAGTTTTACAGAGAGTCGCCCGTGTAGACAAAGTATAATGAAAAAGTTGCAAACTAAGCAAAATAAATTTAAGGATGGAGAAAAGTACCACTAGCAAAAAGTTGAAGAGAGCTCATTTTCAATGCTATTTAGCCATCTAGTATGAGTGACAAGAGGCCCTATGGATTAAAAATTCAACCCTTTCCCCCTCCCACCCCTATAGAACAATGACTGGAAAACCTAAACATTCTAGAAGTGTATTAAGAGGCTGTTCATAAAATACATAATGCTCTATGAAGGGGGAGAGGGGAGGGTCGAGGAGAGGACTATGCCATCTGTTTTTACAGAAGGTTGAAGGATAGGGACTTATGTCACAAAAGTATTACAAGGGGGCCAGACAGGGTCATAAAATACAAAATTTGGCGTTACATATCTTATAAACGGCCTCCAAGAGTTATCGGTTGATAAAACCCTGCCTTAGAATTGAAAATTAAAGAAAAGAAAACTGATGTGATGTTTTATGGATGAATCGAAAATATTTGTTTGCTCAGAGATATTAAGTTTCTTGAAAAGTAGAAAAAAAAAAGTAGTGGAAAGTAGTGGAAATCAGATATCAGGTAGCTCCAACCGTGTTTTTAGGTCTTAATTTCATACAAAAGAGAGTGAACACATTGGAAAATTTGCTAATTCCAGCAGACCGTTCGTCCGGGGCATTTTTTTGAGGAACTGGGATAAGCCCACAAACATTAGAGCTTGGTATGTTTCAAATCATTAATATTTGCAAATTAAATATATGTGACTGCAACAGGATGAGGGACTTTGGACCATGGAGGTAAAGTTTTCTTTAGAAAGATTTTTGTAAAGTACGGTCGAGAAATAAAATTTTGAGCAATAGAAAAATTACTCTAGTATCCTGTAAAAAAGTTGAGAGCGATGTAGCTCACTTTTAAGCTAACAGAGAACTGAAGTTTGCATTGTGATCCGACAATTTCTTTCCCTGAGCATGACGGGTTAGATGTTTAAATACTTAGCTTTTTCTCGAAATACCTTTTCTGAACTCAAACTCCAAATTGCCAGATTTTCATTTTAGTCTGACAATTGTGGACATTTCCTGACCAAAAATGTTCAGAGAATTTTGAGTTTATGAGAACTAAATATGGTCCCTTTACCCGCAGACAGTCACATTTAAAGAACTGCAATAAAAGATCTTTCTTGATGTTTTCCTATCACCGACTGATGATGATTAATGACAATTAAAGATACGTGGTGCATAGGTATTAGCATTCAGCTACTAAAACTCACAGCCAAAAATATTACATGTCAATCAATGATGAGTATTTAGAGGAGAGGTTGAACTTTCACAAACTGAGTCACCAAAACTTAGTGCTTGTGCGCAAGTATGTGGATAGAAATAAGAGATAATGACTTGAAGTTACACAGGAAAATTACTAAAATTACACAGATAAATACAAGGCTTCGTGATGAGACTGCTAGGGATTGGGGAGGCTACAGCTAAGCTTCATTTCCTCATAGAATAAGGTAAAAATGACCAAAACTTACCTCTCGGATGTTCCATCACTTGTCTTAGAGAAGCCATCTTTGAGATAAAAATCTGGAATATTGACAGGCGAAGAAGCTTCACTGCTTGAGACGAGCGATGGGGGTCCACTCCATCCAAAACCTTCGGAGGAAAACTCGTTAGAGTAATTTGATAATTGCTGCATGCATGATTCAAGCAAATCTACTAAAACAATAAAAGAAAATCAGATTCGTTCATAAAATCAATCCAAAAGTTAGGTTCTACTTTAAGGAAGACTGAGAGAGCTGCTACATTTTGAGGGTTAGTAAACTTTGCGCATTAATTAAGCAGCTAACTTTGTCCAAACAAATTTTTTGAAGCAGAAAATAAATTATTTGACAACTAAAGGAAATCATCACAGAACACTCTTACATGCATTTTCTCCTTGTGAAGTGAAAAGTGGGAAAAAAAAATTCAAATCTCACAAAGGGATGGTACAGCTTGTAAACAAAATTGTATCTCGCTAAAATTTGCACCAGGCCCGCCACAAGGGGGGGGATACTGGGTCCTTGGTACCGGGGCCCGGGCCCTGGAGGGGCCCGTGACGCAGGTGACAAACCACTACGAATTCATGTGTAACCCTCGTCTCGTAGGGAAAAGTGAAAAAATTACCCTAAAAATTCCGCAAAAGGTGAATAAAGTTTCAAAAACACGCTAGTGCACTATACAATTTTTCTTACTTTTTTAGAGATTTTCAAGATTTTGGGTATATGTAGAATGATATTTTTAGTAACTGTGTTTCATTTTCTTCCGTTGTCGGATGCTAAGAGCCTCCTTTCTGGGCATCTTCGACTTCAATGGCTTAACTCCCTTGCCATAGACGTACGAAAGGGGAGTCCAGGGGGGCTCGGCTCCCCATAGAATTGAAAATTATCATCTGCCCACTCAAAAAAAAATTTATAGATGTTTTGAATGCAACAATTCGAAAGTTTTTGGTGCTGAAAGTAAACAAAAAGGCGTAATTATTCTGCAGAAATTGATGGAAAATCTCCATCAGAAGGGCTTCATAATGCGTCCAAATAGATTTAAAATTTCAAAAATTTCCCGGGGGAGGCCCCNCCCCCCCCCCCCCCTGTGCTAAGGGCCCGGGCCAGAAAATTGGTACCAGGGCCCGAGATGGGATGTGGCGGGCCTGATTTGCACTAATGACACCTTGTTTTGAGGCAATTCTGAATCATGCAATAATCCCATTCAAGATGGTGGGCTCTAGGTAAAGTGACACATCTCTTTTCTTAAAACTTCTTAATGCTAAGCGTAAACGGTAAAACCAAACCAGAGGTTAAATGAGTATGGACCACTAGACAAGGTAAGAATTTCAGCACTCTGATATATGATCCGTAACCAAAATTTCACGTAGAGCACGATCCGCACAATGAAAATTATCGAAATCAACTCCTCACAACGATATTTAATGATTCTTGATGCGTGAATTCAAACCACCCGCTCATGAAAACTCAATGCTCTACGTGATTCACATCGCGCGCTAAACGTTATCATGACAGTCTCTGCGCGATGTAAAAATCTGGCAACCTCAATCTTGACGCTTTGGCTCAGCTATAGCAAATTGCCTATAGTTCGAACAACACATGGTGGGAAATGAATATTGCTAGATTAAGAAACTTGCTGAAGCCGTTGTCGTGCGCGATTTGACTCACGTAGAGCTTTGAGTTTCTTGTGAGCGGGCAGTTCAAATTCCTCGTAACCAATGTGAAATGAAAAGGTTAATATCTTCGTTAGGAGTTGGTTTCAGTAATTTTTGTTGCGCGAATTGTGTTCTGCGTGAAATTTTGGTTAAGAAACATGTACCGGAATGCTTAAATTCGTACCTTGTCTAGTGATCCATTATGTCAGTTTTTTAGCAAGATCAAAAATTTGAGTTCGGTCCGCATTATGTGCAAAAATCATGAATTTTCCACCCACACATTACATTCTGAGGGGCTGCATTTCTTAAAAATTGGTGGGTTATACTGAAATCTTACCAAATGATAGGACAAGCAAAATCTCAGGTTTTCAGCAAACTATTAGTTTTTAAAATTTATATGTATATATCACAAGGCGTTTACAACATCAGTCAGTTTTTAGAAAAGAAAAAAATTACACCTAATTTTTTCATTTTTACAAATCTGGACACAACACAAAAAGAGGGAATTTCTGTCAACTTTTCGTCATTTCATTAAGCTCCTTGACCGATTTTTTAACTGATTTGTGGTACTTGGCATTTATAATAATCTCTAGATGCGTCCATTGTCTTCAACTTTTTGAGTGACAATCTTGTTTCTTTGAATCTTGCAAAGTACCTTTCTGAGGGTAAGAAATATTCACAAAGATTGGGCCACATGTTGAAAAGAGGGTATTTTTTCACTTCTAGAGAGGGTTAGTTTTAGAAAGTAAATCACACGATAGAAAATCAATTAATTCATTATGAAATTTTTTAAGAACTCACTGCTTTCTGGGGACTGGAGCTTCAAATTTGCAAGATTGTCGATGCTGGGGAGAGGTGTTGAAGGGTGTTTTGGAGGAGATGAACCAGGTGTGCGGAATATCATGACACGAGTCATGTAATCCAGGAATGTGTCCAGTTTCTTTAAGGATAAAGCATTGTGCAAAGTTTCCAGGGGACGAATGGCCGGTACTCCTCCACAGCCATCAATAGCTGAAAAATATGGTCACAACATTTGCGTCAAGAAAACTCAAAAGAGATGAAATACTTCGCACTAAATTTTCTTCTTCAGGTATTGATGGGACAGTATTTAGATACTTGCAAAAATATTTCGCATTAAAAGAGAGGTGAGAATGAGTAATATTTTTAAAAGTGTTCCACACAAAAATATGTAAGGAAATTAGATCACAATAGTCCTTAAAGCCTTAACGAGATTATAGCTTGACAGGCACTGTAAACATTTAACTGGATTTTGAGATGTAAGACAGAGACCATTTACTACTTGGATAAGATGAGAAACAATCAATTTGGTGAACGAAGTTCCTTTGTAATGCTCCATTGCATACTTGAGGCAAAATTATAGACTTTTTTGGCCTCTTTTATTTAACCAAAGAGAGGTTTTGTTTGATTCATTATAATATCACATGCAAATACCTACTTAGATCAGACATTTTCTCAAATGTTCGGCCAAATGTTAAAGAGGACTGGCAAAATGTTCTATGTTTTTGGTAGAGTTTTAACCTTTGAAGAATTTTTAGAGGAGGTATTAATCAAACGACATTTTTTTTCCTTCATGACTTAAAAGTTTTCACACCAATTTTTCACTCAAATTTTGCAGTACCAGTCAATTTTAAGATACAAATTTATTCAAGCCTCCAATATTCGCCTTTAAATTATTAATAAGTGATTGAACAATTCATTGAGAATTTCTGTTTGTAAATTTAGATTATTTTTTGTTGAAAATTAGCAGGAACCGCAGAATTTCAACCTGAGAGAGAAATATTGACGATTTGAATCCTTGTTTAACGCCTGCAACATATAAATAATAAATATTGCTACTTCCATTCAAAAAACATCTGATGAATTTTTGTGCGATGTTAATAACCAAACACTGAAGCAATACCATTAAACTCACCAGCGATTGATGCAGCATTCGTTATCATATCGCGTAGATTAGGTGCGCTCGAAGAGCCGCTGATGACAGCAGTACTGAACAGGCTGCTTCCAGAACCAGAGATTGGACCTCGATTACCCGGATGAGAAAGGACAGTTCCACAACTTGCTCCAAGGACTCTGAAATGGTTCGTTTGCCCTGATATGCTGTGCCTGTGACGTCTAGAGCCAGCTTCATCTAAATAGAAGGAGAGGTCAAAGGTTGGGTCCAGGAACGGACAATGTTAGTGGCATTACGGAAGAGTGCTAAACGTTCAGAGCAAAAGACAATTCCACGACAAAAGCTCTTCCCATGAGCAACCAAGTAAACCCTTTAATGCAGCATGATAATGGACTGTTTCGTTGAAAGAACAGTTAAATTATGACCACATGAATACAGGAGACAGAGAAAACATTGAAGAGCTAAAAAACTTATCGATAAATTGTGACCATCCACAGCAAAAGAGGCCTCAGTTCACAAAAATTTAAAATTGAATCGATTCCATACCATACAGGAATATTTTACAAAGCTTTTGGTACCAAGTCCAAAAATACTGAACCGAATAGAAGTTAAGGTGGTTTAAAGTTCGCAGTTCTGAGAGTGTAGTTTTAAGGAAAAGCTATTTAACCGTCTAGGTAATCTGCCACAATCAAAATAAAACATTGCCAGAGTAAAATGCATCTTTTAGGTACTGCATAGACTCAAAAATGAGCATAACCGCTCCCAACTTAATCTGCAGGGCTTTAAAGACAGTTTTCCAGAGGAATTTCATAATCTGATGTTCACTCAACTTGACAAGAATTGTTCCTCTGAGATTTTTACTTCTTTGGATTGAAGTCATTTCTCCTGTGGACGGTTCCAAAAATGCAAATCCGTCTTTACAAATTTCTATGAGCATTATTAAGGGGGACGAAGAACTCTGGATTGAACCATTTATTGGTAAACAGACTTAAACACAAGAATTTTAGGATCAAATTCTCGCCAGAGTATGGAAGCTTTTAACAAGGTTTCCCAACCAATTCATTTCATATTTAACGCATAAAAAAGCTATTCTTTGATGAGACTTACTCGTAAAACATGCAAAGACCGAGTAGAATTTTTAAAAACTTTTTTATCCTCATTAAAAATTGCATTATTAAGAGCTGATCAAATTGAGATGCTTCACATGCCAGTAAATTTGCCTTCTAAAAATTAGCAGGAGCCTGATAGCATCAAGTTTTTTAAACATATTTGATACTGAGTTTTGATGACGTTGAAAATATTGAGATATTTGTAAAATATCCACGATATTTTATTGAAATAATTCTACTCAGATTTATTTCTGTAAATTTTGTCGTTACCTTCGGAGAAGGTGTTGTCTGAGTTAAGGAAAAGAAATTGTAATACAGTAATGTCCAGATTATTTGACACTTTAGTTTTTTGACGTGGTCATAAATGGGCTTTTAGTCAAAAAAAAGTTAGCCGACATGACAAAACGACTGCATAGTACAAAATCTGGATTCATACGGAAGAGGAAATGGTCTTTGCTTGTAATGGCAAGTCATAAAAGCAGCAGGCAGCAAAAAGATAAAAGAGAAGAAAGACAGGAAAAAAATTACCTCTCAGAGTTTTTGAAAAATTAAAGAGATCTGAGCTTAAAATTCTCTCTAAGATTCCATATATGATGAAATAACATCACACAGAAACATGATCGGAAAAACTTAGAGCATCTTCTTCGAGTACTGAATGTAGTTAAAACTTGTTATTGTTTTCGAAAACGAATTGAAGCCTTACACCTTTGATCATGACCATGAAGAAGCAACTATTCTTTATATCTACTATAAAATTATTCAAGTTTTATCTTTCACAAACATGCATCCTAGGGACTGTTTTCATTGACGCCATGTAAAGTGGAGCTCTTGCATGCGTGAGAGATTTGCGATTTGAGTGCCTTCACTTGCGTAAAATTTTGTATGAAACACAGTGGTACCACTGGTTTTCTTTAAAATCAACTCCGAAGCTCAAAGAAAGCTCTCAAAGTTGAGGCCGTAATGGCGGGGATATCCCACGCTACCCTGAGAGTCCACCTATATATCTAGTCAAACTCTCGATGCAAAGGATAGGGAGCAAATACATTAGATTTGTTTTCAGTTTTGGAGTCCCCAAATAAAGTGGCAACCCTGTTAATGTATTTGCTCCCTAGCTTTGCATAGAGTTTGTCTTGATATGCAGGTGGACTCTCAGGGTAGCGTGGGATACGCCCTCCGTTACAGCCTCAAATTTGAGAGCTTCATTTGAACTTCGGAGTTGATATCCGAGAGAACCAGAGGCACCATCGTGTTTCTTGCACAATTTTATGCAGGAATCAGTACTTAAATTGCAAATTCCTACCACATGCAAGAGATTCATTGGAAACTTTTTATCAATTTACCAAACATTTCATTTTTTGCACTAACTTAAGTCTGTTTGTAAAATAAATGGTTCGAGTGAGGTTATCCTAAAAGAATAAAACAAACTAAATTAGATCATTTCAAGTCTCCTGAAGCTTACCATCCCTAGTTATATTTCAACATTGATGTATAAAACTGATAAATTATGAAAAGAAATGCAGCCACAATTTACTTTGTTCAGTTATTTCCAACATGCAATAGAGAAAACTAAGGGCTACTGAATGCAGTTAAATTTTCTGCCATCTTTACAAGAACTCCTACTTTCCTAAGCATCATCAATCATACTCCAACTACCTACTTTAAACACCTGAAAACCTACACTTAGCGAATAATCCCACCAAATAGCATCTTCTCTAAAGTGTAGAAAAGTTTAAAAGAATCGAACCAAATGGAATTATTAACTATTTCATGCTTTTCTCTTAAGATCTGAATAGAAATTCAGACACAATATTAACAGAATTACCGTTACCTCTTTCGGATAAAGAGGGTAAGATTCAGAAAAATTATTTTCTTGACAAAAATTTGAGATTTCAAGGGAAGGAGAGGGTTTATAAAATGACAGATGAAATGAAAATGCAAAAACATGGATGTACATCTAAAGGGTTAGTGGAGCATGTAATTTGTGAGTTTAAATACTTGAAGGAATGTTTCAGCTGCTACACTGGAAGTTCAGTAATGAACATTTTGACCTGACTCAATAAATATGACTATTTGAAGCCATAAAGACTACTTTTTACACAGTTTTTACGATGGAAGTAAAAAAAAAGAAGGACTGGAGCGTATCCAAAAGTTTCTTTTTCGAGAATTTAAGGGGCAAACACCAATTCTGACCCAATGGATATTCTAAATACTAAAGCAGGATGAAATTGCGAAAAGATGAGGTTTCCAGTATATTTTATGTAAGCTTCATAGGACAAGCAAATTTTCAAATTTCAGAATTTTTTGCCATTTGAGAACTCTGTGAATAGATTTAAAAATATTCAAGTGCTGATTAATGTGTAAAGCAATTAAATTTTAATAAATGAAGAGACAAATAAAATTAATTTAAAAATAACTACAAGCTGTGGATTTTTGCTATTCTTAATGCAAACATATCGATCAATTACAAGTATGCTTGCACATGGCCTACAAGGCTATTCAGAGAATGTTCGGCTTATGTCTCCTACTGAGTATTAAAAAAAGTTTTAAAAAAATTCATCCTGTGGCTGAAATTCAACGTCTAAGGATGCAGCATTGGTCTCGGCATAATGTCTCATCATGTGAAACACACTTGCTTCAGGGGAAACAAAAAGAAAGCAGGTACAAACATGCAGAAGCAACACTCTCTTAAGGCTGACATAATAGAATGTTAAAAGTACGCAGATCATGCAATCAATTTTTTATGGGTAAAAGCCTCAGCAAAAATAGATTGAAGTTCTGATTTTATACAAAACCAATATCATTGAAATATTTCTCTTCAAATTCTGGCACCTTGCAAAAAAATTAACATTCGACTGGAGATACTGTCATAAAGTAAGGTGGATTGATGGTCACAAAAATACATAAAGCGGAAACTGAAACCTGCCTGTCCAGTAAGGTTGAACAAAAGGTTTCGGCTGCTCCACAACATTCAATTATACACAATGAACAGCGATAGCAGGCAGGGGTAAACCTAGAAGTCAAGGTCCATATTTCTCAAAACGAGAGATTTTTTGAAGCAACTGATAAGACTACTCCGGTCTCAGTCATACTTTGATATCGTCAAGCTATTGAATGGGCAGTTTTCAACAAAAGTGAACCAAGAGTTTCAGGAGCCAAGGAGTTTGCCCATTACTTGGTTGACAGAATGCTGACTGGTAAAAACCAATTCCTTTTAGTGCTTTAATTTAGCTTTCATCCCAGCGGGCACAAAGGAGCCATCTAACCAAACACACTAAATAAATAAGCAGTTTTTGACTAAATTCAAATATTTTCTAACTTGAAATGAAAAAGAAATAACCTATACATCATTTAAAGCATGAATTTCACCGAAAAAAATGTGCCTAATGAGCGTAAATATAGAATCATGCCAACCCTCCTCGACAAGCGAGCCTCTCCTTTCCTAAAAAAGTTAGTCCTTTTCACCGAACAGTGCTCAAATGATCAGCAAATATTTGGACAAGCTTTGGAAAAGCAATACATAGAAATTTTTGGTTAAGATGAATACAAGTGGCAACATCATCATACCTGGAAGTTGTAATTGGATGAAATTAGAGGGACTACGACTATTCTCTAGAGATCTTGATTTCAAATGTTTCAAGGGGATCCGCGTTGTTTTGGGTGATTTACTTTTGGCTGATGACGATTTTATTGAGGCAGAGGTGGGAAATTGGATTTTGCGCATCTGATGAGATATTACTTCCACATGAGCCAGATCTAAGGACTGTAAATCTGTTTTGATAGCTGAGGTGCTGCTAACAAGATCCACTTTATCGCTCCCTGCATTAACAACTTGTGGCATGGCTTTCTTGACGAGGACAAACTGCATACTACTGTCATCTAATGAAGACAATCTATGTCGTGAAGGAGTATAATTGGTCGTTGTTAAGACAATGGGCGAATTCTTGACTTTCAGGTTAATTTCATTAGATGAGTGGGGACGAGCATCTATGCGGTGATCCTTTTCATACTTGGCGACTAGATCATTTAAAGGCATGCAAGCTGCAGGCGGGTCATATTTAGCTACAGCACATCTCATTTCATACTCGGATAAAAAAGAGCAAGTTTCAGGCGTAAAATATTCACTTTCTACTTAGTACCCAAGGGTTTAGAATAGAAGGCACACAATGTTAGTAAGGAGAGCCAGGTAGAGAGAGGATAAAGTTTACAGGAGAGGGAAAAGGAGGCGAATCAAAGTAAAAATAAATTAAGACAAAATTACAAAATAATGATTGCAAGTAGCTGTAAAATACATTGGAGGGAAAAGTCGTTGGGAAGAATTAAGATTGACCGTGAAACCGAAAAGAAAGGTTCAAAGACTACACGAGAACCTTTACTCGATAAGAATATTTGGTTGCAGACCTGAAAGGAAAGGATAGCCAATTTAACAGACCATTGAAGAGGGGAGAAGCAAAAGTTTAAGAGACAAAGGGGACAAAAGAAAAGAAACAGAAATATGGAAAAACCGGGCAAAAATGAAAAATTTACATAAATAATCTACAAATTTTTGTCTCATTCAAAGTAGAACATTTGAATGGCAGTGCAAGTAAACAATTTTTACTCAACTTTGACTGAGATGCAATCAGAAGACTTCATTTATAAAATTTTCAGAAAGAAAAATTTCGTTCTATTGTAGAGCAAAAAATACGTTCTTATGGTATCCTTTTTTTTTTTTTTTTTTTAAATAAAAAAACAGGTTTGCAGCGATGAAATCTGATGAGAGATTTTTAGACATCCTTTTATAAAATGAAATATTATCCCTTCCTAATGATAGAAATAAGTGCCTGCATCTCAGGAAATATTCTGTTTTTCTGAGGTGCTTTTCAACAGAATTCACCATTCATTGTATCCTAAAAAATCCTAGTGAGGGTATAAACGACAGATTGCTGATGTGTTGTGGCAATAAAGAAAGCTCTAATGTAGGGGACTCATCCTTTCTAGGAGGTCTAGGATACTGAATAAGAAATAATAATGAGAGAGGAAGAAAATTACCAGTGACAGAATTATGACTCTCAGAATTGCGTGAGTGATCGTAGCTGCGTGACCGCTGTTCTGGTTCCTCCACTTCGAAAACCTTTTTATGCGATTCTTCAGACTGTCCAGTGAGGGGCACCTCTGGAATTTGTTTGTCGTTTAGCCGCATGGTAAATCCAGTTGCTTCTTCATTTGTTCGACTGTTAGATGCCCTGTCAGTTAATGAAACGTTCGTTTGAGAGCTTTTCATAAAAAGAATAAATACAAAGAATTAAAAAAAAATATTTTTGAACTAACTCCAACAGATCTAAACAAAGAATGACTACAATATATGTTCCATAAGAAACTGCACACTTTAACTCAAGGTGCTGATAAGCAAGATTAAAACCACATCACCAATCTATGTTAACAATTAACTGCACAAAGGATGCAAAAAGGCATCAGTAAACAGTCGCTAAGGCTGCGTCAGTAATAATTGAAGAAAGATGCCTTTTAGGAATTTGAAATAAAGGTAGTTCCTGATCTGTACCGTGAACAATGCTTAAAAATTGCCGAAGATAATCTCAAATACTCGGATTTTATTGCAAAAAATTCATAGCTGTCTGCTACATGGGCAGGGTGATGTAAAGCTCTTGAGCTTATCGAATTGTGCCGAGGGCCGTTGATTAAAGCTGAGGTGGAAAAAGGAAGGTGAGACGAACAGTTGAGAAGGTGCTAAACAAGAGACTATTAAATTTGATAGAGGAAAATTAAAATTTTAACTAAAGACCTGAGTTACTGTAACCCTTTCTTATGATACGCATTTTACTTTAATGGATGTGGGTATATGTTGTAATTCATGGGTATTTTAACTGTACAATAAGAAGATTTTGACATCTATAATACCCAAATATAGGCCCTACATAGCAGAGAAAACAAATAAATAGATAAAAATGAATGAGAGGCTGTGTGAGTGGCATGATTCATTCTATAAAGTGAAAAAAAAGAGAGGGAAAAAAGGAAGAAAAAAAACATTTGTAACACTACTGTTAGTGGAAAACTACAGTAATAATTTTACTTACGAGATAGGTATAGGGTCAGATGCTTTGATTTTTGAGCGGAAACCAGAGCCCTCATTATCTCCCTTCTTTTCGTTATCGCTTGAATTAAATGCCTCCCCCTGAAAAAAATATTTTTGCACAATTAGTTTTAGAGCAAAAAGAGATGTCACGAATTGCCCCCTATTAAAATTGGTGCAGACTGAATTACCTAAAATCAGGAACAGTTTAAGAGAGTGCTAAGAGTTAGAACTGAAAATATGGTGATTTCTTGAAACCAGATCTACGTTCTTTTTGCATCCAAATTATGGTTTGACGCATCAATTTTAAAGATCACTCAAACTTATGAGTCACAAATAAGAAAAGTAAAGTAGACTCCGATCATAAATATTTTAAAATATCCTCACAGTTTAAATCAATGAAAAGGAGCGAGGAATAATCATTCGAAAAACTTCACTGTTGGTTCAAAAAACCCTGAGAAGCTGTAACCACAGCTGTAGCACTATTGCTGGGAATTTTTCATGAAATAACTGGAGGAAAATGCTTTCTATTTAAGCTACAGAAAAAGAAAATTCTGTAATATCTCTTCCAGATTTCAAAAATGGTACTTGAAAATGCTGGAAATTTTTGCGTAGTCCCTTTTTGACATTGCCTCTTTCCCTTGTTTGCTTTCGTTCCTTATTTTGTGAGACTAATCGATTTTCAAAGTTTTTAAAAATCGAAAGGAAAGTAAAACATTTGGACTATATTTATCGGAGGTAAGAGAGCGCGTACTTCAATATCGGTGTCCGAAGGAGTGGGTGAGCCTCTTTCATCTGTGCTCATGCTGTTTAACTCCATTTCATCCTGATCGATGGGAGGTAAATTATTTTTCAGTTGGTCATTCCGACTGTGAGGCCTGAAACCTGGTCCGGGTGGCAAATTCTTTTGAACGCAGCAATTCACACCAGGACTGAAATGCAGCTCCACGTGAAATCTGCGGAGAATGGAAATTCAACTGCATAAAATATAAGTTTTGCTTCGCTAAAAATATTTTTCATTGAAAATTTAGCTCAACCTTTTCTTGCTGTCGATTTCATTTAGACAGCAAAAATAATTTTAGTTAAAAGGTTGAAATCGCACATTGAAAAACTGGAAAAAGGAGAAATAAAGAAGTTCCCTGGTACTTATTTTGACCTGCATTGAAACTGTTTTGATTACTCTTGGCTTACTGATGATTCCTTTCATAAAGGGTTCTATTATCAATCTAGATTGGTTACAATTTTAGTTCTTTGCTCCTAAGATTTTAGTTGCACTTATCACTACTACTACTTCAATTTACAATCTCAAGACTTCAGCCACTACGAGTGTTTTTTTGGAGGAACAAAAATATCAAAATTTTCATCAATTCTCGGGAAATTTCAATTCAAGAAATCAAACTTTAAAGCCTTAAAATTAATTTCAAAGAAGGGTTCCTAATTTTTAACCGATTTTGATGCAGTCATATTGATACTTGATTGGAAACAATGCTAGTGACTTTATTAAAAGATTTTGAGAAACAACATTTGGTACAAGCATTCCTTAACCTGTTCATCCCTGTACATACCTTTCCTCTGAGGATGGATCTTTTGTCGGATCTTCATAGAGCATGACGACAATCTGTGACATGTAATTCAATTCCGAGACCATACTGACATACTGCATAGCTCTTCGCCACTGCTCGTCTTTCATACTCTGAAAATTGAAGAAGAGAATTCAATTTTCCACTTTCATTACAAAAGAAAATTTAATATCCAAAAAAAGTACAAATCACAGAAAAAAAAGAGCTGGGTTGATGTTCATTGCTAAAAGCTATTTTTTCGAGTAAGCAAAGCTGTTCCTCGCTTAGAAACCTGTTCCCTGCTAAAATTTACCCACACAGTACCTATTTTTAGGGCGGTCCGGTTACTGAGTCATTCTAAAATACCATCAATTTCTTGAATAGGGGCGTTCTTTCTCAGAGCTTTAGTGATGGATAAGATTTCCGTTCTGTAAATAAGGGCAACCAGTGATACAAATTTTGAGACCTTTTTAGGAGGCTGGGTGTGGTGAGAGGGGTAAGCATCACTGTTTCACGTTTTTGGTACACTAAAGCAAGAAACCATTCAAAACTGATTTATTCCAAAGACTGAGTCCTTAAGAACCGGAATATACAAGAAGCAGATCGGACCAGGTTTCAGAATATGCTTTTTAGGATGGGTGAAAATTAATTTGTCAATACAAGTGAAGGTTACTTAAAAAAAAAAAAAAAAAACCTATGAATAACTTACATCAAGGAGACCTCCATAACGTAAGACTGTTAATAAGGAATGTACATGACTTTCACTTGTGAAATATAACCTGGTGCGCACGTGTCTTCCTGGACTTGAAACACCATGAGAGTACCTGTGATAAAAGAAAGAAAAAAAAAATATTATTGAATTTATAAAAGAAACTACTAACGGTTATTTATCCCAAATGAGTTAATTTTGAAAGTTTTCTGTATGCTCAAAAAGATATGCATGAATTTTTTAAAGAAAAAGTGCCCTGTTTATGTGTTGTAAACATGTGTACGTATGTGCTTAGTATTTTACCCTGTCTAGTGGTCCATTCAAGCATACAGATCAGTTGTTGGGATAAATATCGTAACATGCAGCCTCCGAGACAAATGTTCCAAAAAGAATTGAAATTGTTGATAATGTAGAATTTTGTATTTATTAACAAGCTTCTTCAAGACTTTAAAAAAATCAGTTTGCAAAGAACTGTATTCGCCACTTGCCTAGGGTTCAGTCTATTGACAGTTTCATCACCCGCCTCTTCAATATTTCTTTGGAGATCAGCCTTTATTTTCTTGAGGAGCGGAGTACAAATTCCTTGACTAATGGTTAGTTTCTCTTGAACAGTTAGACCATACTCCTGTAAACGTAAAAATAAATGTGCACATAGTATATGTTGTAAAGTTTACTCCAGACAATTTTCCTCAATAACCCACTTTTTACAGCACAGATAACATACTTGTGTAAAACAATAATAATTCGAATGGAACCAAGAGGGCAGAACAATAAGTGCTCGCTTCAATTCTGATTGAAAAATAAGGTTAATGAGAATCAAGTCACATTCTCTTTCTTTCCTTTTTGTCGAGGCCCCTATTTATGTTTAAAGAAATATGTGCCTCAGTTTGTTGTTCCTAAAATCCTACAAGGCGATACAGTTGCTAATGATCAGCTGAGTTTGCTGGCTGGTTTCCACACCTTACATGAGTCTCAACCTCCCTCCTCCTAATACAGAACAATGCTGTGTCCTTGTTTTAATTTACGATTCCTGAAGTTATAGTATAATACCTAAAATATGTTCCATATGCCAGTTGGCAAGCAATAGCTTACTTGAGTCTGATACACCAAAGGCCGATAATCGTGAAAATATGACTAGGCCATACTCTCGGCAAGGCTTCAGCCAATCAGCAAATGCCGACTCCCTTGCCGGATTACCTCATGACAGACCGCCAAATATACAGTTTTAAATAAGATTTTTCAAAATCGAATTTTCCCATCATTGGGAGTGAGAAAAAAATCTGACAGATTCAATGGGAGCTCAGTAAGTCAGTACTTTAAGAAAATGAATAAACAAATATAGATGCCTCAGTCCCACCTTTTTTTTTCTTTCATTAACTAGCCATCCAATTTTGATGGAACGATTTTTTGAGGGCTTCCTTGTTCCTTATGGAGTGTTTAAATCTTTCAGTGATTCAGTTGAAATTTTAAAATTAACATAAATGCCTATACTATGGGGCTAAAATGATCATAATTCAGTTATTTTCTTTTTTGGAGAATGAAAATATTTTCTTGGCATAACATTTTGATTTTTTATCCCCAATAGCACAATTGACATGAAAAATTGACACTTCCTGGCTATTATTTGCCATGTCTACCAACATTTTTGGAAGACCAGTGGCCATGTTGGGGCTGTTAAGAATGAAAATGAATTGATCTTTTTCCTAGGAACTGAGTATTTACAATTATTTGGGACAAAGCTATAGTAAAAATCTGCAAATAATTTTGATTCTTTCCTCTTAAGATAGGAAAAAAAATAAACGATAAACGAGACACTTACCTGGGGTATTACAATATCTGCTAAGTATTTTGCATTGATGTACAGCTCTTCAGCTTGATCAAATTGTAATGTATGTTGATTATGTTGCAAATCATATTTTATACAGTCATATATGTCAGGTATTTTAGAAATGTCGAATTTGTTGTTTTTTGTGCAGAAGTCTTTCTCTATCTTGCCCCATCTCCTCCCCATCAACTCCCATGTTTCTCCATGATATAAGATTGCATCTGAAAATTAAATTTACTCCATGTAACAGAACAAAGAAGCATGAATTGAGAAAGAAAAAAAGACACCGAATGTAGCGCCATTAAAATAAGCTGTTCTTTGAAGCTTTATTATGTGTACCGTGATCATTGTAATTCACAAGGTCTCAATTTAGAGCTCATTTATGTCCCGGGGTGATATATAACATTGTGCCAGAAGATCATACAAAATAACACTGGAATGATCAGGAAAATCCAGTTGAGTACTTTTGATATATTTTAAACGTGAAGAACTGACTTTGAACTATAGAAACTTGGTATAACTGGGTCCAAAAAACCAAACAGCTGATTGTTTGGTATGAGTTTCACAATCATACATTATGACTGATCTCTGAATACTTAAAGGATAAGGGGGCTTAGATGGAAGAAGAGGAAAATTTTCTATCGGCTCAAATTCCTTTAGTTTCTGTTTGATGGCAAGAGGAGCGAGCGTTATTTTACCTTTGGTTTTGGGATCATCTTTCTTAGTGCGAACAATATTCATGAGCTTCTGGATCAATTCTTGAACTCTTTCACAGCACTTGACAGGATTTTTGACAAATTCCATGGCAGTTGCAATGCTCAGAGAATTACATGGATTTATCCGGGCCTTATCTTCTTCTGTAAAATTGCGATCTTTCTGCATCAAATCATGCAATCTTGCTTTCACTCTGAAATCAAGCCAAGAAAAAAATGTAAATGTATACAACCAATAAATTTGGATGCTTCATCGTTGAGAAATAAAATTGCTATAAAATTCCTAAAAATGTAAGAAATCACCATGCTAAATGCAACCATGACTACTACAATTAAGAGCAAATAAAGATGAAATATGAGTAGTATAATAAAATTTTTGAGATTTCCATTAACTCTATCACTATGCCAGTTTTTGTGTTTTTTGATGAAGAACGATGAAACATGAGTACTGAAATCCAATTTTTGAGATTTTCATTAACTCTATCACTATGCCAGTTTTTGTGTTTTTTGACCAAGCTAAGTAGGTGAGAAATCATTCACTTTTGTACTGTGCAAGGGATTTTGAGTGGGGTTCTTGCCTGTGATGTACCAGACACTTGAACATTTTACATCATCCTCCACTTTCGAAAAAAAAAAACAATTGAATAAAATTAGAACTGGGTAAATGGGCGGATTTTGATGTTAGACCGAAAAAACTTTGTTATCAGAAATAGCAGGAAAAGTTGTTCCGTGCACTGTAGCAAAATTGAAAAATTCCTATAGCTTCTTAACTGCTACTGCTAAATTCGATTTTTTTTATTTTTTTTTTTTTCTGGTAAACACCAGTTTTCTGAAGCATCCTGTTTTCTGCTTTCCTGGTAAATCCTTAAATGATGGGGAGAATTGAATGGCATTTTTTATTCAGTGTTGAGAGTGCATTAGGAATCACTGTTAGAGATTTTTGCCTAATTTTGCCTTTAGACCTGTGATTACAGGCCACTCAATTTTTTTTGGAATTGTAAGATCTGAATGTGATACAAGTTTTGAATAAGCTGACACAAATACCCACATATTTTGGTGTTTGCTTGCATCGCTGTCATTGTCAAGTAAACCGTTGGTGTTGGCACTCTTGACCATTTGAACCAGTATTGGTGTTAGCTCCCCTTCTAAAGCAAGAAGCCCTTTCGCAAATGCAGCAGCAGTCATTTGAACACGGCCTTCATCACTTGCGTAGATTTTTAAATCATGGCGATAAGTTGAGTGAAGCCGCAGTAAACCAAGTCCTTGTGTGCCTGGCCCATCAGATGAACCGCCTGCAATGAAAGATAAAACAACTTGATGTACTGCTGAAGTATATTAACTACTAAGCCCTGCTGAAGACCTACTAATAACTTTACCATAAAAGAAGCTATGCAAATGGACTAATACATATTGCAAATGGACTAATACATATTGCAAATGGACTAATACATATTGCAAATGGACTAATACATATTGCAAATGGACTAATACATATTGCAAATGGACTAATACATATTGCAGATGACCGACTTGAGATCTGAAGCGAATAACTAGCCTGACTGTGCGCACTAACCGACATTTACACCCTCTATTGACACAAAAATAATAAACCTGCTATATCTTGCACTCTGGGAAGTTTCCCACCAAAGTTTCACAGTTCAATTTTTGACTTTACTCAACAAAAATCAATGTAACAATTTTGCTTCCAAGGAGGTTTCTTTACCCTTGAATGATCACCAGTATTAAACTATTAATATTTATACATGCCAATAATTGATCAACATTTTAGCGACTCAGCACATACTTCTCAGGAAAAATGAAGAAGAATATTCGGGAAAATTTTCTATAATGTGACTAAACTTCAATTTTTTCTGGCAAATATTGGATCTATTTATGCTATGTTTATCTTACAACAACTACAGTTGAATTCATTGTGTGATTCTGCACTCACCACTGACGTGGCGCCCTTGACCACCTGGATACATGCAACGGAAAATTCTGCCCAGTTCTTCTGCCTGAACTCGACCTGCAGGAGTCAGCTCACCGCCCCACTTTAATATCAACACTAGAGAAGGTTCTTTCACAACGCCTGAAAAGAATAAAAAATAGTAACATTTCATACCATTCTTTGGCATGAAAAAAACAAACAACTGTCCTACCTCTTGGGGAAATGCAATTCTAAATAATTTTTCTTCGGTAGTATACAGGGTAGCCAGAAACCATCTACCAGTTCCTTATGCTTCGACCTTAATAGAGGTCATTTGAAAAGCCTAACACAAGAGCTACTTTCTTTTCAACCTAAATTATTTGACTTGTTATTAGTTGACTAAGACACCTTACTAGTGCATGTTTCAGGTAATTTTTCCTTTTTTGCTGTATGTGTGGAATAGGGCATTCCCATACCCAAGCATACAGCAAAAAAGGACAACTTGACCATCTCTGATTTTGCCTTAAATAGGTAAAAGGGGCACTTTTTCATTCAAAAACACTAATTTGAGTCATTTACCTTTCCAATGCTTAATTTGCTCCAGAGAGGATACTCTCAAATTTGTTCATTTATTGTAAAAATGTTGCAAAAAATTGACAAATGTGGAAGGTTTGGACCTTTGACCCATTACTTATTAATTCATTTCGGCCAAAATATGCAAAAATAAGTGACTTTCATCAGTTTAAAATAATCCTAAAACTCATTCTACTGGGTTGAAAATTGACGCAGCAGTCATTAGCGATAGGTTTTTTGTAGAGGTAGGCAAAAAAATTTAGTTATGATGCTTTTATATTGTTAATTTGACGCTGTTAAAATCATGGAAATCGTGATTTGAGCAAAAATCGGGAAAATTTGAAGATATTTTTTGTTCAGTCATATAATAATACAAAAATACCATGACAAAGTAATTTAATACCATACAAAATAAGTTTTAGGTTGTCATGCTACTCGTGAGCATTGACTCTAAGAGCGTAATCAATAACTTCTCTTTGAGTCATTGGGTTAATCATTAGAAATATAAAGAACACTTTGTGCCATATCTCTGACGTGAAACTTTATGCCTACCTGGATCTTCATCCCCCTCACTGCTTGATCCCCTTGGACGACCTTTGGGTTGATATTTCAATTGAACTTTCCTATTGATGCCAGAAAAATGGCCGTACCTGTTATAATGAGAAAAAAAATACAAAAAACATGAATGACAAAATAAGAATTGCAAAAAAAAAAATCCAAATATTGAAAGTTAGGGGTGAAGGAGGAATTGGGAAAGAAAAGATAAAAATTATGCTCAGACATGGAGATTTGAATCTACACCTTCACACCAGCAAAGATAATATCATTGCTCCCGCTGGCCACTCTGCTGTCCTGGGTAGCAAAACAGACTCAATAATGAGCAGTAGCTGCAGCAAATCACGGTCATTTAGAGTCTTGCTTGGACCCTCCTTATATCCAGTTGTCTTTGATTTCTTATGGTGTTTGGAGGGTCCATTTGCCGGAACAAAATGCATCAACAAAAATTAAAATGCATTAACAAAAATTGATGAATAGATTTTCATAAGCTATGCATTGGTTCCAAAATCATGTAAATCAGTGGGAGTGTGACACCCCCCCCCCTTCCCCGGTATCCTCTTAGGTTAATAATTCCAACTCTTTTTTTTTCTTGAGCAATAAAACTAAGAAGATAGACGGAATGAAATTTTATGTTACTACTAATCGATCTTCTTCATGTGGTTTCGGTTTTATTCAATGCAAAAGCAATAATGCATTCATGACTGCTGACAACTCTCTAACTGACTTCACATCATTTTAAAATGTAGTAAACAGCCTGTTATACTTCCTGTAAACAATTCTGCAGAAACTTTAGAAAAAACTGATTATTTTTTGGTCAGAACCTTCTGAATAAAATTCCACCAAATGGAGGAAAGAGAAAGAGAGCCAAAAGAACCTACATCTCCAAAACACTTTTAAGTTGTTCTAATTTGCCTTGTTTTTCTTCAATTTCAGGATCTGCAGATCTTAGTTCAATTTCACATAGCAGCGCTCTTGTAATATCAAGAATCTCTTGAAGCTGTTTTGGTCGTTTTAACTTCACATGACCATCGCGGCGACCACCATATCTCTCGAATATTTCAAAGAATCTGAAATCATAAAAAAAAAGTTGAAAGCCACGCTTTGAATTTTCACTTATGCTAAATTAACTTGTTCACATTTCTAAGAGCTCCTCTGATGACATACAGTCAAACTACCTGGAAAGATGGGTAAAAAGTCACTTCCCCACAACTTTCCTTTATTTTTATGATTAGTACTAATAAGAATCCTTCGATAAACTACAGAACAAAGTGGCTCAGAGTTTTCATCACAATTTTATCTAATCTTCTAGAATTCATTTTCAAGTTCAATTCAGATAAAATTTTCTTTTCCAAGCTGATTTGAGAAATTTGCAACTCATACACTATTTCTAATTGCAATTAATAATTTTGATTTCACATAATTGCTGTATAAGGTGGGAGCAGTCACCAAATTAGAAGAAACTTCTTCATATTTACTGAAAACAGGAGTGACCAAGCAGCCTGTTCTTTGAATTGCAGTTTGTTTTTCCCCCTTTAGAAAGCACTTTCATTTGCAAATTTTAATTCACATATTAACTAGATCTTTAACAGTTTTATGATCAACTTATTTTGAACACAGCAAAATGACCGCAAGCATCCACGGAACGTTTCTGTTTCAACACGTAACAATATACTTCGGTAAGAAATCTCACTTCACCGATCAAAGGAATAAAAAGGACATGCCTTTCAGCACATCCAACAGAAACGGAAAAGAGAAGAAAATTCTGAAATGATTTGGCTTCAGTGTTGATGGGACATCTATAGAGGTTTATCTTACTTGGGATGGCGAACTTCAACTTTCATCTTCTGTTTTGGTGTGCGATCACCATGTCGGATAACAGCAACAACACATCGTAATTCCATCCTGAAATTATAAAAAACAAATAAAATATGTAGCTTGAAAAAAGAAAGAAGAGAGAATAGCCAGTAATGGACCACTAGACAACGTATGAGTTTAAGAATTCTGATACATGTTCCTTAACCAGAATTTCACGTAGAACACGATTCGCACAACGAAAATTACTAAACCAATTCCTAACGGAGATATTAACATTTTTTTTTCACATTGGTTACGAGGAATTTGAACTGGCCGCTCACAAGAAACTCAAAGCTCTACGTGAGTCAAATCGCGCACTACAACGGCTTCAGCAAGCTTCTCAATCGATCAATGTTGACTACCCACCATGTGTTTTTCAAACTATGAGTAATTTGCTATAGCTGAGCCAAAGCGTCAAGATTGAGGTTGCCAGATTTTTTTATCGCAGAAACGTTCATGATAATGTTTAGCACGCGATGTGAATCACGTAGAGCATTGAGTTTTCATGAGCGGCTGGTTTCAATTCACGCACAAAGAATCATTCAATATCTTCGGAAGGAGTTGATTTCAGTAATTTTCGTTTTGGGCGTCGTGTTTTACGTGAAATTTTGGTGAAGAAACATGTATCAGAATGCTGAAATTCGAACCTAGTCTAGTGGTCCATTTTCAGTTTACTTTTATTTTTGAGTCGCTGAACAAAGCGAAACTTATATTCACATTTCATTGCCTTTGCTCAACATTTCAATGGGCCTGTTGCAAACTTCTGCTAGATCAAAAATAAGCGTTGATGCTCATAGAAAGTGTCTTAAAAATCATGATGAGCACATCAGCAAAGTCTGAAATGCATTCCTAACTTCACAATCTGCTTAATAAATTTGCGTTTGTTCGAGCTTCCCGTTTCAAAAACGATACCACAGCACAGGTGAACATTTCGTAAGAGGAGTCATTCTATCCAACCCCTGCTCACAAAGATAATGCACAATATTCAACCTAGCCGACACCAATCCGCCAAAACACACGTAGCGGGACGATTATTTTAACCACCTGACAACAATCTGCGTATTTACATTCACATTTTTCTCCCGTTGTTAGATATCTGCCTTGATTGACTTCATGCTCTCCTTAACTTGCGCGCAGAAGTGTCTGCCATGCTGAGCAGGGATTGAATGGAAATCCTCTGTCGAAATTTTCACCTGTGCTGTAGTATCCTATTAGAAGCAGGAATAGAGTCCCTTTATACCCAGAGTTACGACAACTCACTTTTGGTAGGGCTGAAAGTGGCCTAAAAAAATCCAATTCTGATTGGTTCTCGCTCATGGAGTCACAAACGAGTGCAACAAGATGGCGGTGACTCAAATGTGAACAAAAATAATGATAATATTACCTAATTGTGGTTTATCAAGAGTAAATTGTTATTTCGATCGGTCCAAAATGAAAATAGATTAGTCACAAACCAATCTCATTTTCTTTTTAATTGATCAATTTTGTTGATGTTGTTTTTGGATGTCAGACATCGCAGGGTTCCTTATCCTTATCCCTCAATATTGCTCGTTTGGGTGCACTCGTTTGTGCCTCCATGGCCAGCCAAGGCCGGCTACCAGTCAGCTGAAAATCGAGTTGTCTTTAACTCTGGGTATAAAGGGACTCTAAGCAGGAATCTTAAAAAACGCAATTTTTTTAGGCCGATAGTGAAGTTAGGGGTGCATTTCAGAGTTTGCTGATACACTCATCGTGATTTTTGAGGCAGTATTTGTAAGGAACAACTCTTATTTTTGCTCTAGCAAAAGTTTGCAACAGGTCCATTGCTCTGTTCTATAGAGAAAAAAAAGGTGGTCATCATTAGTCTCCGAGAGCTTTTTTCCTTATGTAGCTTACCACCTCCGGAAGATCAATGATCTATAATATCAATATTTCTCCGGACATTAATAAAAATTAGACTGAATAAAGATTTAAGGAATAGAAATGTGATTAAAATCATTCGTGAATATGATATCAGATCAGAGTGGGAAATGATGACTGTAATGAAACGAGGTGCAAGTAAATTATTTTTAGTGTGATATTCTGAAGAAATTTCTGGACTTGATAAGCTTTTAAAATAACCTACCGAAATCATCAGAGTTTGGAGAAGAGATTGGCTGGAGATAAAAGTATACTTACATTTTACCAAAAGTTGTGGGCACAATTGGGGGGTCATCAAGTTGGAAAGGAACAGACCACGGAATGTGCAAGGTAGGAGCTAGCTCTCTTAAAATCATATTTCCTAGGATTTTGGCACAATCATCATAGTACTTGTTAGAATTTTTTACAAAACTAAAACCATTGACATCACAGACAAATGACTTTCCATTGGCTCTGAAATTATCAAAAAAAAGAGTTAACAATACAAAATTTACATACTTCTGGTGCATTCTTCTTCATTTTGAGGTCTAACAAAATGTCGGGTATATTCATCGGGATGGCATGAACATAAACCCAAAACACCATATGAACTACTCCCGGTCAAGATATCACAAGCGCCAATGGAGATGTTGCATGTGTGAGGAATTTGCGATTTGACTATTGATTCTCACGTTAAAGTTCGCGAGAAACACGATAGTGGCACTTATGGCTTAAAAACAATGCATTGCTGTTTGACAACACCGTGCTGCTTTCAGTTAAATGAATAAAATCAGACATTTTTTATGTACGTTGCGCCCTTATTTTATTTTAACAACACCACACCGTCAAAAGTAGAAGTTATGATTCCTCTATCTAATTGAAAGGATATTGGAAGAGTGCTGATACACACCTTAAAAGATCGAAACCACAAACAGCTTGCTTAAAAGCCAGACAAACTTTTCTTGAGATCAGCTTTTCAACATTGCTCAAAATGACAGGATACCTTATCTCCTTCCCTTCACTATCCCTCTCAACTTTGCCATCTAGGGCTGGTGATTTCCTTGCTTCAGCATGAGCGTAATCCGGTCCAACTGTATAGACCTATAATAAAATAAAAAACATTTGAATCCTGCGTTTTACAGTGCTAATTTTGCTTGGGGGGGGGGGAATGACCATGATTACCTAAAAGTGACTAGTCACCATAAATGAAAAAACAAGACGGATGAAATCTTGTTAACAACAATTACAATAAACTCGATTGAAGGAACAACTCATCTTCTTCTTCTTCTTTTTTTTTTTTTTTTTTTTTTTTTTTTAATTCATTTGTACAGTTTATGGGAAGTTGCTATTGTTAAAGTGAATGTGTCGACTCTGAGCTGAGATTGCCATATTCAACAATTTTTCAAAGATAGCAATAATAAAGTGATGTGTATTTTACAGTTTACCAAGTGGATAACCTTGCCTTCAGTAGCAGCTCGCAATATGATGTATCCATTATGCATTGAGTACATAGAATCGTAATGTAAGTGGGTGAGCTGGCGCCACTTTTAAGCATTTTCCAGGTTCCGAATTCCGAGACTCCTGTGTGACACCGGGTCACTTTTTCGATACATAATCGATTGTTTGCGATACATGGGTACCTGACCATCGGATGTAAACAAAGAAGATAGAAATCACCGCGAATTCCACTTCGCCATTTTGGATCGAACATGTATCGAAAAAGTGACCCAAACTCGGCGCACACCGGGCTCGGAACTCGTCGAGCAGAACATGGCGCCTGCTCTTCCATTTACATTAGAACTCTATGTACTCTATGCCATTATACATATATCTAATTATACACTTGTTGATTGACATTCCTTGCCTAAAAAGTTTCTGTTAAGGTAAATGCTTGGTGATTTCTTCATACCTTTACATCAGTCCCGTCAGTTGGCATAAAATCCTCATAAATAAAAGATCCAGTTTTCCTCACTCTAGATTCTGGAGAGTATACGCTACTTCTGCTTCCAATCTGAAAAATTAAAAAAATTTGTCAATCCAACAGAATGATAATTACATAGAGAAGAGTATCTTTGCAATCATTCCATAAAGGTTATGTAAAATTTGATCTCAAGAAGCATTTCTCATGATAGAGAAACAAATCTTGTATCTGAAAAATTTCTTCCCCAACAGAGATACTGTAGATATCGAATAGAGAAATCTTGTAAGTTTATTCTGAAATGCTCAGAATAACAGATCATTGAATAAGTTTGACTTATAGTAAGCTTCCCTGAGGTTTTTTGTAAAAAGAAGACGACGGAGTTGAAACTACTCAAAATGTTTCTAGAGTTTCTCTTACCTTGCGGAAAAGTCTTTGACTACCACCACCAGCTGAGGTAGGATAGTATATGTAAATATTGTGGTCCTCTGCTGAAACTGGCTTTTCTACAAACGGCTTGTTGAATACTACTCCGTTCACCTCAACGTGATCTTCAGATTCCACTAATTCATGATCTGCAAATAGTTTGGAAAACAGCTATACACAAGGGCTGTTCAAAAAGAAACCGGACACAAGATGGTGAGACACCATCATCTGTTTACCTTAAGCAAGTCCGGTTTCTCTTTGAACAGCCCTTATAGATGATACACATGGTATTATATTGAACTGAGGCAAATACAGAGCTGCAATGCTTGATTTTACAGTTCCTAAAGAATATTACATACTAATAAGTCCGCCCTGTGGTTGCTATGTGGTTCAACTTCCAGAGAATGCTGTGCGTTCTTCTAATTTTCGGTGCAGTACATGATCAAAAACTACAATTCAAAATGCAGCATTTCAAGCTTTTGTGCCCGATTTGTACTTTATGCCACCCCGGGGCAAATATAATTTTGCCGTCCCCATAATGGTTCTACTGGGAAAAATTACACACTAAGGTGACCTAGAATCAAAGCGGGTACTCACATTCCCGTCTAACACAGAGAAGCGATTGACCAATAAAAAAATGGACTATCCACGGATTGCCGTATAAAAAAGCATTGGAGCTGAATGGTCCATTTTCTGGTTGGTCACCCCATTTGAAGCGCGTGAAAACACGTCCATAAGCGAAGTGATAGAGAGATTTTAGCAGATTTTAGAGTTAGATTTCTCGAAAACTTACAGATATGATAATAACAAAACTTTGCAACAGTCAGACATCCAACAGTCAGATTACTAAAATGCCGATTAAATCAATAAGACTTTAGAAACCGATTAAGTTCAAGGAAAAGCAGACAAACAGCAATGGCACCGCCCATTTAAACACACGTAATTTTGAACGATCTGGACGAGCGGATAACCCATTGTTGGCTATGCTAGCATCGAACGATTAGCACGATAGCACCGAATAGAGCACCTTTGATTCTAGGTTGGGTACCCCATAATTCATCAATGTGCGCTTAGAGGACCTCCCCCAGGAAATTTTCAACAAATAATCTCCCTTTTGAACAAGTTAACCTTATAATTTTTCATATCCTTACTTGTGTAACTGTTACTAGAAACAAAAAAAAAAAATAAAGATAATAATAATAATGATGATTCTAAAAACAATTTTTCTAAGCTATCTACCCTATAAATCCAGGTTGTGTGCTCAACTTATTTGTATCATCTCTCGAAATTTTTGGAAAATATAAACAAGAAAATATTCAATAATGGATTCAGGTATTTCATTAAAAAGTTCTTATCTAGAAAATTGCTTTTTACTGTTTTTCTTCAAATGGCAATAGTGAACTTAAACTTAAAAAAAGAAAAGATGGAAAGCCTAAAACATTGTGGAATCTTGTTTCCCTTGTCTTGGAACTTTTAGAAATTCGAAAGAAGAGCATTATTTTTTTAACAATGAAACTAGTACCACCGGGAAAAGATTGTCCTTTTGAGTCTGGAGGACGAAATTTTGAGTAAATTAATACGTACGTTTGGGATCTGGTGAGTCCCTGTCCAGCACTGCGTATCGAGGGATCTCTATACCTTCATTCTCAAGCAACGAATACACTTTTCTTCTATCTTGTATATCAAATTGCATTGGTAGATTGTTGATTATAAAAGGATTTCTCAACTTTGAATACTGAATTGCTCTTTCTAGAGGGAAACCTTTTGAGTGAAATGAGATCAAGCAATCGCAAATGGGCCATTCTTCAATAGGACTCTAGAACAGAAATTGGAAACAATTGATTTTAAAATTAGAATGTCTGCACTCAACTCCTTCTAGATTTAGAATGGATACTGTAAAGCATCAGGTCATCAAAAATTACTCTGATTAAACTCACTGATTCACACAGTAAATATTAAATTTTTAGCACTTATCATTAAAAAAAAATTAATATGACAAAATTTTAGAATGAGCTTAGATCTGAGTAAAATAAAACGTAGTTGACATTATTGTATATTCACAATACCACAGACATATTGCATAAATATATTTTGTTTTTACCCAAAATATTGAGGGGTAAATAAATATTCAACTAACAGACTCAACAGTAAACTTACATGTAGCTCCAGGCACAATAATTGAATCGACGTATGTGAAAACGTCCGATGTCCGAGACAGTGTTTAAGAATTTGAGTGGACCATTTCGTTGTAACTTAAGGACACAAGATGGTTTAAGACGTTATGTAGGAATGTAGAACAATTTTATAAATATTACCCTAAGTGTAATTAAACGTTTACAAAAGAGATTGATCCTATTCATCAGTGTTGTGGGACAAACAAAATCCACCGCAATTATGAGACCCTGTATTGGACAACGGGCATTTTCGCATACGCCGATTCAATTGGAAATTAAAGGAATGAAACAACAGCATAAAAATACAATATAATGAGAGTTACTTCAAATACCCCACCTTTAAGATGACTTCCTCTTTAAATACGACTATTTTTATGAATTCAAATTCTTCTAGGCGAGTCAAAATCTCTTTCATTGGCTTTGACTGTGATTTTTTTGCCATCGCACAAATTCCAACCACCACTTGCTTTCCTTCATCTTCAGAAAAGTCTTCTTCTCCGGAGTCCACTATGTTACCCTAAGAAACAAACAAAACAACAAAATTAGATTGATTTAAAATAAAAACAGAGCTTTCGATCATTGTTTTGAAGATGGTCCTTTCTGGGAACAGTCATGTTGGCTGCAACATTCTTCGTAGTTTTTTCTCCATATTCAATTTGCTCTTGAAGCTGATTAGATGAAAAGGCCAGAAAACTGGAGTTTTGAAATATTCTTTAACCAATTTTTAACATCACATACGATGAAATGATGCATATTCATTTGCAAAAATACGCGCAAAAGAACAAAGCAACAACACTTGAGAGGTATCACCATTGCTATCATGATAAGAGATGATGCATACTTTTGACCTCATTTTTGTCTTTTAAATAGTACTTTTCAGAAGGAATGTACATTGAAAATCACTGTAAAATTCTGAAAACAGTATAGTGGTGAGCTTACAAAACGACGTATCTTCGTTTGAGCTGCAACAGATTTCATGTATTAAATCAATTTTTAGAGGATGACTAATCAACTTTATTGTAAGTGCCGAATTTTCATTCCATTTCTCTTTTCAAGAATATTCCCTTAAAATTTCATAAATTTTTCATTTTCAGATTTTACCTGATATTTTCTTGAAAAAAAAGAAGGAGCAGGAATCTGGACACCTTACAATTGAGATATATGTTTCCCTAATTGCACCATTGAAGTATCATCGTTTGCTACACAGCAAACTTCTCATCGCACTTTAGTTTAGTTAAAGGGCAAAGTGAACAGATCCTTTTTTACTTTTTTTTTTTACTTTTAAAATACTCCTCAACCTCATCTTTGTAAAAACTGTTTGGAGAAATTTTCAGCCAAGTAAGTTAATTTGTTTTCCTCAAAAAAGAGAGAAAAATATGCGCAGAGATTGTTCAACATCAAAGCGACAAAATACGCTTTCAGATTTAACCACGAGATTCCAGCAATGATCTATCATCCTATGATTGCAGCTTTTGGCGATGTTTATTAAAAAAAAAAGGAGAAATAGGAAAAAGTCAGAGCCTGAGGGACTTCACCGCACTGCAACATGGCGAATTTTTCCTTGACAATTCATTTTTCTTGACGAAAAAATGATAGGGAGTTTTCTTCCAAAATTTTTGGTGAATGGTCTTTGGAATTGGTCAACAATTTCCTGACATTTTCAATATGAAACAAGCACTGTCTCTCCTAAAAAAGAAAAAGGTAAATTGTCATTTGAAGTTTTGCAACATTGCAAGGCGAATTGAGCCTCTCTGACTTTGACCCTTTCATGTCACATTTCATTGTAGTAGGGCGGATAAGGGGGAAAAATTCCCAGAATCGTGCATTTCTGGAAGAAAGCATGAAACTTTCAGGATATCATCTTTACCTATAGAAGGTTCAATTTCGCAAGTGAGCCCAAAATTCTGAGGCCATGGGGGCCGGGGGGGCAGGGGTTCCGAATTTCCCTATGTTTTGCCGAATTTTCGCGTTGAATCATTGTCAGAACGCCGTTAACAATGTCAAATGTAATGAAAACTTGAGTAAACGTCATTAGTAGGTTCTCTCAAACAGTATCCTAAAATATTATCACCGTCCGATCCCGGAGCACCCCTCAAAATGCCTAAAATTCAAAATGGCGCCCATAATAAGGCCTCCGGAATATCGGTATTTTCACTTGTGCATATCCTGTCATGTGAGGTATCATTTTCCATGTAATTTGGGTCGCAAATTTCATATTTGCAGTCAAAACAACCCCACGGTCAAAATTTGTGCCCCCAATCCAAGATGGCGGCCAAATTTTAAAGGCAGGAGGGTGCATTTTTTCAAATTTTTACGTGATAAGGCAAGTGATATGTCATTTCCCATGTAATTTTGGTCGTAGATTTCATTAATGAAGTCAAAAAAGTCCTCCGGTCAAAATTGGTGCCCCAAATTCAAGATGGTGGCCAAATTTTAAAGGCAGGAGGGTGCATTTTTTCAAATTTTTACGTGATAAGGCAAGTGATATGTCATTTCCTATGTAATTTTGGTCAAAGATTTCATTAATGAAGTCAAAAAAGTCCTCCGGTCAAAATTGGTGCCCCAAAATCTAAGATGGCGGCCAAATTTGAAAGGCAGGAGTGTGAGTTTTTATGAGAAAAAAAAATCACGTGAGATGACAAGTGAGGTTTATTCACAAGCATTTTTAGTTAACAAAACGAATCTTAATGAAATGTAAAAACAATCTTTTACACAAAAATGAAAAGAGATAATCAAGATCTTTGCCATCATGGCTGACAAGTGAAAAGTGATGAGCCACTAATAGTGAGGTGTCTTACTGATTATTGCACAAAAACTCTGAACTCAATTTCAGATGCCTTAGACTCGGAGGATGAACGATTTATAAGTACCGAAAATAAGATAGAAAACTTTCAGTCGGTTTCAGAAGGTGGGTCTCTACTCCATCGAGTGCGATCAAAGCTTAGGTATACTTACGAATCCATTGCACAAACCTATGTTCCATCAAATTGATGAGCAGGCACCAATGTTTCTTTGCACGTTTTCGAAGTGATGTTAAACGCGCAAAATCCGAGATGATCGCTGTTCTTGCATGCGTTTACTGGTTGCGATTCAACCCCTCACATCCATAAAACAGAAACAGCAACTTTATTCTGTACGCTTTTATCTGATTCTTACCTGCAAGAATCTAAGGGAAGGTTCTTGGAACCTAATCAAAACCATGAACGGATATGAAGAGCTGGAAAAGAGTAAATCGATGGTGAAACTGCTTAAATACGTATTCCGGTTTGCGGTGTTGCAGACTTCTTGTCATACTTCAGTTCCTTCATCAAAAAACAGTGAACGTCATTTTTTGAAAACTTCGCTTGTTTTTACTCTCTATGTGAGGAATATTCTGTAAAAATTTCAAGCCATGATGTTGGTTTGGTCCCCTCTCAAAAAATAAAATAGGAGCGAATATTTTGAAATCCTGCAACCAAGATACGCACTTTTGCTGTTTCACCGTCGAAATATTACTCCTCTACGGTAGCCGAAAAAATGTGACTTTCGACGACCTCCGTCATCACATATTGAAGGAAAAAGTTCCAGCTTTCAAATTCTTCATTCAATTAGAGAAATTACCCTCGACACCATCAGCAATGAAGTAGGTAACATTAATTTAGGAGCTACTTTTATACTCAACTGTGGATGGGATGAAGTGATCTGGATGCTTGTCTTTGGGGATGGATGAATTAAAACAAGGAGCTTCATCCTATTTTAAGTGACTTGCCACCAGCTCCTGGAATTCCCGTTTAAAATTATCCAGTGTAATTGTAAGAAAGGGAGTGACACCATGCTGTACTTCCAAGTAAATAATCTTTTCGTTCTTAGACTCATTCAGAAGTTCTGAAGACTCCAACTGTAAAAACATACAAAACCGTGGGAGGAAGATCCTGAAGAGCCTGACTGGGAATGTGAATCAGCATGTGTTGATTAGGATTTTCTCCTATACTGACTGGAGAGGGTACGGCAGGTGCGTCGCGTGAAATGTCCTTATCTTTATTGAGAAATTATATGGGCTTAAAAATGAATAAAATAGCTCATTATAAATGCTCCTGTTAACATCATTCCTACCGTGGACGGCCAAACTGATCACCCTCTTAATTATCTCTTATCATTTTTGTGTAAAAGATTGTTTTTACATTTCATTAAGATTCGTTTTGTTAACTAAAAATGCTTGTGAATAAACCTCACTTGTCATCTCACGTGATTTTTTTTTCTCATAAAAACTCACACTCCTGCCTTTCAAATTTGGCCGCCATCTTAGATTTTGGGGCACCAATTTTGACCGGAGGACTTTTTTGACTTCATTAATGAAATCTTTGACCAAAATTACATAGGAAATGACATATCACTTGCCTTATCACGTAAAAATTTGAAAAAATGCACCCTCCTGCCTTTAAAATTTGGCCACCATCTTGAATTTGGGGCACCAATTTTGACCGGAGGACTTTTTTGACTTCATTAATGAAATCTACGACCAAAATTACATGGGAAATGACATATCACTTGCCTTATCACGTAAAAATTTGAAAAAATGCACCCTCCTGCCTTTAAAATTTGGCCGCCATCTTGGATTGGGGGCACAAATTTTGACCGTGGGGTTGTTTTGACTGCAAATATGAAATTTGCGACCCAAATTACATGGAAAATGATACCTCACATGACAGGATATGCACAAGTGAAAATACCGATATTCCGGAGGCCTTATTATGGGCGCCATTTTGAATTTTAGGCATTTTGAGGGGTGCTCCGGGATCGGACGGTGATAATATTTTAGGATACTGTTTGAGAGAACCTACTAATGACGTTTACTCAAGTTTTCATTACATTTGACATTGTTAACGGCGTTCTGACAATGATTCAACGCGAAAATTCGGCAAAACATAGGGAAATTCGGAACCCCTGCCCCCCCGGCCCCCATGGCCTCAGAATTTTGGGCTCACTTGCGAAATTGAACCTTCTATAGGTAAAGATGATATCCTGAAAGTTTCATGCTTTCTTCCAGAAATGCACGATTGTTATGCTTATCCGCCCTACTATTGCCATAATGACGAAGCAAGACTTTAATCACCCATGAATCCTATGAACTTCTGTACGATGTTGAACTGAGACAATGAACGTGATGTTGTTTGATTAAAGTTTGAGATGAACCAAGTATTAATTTAGTTTTGTCTAGAATTAATTACACTGATTGTTAGTCGAAGAGAGAAAAACATCATTCAGTCTCAGTCTTTGTCACTACCACTAAAAATTCTCAGAGTATGATGTGCTTAAAGAATAAAAAAATGCCCTTCTAATCGTAGAGAAGAATGGATAGAACAAACCGACAAAGACTTAAATGAAAATGATGAATTCTTATTTTAAGCATGAACTCATGCACCAGAATGATGGAATTAAAATTCTTGTGACATTTTCTTGAGGCTTCACAAGTTCGTTTATAAACAGAAAAAACAAACATAATCAATTTAGGAGACAATACAGCAAAGATGCTTAATTTCTAGTTTATGAGGTCTCTTATAGCTCAACATGCACCACTGAATTTAAAGCAAGATATGCCTGAGATGGATGATTAGAGTTTAAACTGTGTTTGAATTTTTCATGATACCAGCTGTAAAGTAGGTATTGAACATAATTCTAGTTTTATGAGGAATCGAGACACTTTTGAGAAAAGTAAGTAAAAAAAGAGAAAGATTCTAGAAAAATCCTGAAAGATAATGTGGTTGAATATTACTTTGATTAAAATGAAACAACATTGAAAACTTTGGGATGTTTTAAGTTCAGCAGGTATTGATAACTTTGGGCCATTGAATTAGTAATCTGCATTTTTTTTTTTGACAGTATAAGTGATTACTAAAATTCACTAGGTTCTGAGTAACATAAATCCAATTTTTTAATGTATCCAATGGTAAAGTGGAAAATAAAGCTTTGGTTAATTTGAAAAAATTTTAAAGATAACTTTATTCAGCCGATGATAAAATAAGAGCAACTGTGAAAAGACTAGTTACATGTACAAAACATGAAAATATTTAGGGCCCAAGCTCACAGATACTAAGTAGGACCTCCTAATTTTTGCCAATTATGATTCTTAAAAATAGAAAATGATCCAAAGTTAAAAGAGGTATGCACAATTTTGAGAGTTAAATTAATTAGTCAATACTTTTACCCTTCTAATATTTTTTACGCAAAAAATCCTTGAAAATTGGAAGAATAGGTAGACAGTTTCCGATTGAACTTATTTTTAAATTTGAGTAGGACGTAGAATAGAAGAGTAATAAACTGTACCATGTGGCTTTTTGCTTCAAATGCCCTTCTACTTAATGAAAACATGGATAAAGAGGCATGCAAATAAAAACCCAGGCAAGCTCTGATGTGTTTATCTAAAACTGAACATGAACATGAGAAAAATCAATGCAAAAGCAATCAATAAAAACTGACGGAAAATTGATAGAGAAGTTTTAACAAAACCAATGGTACAATACCATCATTTGCCAGTATGGCTCAGCAATATTGTCGACGTCAAAAACGTACACATCAGGAAGCTCTGGGAGTTGAGATGAAGAAAACTCCATGATTTCATTGAACAAAGCCTAAATAGTCTGAAGGTGATAAAGGAGGCTGAAATAATTAAGAAAAAACTACAGAAAAGAAGTAAACAGAGAAAAGAATTTAATGGATGGAACGAAAAAGAGATGGATGAGAAGAAAATTGAAAAATGAAGGTCACTGAAAGATAAGAGAGAAGCTATGAGTCGCAAAATAGGGAAGATGTTCCTTCTGCGTAGTGGTTTCCTGAGTCAGCTAAAAAGCTTGAGTTAGAGTATCAGTTGACTTCCCCCAATTAAGAATATTATCATCGTCATTAAAGGTCAAAGGTCAAGTGTTAGTTAAGGGTCATCCATTTTAAGTCAAAAAAGTAGAAAAAATTGCACACTTTTTTTTTCTTTTGTCAACTCCAGGTGAGCAAAAAAGAGCGGAAACAACTGAAATTTTTAAGAAAAAAAAATTAATTTACTTGGTAAAATAATTCAATTTATCGATAATTTTGAGAACAACAATTTCTAGTTGCTCCTCAACATAGACGTCTGGTCTTCAAAATAAAACACTTCAGTATGTGGGTAAAAAATTAGTTTGATTAAGATACATATTCATTTAGCTTTAATGAAAAACCTGAGCTATGTTACTCGGTCCGGGGGCAATTGCACTAGGCACTTTAGGTAATTTTGAACTGTATGTTTTTAAGCCGCATTTGGTTTATTTTAAATTGAAAGTTTTCTGACCCACTTAGAGTGGTCTACTTTCACAAAGGATCTTTGATTACCAGCAGAAAATAATTAGTAAGAAAAAGAAGAAAAACTTCCTCTACTTTAAGTTACTTTAATATATTTTGTGAAGAAAAAATATTATGATAGTAATAAAAAAACAGACACACATAAATCAAACAAACATGTATTAAAGGAGTCCCAAATTAAACTAGGTACAAATAATTTTTTGAGGAACTTGGATATGAACAAAATTAACGATGCTGCAAGAGTTGGTCTCCAAATTAAAATTCAATAAAAGTCTTCAGACTGCTGAAAATGTTGCCCCTCTCTTGCTCCTCATTATAGACCTTTTTCAATTTTTTCATTTTTCTTTCTGAAGTCTATTTTGAATTAGTTTTCTGTGTAGTGATGGAGGTCAGGGAATTAGAAATTAAAGGAGTAGGTAATTGAGATGCAACAAAAATTATGCTTTTGGCTGCTTTTAGAAAAATTGTAGGATAGGTGCGAAAAAAAAGAAAAAGAAAAAAGGGGGAACTTATAAAATCTAGTCAAAGAATAATTATGATAATTTATCAAAAAGCTATGCTAAACTAAGATGCAAATCTGAATTACTGTAAATATTCAATGCAACAAACAAAGCTGAAACATTAAAATATTTAAGTATATAATTTGGACTGAGGTAAACAGACAAGACCTTACCTAAATTTTGGATCTTCCCTGAGTCTCATGGCATTTTTGGATCGAGTTTAGCGGAAAGGGATCAAAGATATTGTGATGCTGACAAGATTGTGAAAATTCTTCTATATTGCAAAAAAATTGAAAGTTTGATTGGCTTCTAATTTCTGCCAAGAATACTAATACTTAAAGAGGAGAATCATTCTGTAAAGTTCAGTTTTTGGTTTTCTTTCAGTTATTGTTACAGCAAAGAAGACACTCTTCACAGCATTGCAATATACTTCGTTCCTTCCTGCTGAATTCAACCCATTTATACTTCAAACCTCCTCTTCTGATGAAGAATTATGCTGCGTAATTTTTTTTCTGTGAAATTTAATCCACATCATCACAGTTCAAATTTTGGTGGCTCAAGTCAACCGCAAGTAAAATAAACAGGACTTTAAAATGGGTGAGATCAGCCAATCAATAAGTTTCAGTTATAAGTTTCAGCCATCAATAAGTTTTAACGGCGGCTTGAGCCAGCGGTGACTCCCTTCAGTCCACAAAATTTGGTGCAAAGGCTTCAGAAGGCTTTGACTGAGATTAGACTTCAGTTAACGATAGACTTCAGTGGTCTCTTCCAACAGATGTTACTCTTCTCAGCATTAACTCTTCAAAATTCATTCTCAATTGCCTAGGATCTGACAAATTATGACTACCTAACATGGAGGAAATTTTTTTTAACTGACTGATAAAGGCGATTGAAGATAAAATAGGGATGGAAGAAAAAAGAGGGATTTACAACGCAATAGTCAAGAGCATAGTAACCTACGGGTGTGAAGTTAGCTGATAAAACAGCGAACCCGGGAGGTTTTAGAGGTAACAGAGATGGGCTTCTGGCGTCGATCTGCTGGTATTTCTAGAAAAGATAGCATTAGAAATGAGACGGTACGGGAGATCATGGATGCAAAACAGACCATCGTGCATGACATTATGATGAAACAACTCATTTGGTATGGTCATGTTCAGAGACAGGTTGCCAAATAAGGTCTTTGATTGGGTTCCTCCTGGGAGAAGGCGCCCAATGAGAGGTTAGAGGGATGGGATTGAAGCAGAATGTTAAGGTGCTCAATGCCCGAAGGGTTGTGGTTCGACAGGGGGCAGTGGAGGCTAGGTGTCAGAGAGTGCCAGGGAGTGCTATAAAGTGACTTATATACATAGAAAAGTGAGGAAAAAGATAGCATTATTGTACTGCTCAGCATCATGTCCCTTATGAAAGCTTTATAAACTTACAAATACAAATAAAAAGGTTCTTTCAGTGATTGAAACGCACTCCAAAAAGTTGAAAAACGAAACACATGCAGTGTTATTGCAATTTGGATATTGGATAGTGAGAACCATAATGAAAAATTTTGGGGAAAAATGATATCACCCTTCACAAAACTCTCATGGAGAAAATAAAAAACTAGTGGAAGCTTATAGGCGCTCTTGCAAAATTTCTTCGTTGGCGTACAGATTCACCGGCAGATCTACCTTCATTATTTTACCGACAAAACTAAATGCACCAATCGAGATCATCAATCTTCTATTTTGCTCTAAAAGTCAGTTAGGAAAATAGACTGGAACTTTGATTTTGGGATTACAACCTTTGATAAAATGGATTCTCAGAGAGATTTCTCAAAGAATTTTAAAAGTTCAACCCTTGCAGTCATTGAGTTTTATTTTTCTTTGATACTGCTGATAATGATGAATGTTGGCATTTGGGGCCAATTAAGATCATCTAAGACCCAATGTTAATTTTCCTAATTCCCATGAGACTCCATGTAAACGACTGTACATTATTATGTACCCGATGGCTGAGAGCGTTAACAAGTTCACATTATAATTTTTGTTGACTTTCCTTGGAGTATGAACAGAGATCATTTCTGCACAAAGTATCTATTTAATATTAAACTTGATAGTCTATAAACTTCAACTGAATAGTTTTCCACCACCCACCGCTTGGATACAAATTTATATTCATTTTCTATTCTCTTTTCTATCTTTTCTTCCCTTCCTCCTTCTAAATCTGAAACAAATAATGGCATTCTTCCAGAGAATGTAACCAGGGTAGACTAACAAATCTGTCACTAGGTACAACAGCCATTGATGTGTGTTGGTTAAACAAGCACAATCTATAAGGGATCTAATACAGAAACAAAAACCAGCAATGAATTCTACGATTATATACTTAGTGGTGATTCTAGTAATTTACAAGATTTTTGAACGCAAAACTACATGGAAAAAAATCATTCTAACAAATGAAAATACTTACTCTTGGTTTTAAAACCTTCAAATCCTGATCAGTAAAATAGTAAACATTCCAAGACTCTTTCTTGATATCTTGATAGCCAGTCTCTAGCTCTGTGTAGGACATTTCGTTGTATTTCCCTTTTCAGATCTGAAATGAGAGAGAGTCTCATAAATAATGTCATGAACAGACTATAATATAAGCTGATGGTGCATGTTGACAGGGTAGCACGATTCATTACTTCCTTAAAGCGTTAACAAACTTATCAAGAAGATCAGCTGTCCTCAGCTTAGTGTTGAGAGTAAATATTCGATTCAAGTTGCCCATTCTTCTGTCTCACTCTGAAAGTGCAGGAACACATTTGACATGGAGTCGACAAGTGAAGTTCACATCAATGGCCAAAAAGCGAAACCATGTACTTCCGTTTACAATGTTGCAGACCTCCTGTCATACTTGACTTTTTCGTCAGAAAACCAGTCAATGTATTTTCTTCAAACCTCCTTGATTTTTCCTCTCTATTAGCATAATATTTAGTGTAAATTTCAAACTATAAAGTTGGTTTGTTTCTCTTCAAAAAAATAAAGTAGAACCGGAAGTTTTGAAGCACTGGAGAAGCAAAAATAGAGATGCATCGTTCTGAACTTCAGCAATATCATCTCTGATACAAAACAAACAAACAAAAAAAAAAACAAAAAGACCCACTTATTCGTAAGATCAGATGAATTTAAGATGCTTAGTCTAATTGACAGACACATTCAACTGATCAAGCACCATTTTGATTCTTCTGTATTGAGTGCTGTTTGGAAAAACAAGTTCAGGTGGTACTTTTTCAATGGATCACCTGAGAGGCTGGAGGCGGATCGTTTGAGACGACACGAAAGTATACACAACTAAAGCTGAGGATCTATCAAGGTGATGAAACATTACGGTTAATCAAGCGAAATGGATGATGCTGTACCTTACTTAAGTTTGAGTAGGTACAATGGGTATGATGTCGTTTAAGTGCAGAACTAGACCGTTCGGCTGTTATTTAGAGGTGACTCATGACAGCCTATTAAAATTTTTGAGCATAGGTTGTGTTTGAAACTCTAATGGTTCCATACTTAATTTATCTGATTATTTGAAAGGTGAAATACATAATATAATGATCTGACAAGGACAGCGACACCAGCTAGGCAAGGGCGTACTCAAATTCTGCTTTGTAATATATCTTGAGGGAATTTACTAAAGAGAACTTACATCATTGAATTCAGGCAGTGTTTGCGGTTTCAATTTATGAATCAGAGACACTTAACAGTAAAATTTGTTTAAAGACCTAAGAATAATGTAACCACTTCCTCCTTTACCTCCTTTTGCTGATAAGAAACTCTTCGATTGATTTGTTTTGACTTATGGTTCATTATCAAAAAGTTCATCTGTTCAATAGAGGGAATTTTGTAACTACCTCAAGTGTGGCATGAAAAATGTTAGGTTAGATTCAGTAATGTAATTTGTCTCTGAATGTAATGTAAGTATCGTCCAAGTTGCAAGTAAGTAAAAAAGTATCAACAAGTCTGAGTAAATCTCCAATCGCCCTTCGTAATACTTGTGAATATTTTTCACTTCTTTTCTCTCAAGAAATTTAGAAGAAAGGAAGAAAATTGCTCAAATTCTGTTCGCTAATTTTTGTGTGGAAAAAAGTACCAGCAAACATCAATCTATTGCGGAATGTAAGTATTATTTATCTTCAAACAATCCCAATCAATAGTTGCCTCCGCCACGCTGTTCTTGTGAAGTGTGAACACTTAAGGAAGGAAGAAGACGGAGTTAACAAATAATCCTATAAATCTCATCTTTTTATAAGTTTTCAATCGAAATTTTGGTTTCAGTCGGAATGCCCTTTGGCGCACCCTTCCGCTCTTCTCGACCTAATGATCCAGTAAGATGAAGCTAATCAATAAAAGAGATAATTAAGCCTTCTTAGGCACATTGTATCTCCTAACAGCCAAAAAATATCGTCTTCAGAATGCGTTAGAAGTTCCAGGTACTTACTGTCGGCTGCCCTGGGGATCTACTCTCTCCTTCATAAATTGCGTAAACATATTTGGCATGAACTGTATCATACTTTCAGAAGCGGCTAATCCAGCAGTCTAGATCGCTTTACAACACTAAACCGTCAATAACACCCTCTTTCCCTCAGATAATCAGGCATATGGCATCTTCTAATCTCTCCCTTTCATCCACTTCTACCTCCACCTACCTGCTTCCTACCTACCTCCTTCTACCTGCCGTCGTTTGAGAAGAATCCAATTAAAAACTTGTTTACTTTATACCAAATTTCATGTCGAACATCAAGTATTTTACGATTTCTAGTGTTTATTTTATGCCAGATAATTCGTGAATCACTTCTCCATTTATATTGACATCATTGACTTGATTTTCAGGTTTTCAGTTTGAAAGTTCCTTTTTTCATGAGAGGTCATGAAGCCTCAATAACGAAACCAGATTTATCCAACCGCTTGAATACTCTCTGATTGCTCATCATTCTGTATTTTTGCAGCTGTCGGAGTTAGAAAAATGCCAAAAGCAGCTCAGGTCAAAGGGAATGAGGCCTTCCATCGCATGAACTACCTGCAGCAATTAGCAAATTACATAGCTCCTTTGAACACCGAACTGGCTGCACAGTATTCGGAGCTCATGAAAGCCATCCGGCAACGCACTCTCACCCGGTGGGCCCCAGAGGTGAAACACAACTTTTGCAAAGGCTGCAACGCTGTTCTCATTCCTGGAGATACGCAACAGTTACGATTGCATAGAAAAAAAGGACAGCGTGTAGTAAGAACCTGTCTGCGCTGCGGAACAATTCGACGAATGGGCACTAGAAAAGGCTATCGTGTGTGGGGAGATAAAGATGAAGCCAATGTCAGTACATAATGCTGCCTATGAGTTCACTATTATATCACAGGAAAGCTTTTTCATTTCTCAAGAGTTGTTGGAGGCATGATAAATGGTGGGAAGCTATTATTTCAAAGTTCATTAACATTTTAACTTAGAAGCACACTACCAAACAACTTGAGGCTGAAGTTCTGAAGGGTGGTGTTTTGGCAGATTTTATGAACATAATTTTATGGGTGGTGTTTTTCTTGAAAGATACTGAAGTGAATAAACTTCAAGACATGAATAAAATTTGCTGAGCTACCCATTTTCCTTTCAACGATCAGCAAAGAACGCAATGGATCAGTTCAGAAGTAAGTTTCAGCTGTCTATAGGATGTCACACGAATAACAAAAGAATTTAAAGGGTGATTCTAGTAAACAAAATTAGACTTTTTTGCTCACTGACCATTACTTTGGAAATCAAACCCCTCTGAGGTACAGTGGTGCAAATAAGGTGCCAGAAGAATTTTCATTGTCATGGAGTTTGGCTTTCCTCCGAAATTTTTCATATAGAACAATAAATTTATACCAATAGAAATTGTCGGCAGAGTGTCAAAATTTCAGGTGCTGCAAGTTGAGTTTTGGCTGAAATAAATATAGCAAAGATGACTATGTCTTTCAGCTACTTATGAGTTTTCAAAAGAGGTGTGTCAGAAATAGACAGCTGAGGCCTGTGTCAGCCGTGACTCGTTCAGCTTTTTATCAGACATTAACAACAAAATCAATTTTTCATCAAAATCACTCTGTTACTTATATGTTTGTTCACTCATGAGCAATAGAGGGTTTGCTTTTTTGTTGATTGTAAAAACTGTTTCTGTAACAGATTATTCCAAGTATGTGTTTTAAATAAAAATATAAAAAAACTAATAGCTTAAATTTTTTATAACTTCGAAATTGTATGTTTCATAGTTGCGCTAAAGTAATAGCGAATCTTATTTTGATAGTTTCAGCATGTAGACTAGCAAAAAATAATAAGTTCTGTCTGAACACCTAGCTTTGCCCAACATCAATAAAGATATCGTCCTTCAAATAACACGGTGTATGACTTACTCCACCAAGGCGATTAGTTATGTACACTTTTACACTGGTTGCTTCACTTAAAACACCTAAGAACCTGCAGCATGATTGGCGCCATGATGACGTGTTTTTTGAAGGGCAATATTTCAGTTACTAATGGACAGTATAAGGGAATTTGATGTTAGGGCAGATCTTATCATTCTCAGCTAATATAAGAATAATCTGAAATCATCAAGAAAAAATTTTGTGACCATCGCAACTGAATCATTGCAATATTTTTGGTCAGGATAAAGTGAGGGCTAAGAGAAGTTGAGTCAGGAGACCAGATTGGTCTCTTGTGTACCTGAGGATTATCTAACTTAGAAGATGTTTGAATATGACATTCCATTAAGTGTGCCTTAACCATTAAGAACGGACTACATTGCTAAAGTGGCTCTGTCCCATGAAATCATTTTCTCTGATGAAAGCAGAGGCATATCATCAATGATAAGGGAAGATTAACTTCTCACTGATGATGGCTTCAGTGAGAAAGAATTGTCTCGGATCGAGAATCTCTTTCCGACATCCATAATTAGATACTGGACAGAATTTTTTAGTGCTTTCCTTTAGTGAGCTTGACATATACAAAAAAAATCTTCTTTTATGTCTGCTCAATTCACCAAGTTGAATGCCAAAGGGACGAAAGCTCTCCTCAATTAATTCTTGCCTCAAAATTTCCTTTAAAGCAAGCCTCAACCATTTAAATATTTCTGAAGAGATATCAATATAAGTTCGAGGAGCATTCAAGAATCTTGGCCTCAAGGTGCAGCCTGAAATTAGTAGACAGCAGCTTGAGATCAAAACTATAAGGAACTAGGTTTGCGTCTGCAATGAGCTCCAAGTCTGTAGGAGTACATACATACAAAAATGCTGAATCATGTCAAAATGAAATACCATGAACGGGTTCAGAATAAGTTAAAAGAGGGTTATTCATATAGGCGAAAAATGTACCCAGCCCGGAATGTACGAAACTTTGTGAGCTGATAGTACTAGTTGAGAGAGGCTTATCCCTATAGCTCCGTTTTTGCAGGAACCCCAGGGAAACAGCGTTGCCATTTTTTAAAGTCGTAACCTTCAAACACCCATAACTTTCGCAGAAATGCAGTTACAGAGCTCGTATTTATACCAAAAGATGCAAAAAATTACGTTCTATCGACCAATGCCAAAGAAATTTTAATTTGACTCCATTGTTGCCACGTTTTGGCCATTTTTTTAATTTTCGTAATTATTTAAAATCACGTTACCGCCTAAAAAAGTGTTTGCGGTTGGTGGGGATTGAATAAAAACCTGTCGGAATTATTGTTCGTTCGATTCCGCATCCATCGATATATTATACTTTTCTGAGAGACTCAGGGAACACGAGTTATAGCGATTTGAAAATTCGGCAACACGCCCTATACCCCGATATTGACGCTCGTTTAGGTACGTTTCGCAACTCCGTGTTAAAGCAAAACGCCTAGAACAAACAAAATTCGAAAAGTCAGTTCATGTTTTGCGCTTTTTTGAAACTTTCACATGATTTTTAGGAATTCAAGGAGCGGCGGTGTTGCCGGTTTTCAATGAAAACCACCGCTGCCATCACAATTTAAAGTAGTACTCATTTAATCTTATCCAGCTACATTTGCTAACCTAAACTGACCATTTGCGACATGGTGTTGACAACATTGCCTAATTTCCGTCGGAATTCGCGTAGAGGCGGGGTTGCCAGTTTTCATGGAAACCGCCACCGCAATCACAAAAAAAAATGTATTACTTATTTAATCACGTTCAGCCTTATTCTGTAGTTGGAATTGTTTATTTATCGAATCGATGGTTTCATCTATCTCTCTGCAACGGCAGTGGTGCCTGACAGTACCGAGATATCGATATTGTATAGAGATCAAGAGCAATGGATCTAGGCCCCTCGCCAAAACTACTCATCGGACCGCTTGAGTGATTCGGTAGCTTTAAATTTCGATATCTCGTTACTGTCGGTCACCACTGCCGTTGCAGAGGGATAGATGAAACCATCGATTCGATAAATAAACAATTCCAACTACAGAATAAGGCTGAACGTGATTAAATAAGTAATACATTTTTTTTTGTGATTGCGGTGGCGGTTTCCATGAAAACTGGCAACCCCGCCTCTACGCGAATTCCGACGGAAATTAGGCAATGTTGTCAACACCATGTCGCAAATGGTCAGTTTAGGTTAGCAAATGTAGCTGGATAAGATTAAATGAGTACTACTTTAAATTGTGATGGCAGCGGTGGTTTTCATTGAAAACCGGCAACACCGCCGCTCCTTGAATTCCTAAAAATCATGTGAAAGTTTCAAAAAAGCGCAAAACATGAACTGACTTTTCGAATTTTGTTTGTTCTAGGCGTTTTGCTTTAACACGGAGTTGCGAAACGTACCTAAACGAGCGTCAATATCGGGGTATAGGGCGTGTTGCCGAATTTTCAAATCGCTATAACTCGTGTTCCCTGAGTCTCTCAGAAAAGTATAATATATCGATGGATGCGGAATCGAACGAACAATAATTCCGACAGGTTTTTATTCAATCCCCACCAACCGCAAACACTTTTTTAGGCGGTAACGTGATTTTAAATAATTACGAAAATTAAAAAAATGGCCAAAACGTGGCAACAATGGAGTCAAATTAAAATTTCTTTGGCATTGGTCGATAGAACGTAATTTTTTGCATCTTTTGGTATAAATACGAGCTCTGTAACTGCATTTCTGCGAAAGTTATGGGTGTTTGAAGGTTACGACTTTAAAAAATGGCAACGCTGTTTCCCTGGGGTTCCTGCAAAAACGGAGCTAGGGATAAGCCTCTCTCAACTAGTACTATCAGCTCACAAAGTTTCGTACATTCCGGGCTGGGTACATTTTTCGCCTATATGAATAACCCTCTTTCATTCATCAAGTACAAATTGTGTCATTATTGCAAGTTGGCTCTTGGACTTGGAGCAAGGTTCAAAAATGGAAATCTTATGGTTCCACTACCTATTTAAAAATTAGCGTAATTTCAACTTAAGTGGAGCCTGTGTAAAAAGAACTTGCTTTTATCGAAGTTCTGAATATAACGAAGTTTTCCTGAAAATCGTGAACTTTGTATTACCTTATTTTTCTAAAGGAAGAGACTGATTCAGTGATGACTGTAACTTTTCCTCTCCTATTCCTTTCATATTTTGTCTGATAAAATTCATAAGGAGAATAACATGAGAGAGGGTTTTACTTACTTAAACCTTCATAAGTTAGTACCGAAAAGAGCTGAGCGACTTCCACTTTTTGAGTGGGAGATCAAGAAAGAATTGTACCTCCATCGATGCTACATTCTTGTGATAACATGCACCGGCAACTAAGCATTTACTCACATAATACTGACTAAAAAATGAGGAAAATTTTAACAATAGCTTGTTCACAACTATGTCTCGTATTTATTACCTATTCATTGCTTTTAAATGTGACATGAAAAAGTTGACATGGGTGCCTGTTCAAGAGCTCAATAGTCGAGGCTTTAACTTTTGAAAAATTAAACATCATTTTACTTAGAAAGATAATTTTTTTAAAAAAAGGTACCACTATTAGTTACCTAAACAAATTTGCCAACAACAAAAATGTAGGATCGAAGAGAAGGATGTTAGCGATTTTAATGATGAGCTTTCATTTCGATTTTTCCTAGAGAATTGCAATTCCTGAGGTTTAAAATCTGTTCTTTTGAAGAAAAGCAAAGAGAGTCTTCTTGATAAGCTGAGTCCAATTTTTTTATTTTATGAGGAATTGAGTATAAAAGATTTGGGAGTGACAAATTCAACACTCAGCAACATCATAAAGAGGCATTCTGCATTTCAATTTTAAACGGATGATATGACTGTTGCTAAAATTTCTCTAACCATATTATTCAATCTACTACTAAAGAGATTTTTGTGCGACGTGGCTCACTCATTGTCAGTTTCAATTAGAGGAAAATTTTATCAGTTTTTTTTCAAAATTTTATCAGTTTTTTTCCAAAATTTTATAGTTTTCATTGGAGTATTTGCCACTTACTAACAAGTAACTCTCTTCACTCATTTGAAGGCAGTTGTAATTAACCCATCATAAGAGGTAGAAAATGAGTGTAATTTTCATAAAGAAAAAATATCTCTCATGTCAGAAAAAGGTGAGGAAACTTGTAAAGAATAGAAAATTTAAAAAATTTCCGGGAAGAATCTTTTATTCATTTCTTCAAGGTAAGATGTGGTTTCATTTACTGGACATATATACTTAAAAAATTGAGGGCAAAGAATACATAGAGTCCATCAAAATTTACAGCTGGAAAACTTCAGGTTTCTATAAAATTTTAAGAGTAATTGTACTTCACGGCCAAAAATAGTGACAATGAACCAGAAAACAATTGTCATTTACAATCCTGAATACTAAGTTGATTTATGATTTTCCGACTTCCTTCAAAGGATGACAGAAATGTTGTTTCAAAGACTGAGATGTTGGATAGTTGGGAAACTTCAGAATAATAGGTCAGTTAAAATATTTGAAAAACGGAAAGAATTCCATCAAAGCTAGTCAACAAACTTAGGACATAAAAACCTGAAACTTCGCTGAAGGACAGTAATCAAATGATAAAACTTTCTCTAGGAAATTGAAGATCTTTCACTTAAAATAAATTACATGAGACAAGCAAAAAAAAAAAAAAAAATAAATAAATAAATAAATAAAAACAGATGAGAATCCTAACACCCGAAGATAGTGCTTAGTTGACAATGATAAAGTAGAGCAAGAAAATTCAAAAACTTCATATACAGCATGAAGTTTGTAAAGGGGAATGAATGACAGAGAAATGGATGAATAAAAAAATTAATAAAAATAAAAATTCTGATAACAAAAGAGAAGTTAAAAAATGAGAAAGGAATTGAGAACAAACTCTCATAAACACCTCCACAGTATGTTCAGGCTTGCATAGTGAGCGGGTTCCGGATAGAATAGTATTTACAAACCAAGAACCCACCACTCAAGACTATCAATCAAAGAAGAGTTGAAAGAAAGTGTCTCAATCAATATAGAAAGAATTATAAAAATAACAGTGGAAAGAATATTGCAAAAAATCGACTAAAAACCTATCTTCAGAAAAAATATGAAAGATCAAAAGAATTGGTGATAATAGTTCCCCTTGTTTCACTGATTTTATATTTTAGAGGCTCAAAAAATGTTTTTGACTTCACTTGCATCAAAGCTGTCAGTAGCCTAATTCACCATTCAAACAAGATATAAATTTCCACTCATAACTAGTGTCATGGAGGACACCAAGAGAGAGTTAAAAGAGGTGGGGAAAGTCTGATAAAATTTAGTATTAATACTTCTCTGAAAGTTAAATTTGCTTAAGATACAAGTTTTTACATTAATGTTATTGACATGTTCTAAATAACTTGGGACAGTATTTTATCATTTAGTAGACAAGATAAAATATTGACGCAGTGCACACTCTCTACCACAACTCACCGTCTTTTTCTTTAGCAGGAACTTCAATCACACGAGGCTTGTCAATTACTCTGGCTGTTCTATTACCTTTCTCAACAATGCCAATAATCCACGATTGGTAACCTTCTTGCTTTTCAATATCCTTGCAGTAAGCTGCAGCCTGTTCTCGGGGCAAACAGATCAACAGGCCACCAGATGTCTCAGCAGCATTTCCTTGAAGGAGGTGGAACATGTTGCCGCAGGCTTTAGCAACAGCGGCCATTTTAGCAATGACAGGCAAGTTGTGAATGACGAAGGACACTTCATTCTTTTGATTCTTAGCTAGTGTTTGTGCGTGACCTAGAAGACCAAACCCTGTCACATCCGTAGCACCATGAGCATTATATTTATGCATTAGTCTTGCAGCAGTTCTGTTGAGTCTTGCCATTGAGTCCATTGCTCGCTGGTATGCTTTCCGAATGTCTTCATCTGAAACAACAAGCTTGATACGATTCCAACGCTCTGGAATGTCAAGCCACTGGTGAGCGTTGACAGCAACTTGTGTCCCTAGAGGTTTTGTGAGGACCAAGACATCTCCGACAACTGCATTATCTGGCACAATATATTCATTAGGCTGACAGATGGTTGTGGCAACTCCACCGATTGTGCACCACGGATTCACTACAGTTTGACCACCAGTGACATTCGTACCAGCTTCTACAGCAGCATCCTTGAAGCCTCTCATGATTAATGGAACAACAACATCTCTCTCCTTTTCCGTCATTTTAGTTGAGACACCCAGCAGCATCAGCATATTATCACATTCCGTCACTCCCATTGCATACAAATCGCTAAGTACATTCGAGCAGGCAATTTTTCCTGAAATCGAGAGTCAAAAAGAATTAATCAAGTACCTACGGATCAGTCTTCAATCAATTTGAAAGCCATTTTGATTCAAAGACTGCAAGTTATTTCTTAAAACAGCTACAATGAATCTACCTGAATTCAGGGGAAAGTAAAAAAATGTTCACATCAAATGACTAGAATGATGTCTTGAATACGTAATGTACACTAAGCTTACTACAATCTAAATTAACATTTTTGTGAACTGCGTAACTCAGGATGGCAAGACCTAACTTCTGTGAGATACTTCGGGTGTAATACGCAGAGAGAAATTCCAAGTGGCTTAGAGGAAGTAAATACGGTTTAAGGAAGGTAGATTCACTGACAGTTTTGACTAATGATGGATATTGATTTGACAAAAAAAAAGAGAAAAAACTGTTGTTGTTTTGGCTGTAAATCGTTCAGTGCCTTGAAAATATTAGAGGTCTTTCAGCTAGTATGGCAAACTGGTACTTCTTTTTGTCTGATCTCTTTTGTTAATGATCAGGAAAATCTTGCGAAGATACAGCGTCTAAAATATGGCACAGGTACCTTTCTCATTTTCTTTTTAAAAACTCGTTACTGCTTAAACCTTCATTGGTCCTCTCTTTGAGGCTGCTAACATCGATTACAATACCCAAAGAGCGAAACCCAGTATCTGTTTGTGACATTGCTGACTTCCTGTCATAATTTATTTTATCTTTGGAAAGCTAATCAACAAAGCTTCTATTTTTCTACTCCGTTGACTGATTATTATGTTTTAATGTCAAGCAATAAAGTTGGCTTGTTTTCCTTTAAAAAAGAAAAAAGAAGTGGAGATATGAGGTTTTACACTTCGGCCATTAGTATGCTTTTAAGATATCCTTTCTTCATGCAGGCTCACTTGCTTTGCATCCCAGACGAAATGGAAAAATAATCCTAATTTTTTGACACGGTTGAACTAATTAAGAAGTAAGAATTCATACATGTCTGAGGAATATAATGCTCAATAGAACAAAATATATGGTTCCTAAACTTATGAGAGATATTTTTGCCTCGTTGGTACAATTTAAAAGATATCGACAGAAATTCTGGTAAAATTTTTGGTAGAAATCTCAGCAAGAGTAAAATTTGCGAAACATTTTCCGGAAAAATTTCTTATTTTTCAATTTCTCTGACACTAGAATCGCTTGCAAAATAAAATTCCCTGACATGCCAAATTTTCGCAGATTCTCTGACGATTTCCCTGATTTCCTTGACGCAAAAAAAAATTCCCTGACATTTTCCGGTTTTCCAGGTTACTAGACATCCTGTAAACCAACAGACCAATTTGGTGCCAACAAAGTGCCGGTCCATAACAATATAATAATTCCAACTCTGATGTGAACATTGTGATGAATATGCGTATCCTGCTCAGCTGCTCGCATACGTTCATACTTACGATCGTCTTTGGCCAAAAGAAAATTGCATCAGACAGCAGGCATGATATTCTTTCCTGAATTTCAAAACTGAACATAGGTACATGATGACAATCTTCAGTAAAAATTAAATTGATGCGCTCTGTTCAAACTACATTGTTTGATGATATTTGAGGACTGTATGGCACAAACAAAGCCAAGTGCAATTCTTTTTGGAAGAGTTAGAGCCAACAAGCATTCAGCACTGCGAGTGCTTAGCAGACAACCATCTCTTTTTCCTCATACCCTAGTGTAGCAATCGACAGCATCAGTTAGACTGACAGGCTAAGGCTGGTTGCGTAAAAAGACAGGGGTAACATCTCTTTGTTGCCATGTGATATCACTCCAAATTTTCAAATTAATTTTTCAAAGCACTCAAGGCCAGAACCCATAGACTTATTTAATTAGACAAGAGCCACATGTAATTGTGCCTCTGGGCAAGGAATGATACGATTAGATCCACTTGACCAATATGTTTAGTGATATTTAAATAATTTATCAAAAAAAAATACAAGACAGACTGTGAATTTAGTGCCCAGTTTAGAGCTGACTTTAAAAGTTCATGCTAGTTGATAAGGTCATATAAAGCTTGAAGCAATCAAATATTATGAGCAGCAATAGCTGAGCATCATCATATAATTGAGTGAAAAATAATTGACTTTTGAGCATTGTTACGGTGACAAAGCTTTTATATCCTTGCACTTTCATTATACTTCTTGAAAATAAAATTAATCATGACATTCTTCCAGACATTTGGAGAAGTAATTAAAAAATAAATATTTTGAGACCTGACCAATTTTTAGGCAAGATATGTGATAGCTAAATGGATATTGGAATTGAATGGATCTTAGCTTACCCATCATGTAAGGATCATCAACTAGTGGGTAGAAGAAGTCAGTGGTCTGAACTAGTGACAAACCTCCATGCCTCAGCGGAGTAACAGACGCATCCATTCCGATACCTGTGCAAATCATATCCATCAATAAAGTCATTATTACACAATTATCGGTCAGTAAGGTTAGATGGAAGCTTGCAGGTTCAACTGACGCACGATGTTTGAATTCAAACCAGAGTTGGGACAGTGCATTTCATTTTATCATATGATTTACAGAGCTGGCCATTTTTCATTTCCACAAGGAAAGACTTTGAATTTTCTTGAAACGCTATCTATACTATAAGCTCCAAGACCTCCTAATTTTGCGAAACTGGTAACGCTTAGTTCCAGCGTTCTACCGGGCCGATTTTCATGATTTTTGCGGCTATCGACGGGCAATTGTCTCTAGATAAGCCAACTCCTTTCAGATTTTAAAAATATGGCCCAGGTTTTTTTATATTACGTGGTAAAGTTGCGAATTCTCCCATTTAAACAATGTAAATTTATACTTTTTGTCATAGTTCGTTTGAGCGTTCTACCGGGCCGATTTCTATGATTTTTGCGTAAATCGACAGGTAATAGGCCCTAAATGAGCCCGCTGTAATCAGATTTTGGAAACAGGACCCAGGTTTTTTTAAAATCACGTTATAAAAGTGAGTGAGTTTACAGAATGCTCCAGTACTGCTACCGCTATGCGCGGGAGGATGCGCAGTGGTTGAGGAGGTTGCGCAGTAGCTGTCTAGCCTGCGCAACAGCTCTACACTTATCTACACAAGATTTGCACCGACGATTCCGTGTCGAGCGGTGGCCGAGTCGTCTAACAATAAGACGTCGAATGCGTCCGCTATGATTTCGGTGTGGGTTCGATTCTCGACTCATGAGGTCCTAATTATTATACCTCACTATCATTGTTCATTGTTTTACTGCAATATTTCATCAAGCAGTCGTTCCAAAACGCGTCCTTTTATTTTTAAAGTAATTTTAAGTAAAGTTTAAAATTAAAGTATACCTCATATCGTAATTTTTTAGGGGAAAAATAAAACTGATACTGCTAGGAGGGTAAAAATAGGGCCGCGAAGCGGCCCATTGATGGCGCGGAGCGCCTTCAGGGGGTTGGGCCGCGTAGCGGCCAGGGGGCGTAGCCCCCTAGTTTTTTCTATCAGGTTAGTAAATAATATGTGCAAAATCTATCTCAGAATCACAATTGCTGCTATGACTGAAAAAATTTTAGAAGTTAGGTCGGGTGCAGTAATTTTGCATTGAGAGGACTTGTAGTTCTGGAACATTTGATTAAAATGGATACTGGAAACATAAAGTATTCTGAGCTCTTTTGAATAAGTTTGAAAAGTTAAAAAGGTTGCTCTTTTTGATTTTGAAACTTGTGGAAATTTTGGATCTTCTATTCCAGTGTGAATATACTCCGTTTAGTGGAAGGTAAATGCACAGCGTTGCCAAATTTGTCCGTGAGCACTTTTTTCTAGGTAAGAAAATCACACTGAATTTTCTTCACGCTGCCAATAAAATTCGGTGTATTTTCAACTGCGTCTCTTTAGTGCTTTATTTTTTATAAATGAGGGGGGAAAAGGAGGAGGGAAAAAATCCTGGGGAAACTATGAAGATGTTGTACGGCAAACTTGAGATATTCTTTTCGTTGGGTAACTAAGTCACAGCAGCTCTATCAGATGATTCATGTTCTGAAGTTATAAACTTATAGACGATAAAAAAATAAATAAATAAAACTATCAATATTAAGTGCGTTTTACACACATGTAAGGCAGTTATTCTGAAAAGCTCCTAAGCTCTGGTGCTGAATTTCAACATAGTTACACAACGAATAGCCTTCTGGTTCTCGTGCATGGATTGATGAATTTCAAAGATGAGAACTGATATAGAAATTGATGGCTGCAAAATTAATTCACCGTTACATTCGTACTGCAACTTCTCTAACCTCTACTGACACACCAAAGTAGGTACAAAAGATAGATAATGATTATAAACTAGAGAATAGACACAATAGAAGATATCTGCAAGAAAGAGGGTGAGAGAAACATGTGAGAAGGCATTAAAATATATTCGGGCCGTCCATAAATCATGCAAGACTAAAAGTCAGGGTTTTGGGACCACCCCCCTCTTTCCAACACACATTGAAAAAGGTGGAAAAAAGTCCCTCATAAGAAGAAATAATTAGAGACTCTTGTGATGGAGCTAATTTAATGCAGAAACTGGCAGCTGCAGAGATGCAGACATGTACAATTGAAGGGCTGTGAACTTGCTTCAGTACTCATCTATGGAAAAATACTTTCTGGAAGACATTGAAAAAATCTACAAAATTATGCAGGTTAGCAGCATTGACACAACGCAATTATACTTAATTAGCTTCATTATCAAATGTAGAGTTGGAAAAATAATGTTGTCCAGCAAGACAATGCAAATCTACTGAGATTACGGACTTAATCAATACAATAGACCACGCGCATATTTGACCGGTACATATCACCTCAAGTTCTAATATAGTGCTAAGGGGTTGGAGCTGCCAAGAGTGACACCTTTATGGCTGTACTTTAGACATATGAGTAAGAGTACAAAAGTTAAACTCATTCATATGTTGACAGAGAAATAAAGCATGTTCAAGTAGGTACATAGAACATAGGGATGGGTTGATCTCTCACGCTAACCTCAGAACAAGTGTTGGGAAAATGAACTAACATCATCTGATACAGACGAGGAACATCGCTCAGAGAAACGGCTAGTTCAATAGTCGGTTGCCAACACGTTCCTCATGAGTGATGCTTGCGTCACAAACTCATGTTCACACCCATTGTATTTCGGAGTCAGTCTTGCCTCACTTATGCGTCATTGACTTGGGAAACCATGCGTAGGGAAATGCAATACAAGAAGACAGGGTATTAGATTAGAGGATGGAAAGAGGTGAACATGGTGAAGACAAATTCTTACCGATCCGGGGGATGGCCATGTGCATGAAATGTGCGTGCTCATCTTGGATTGAACTTTCGTCATGTTGAAGTCCCTCCAGGAGTTTAGATAAAACTTCCTGGGGGACCTTACACCCTCATCCTTTTAAATCAGCAAAGCGAGTAAGACGGAAAGTGGCCTCCAAGTCATGAGCAACAGGATCAAAAGGTCTTCTTAGAGCCAAGGCATTGGGGTTGCCACCTAGTTCTAGCTGCACGGCGCTAAGTGCATCTTGACTTACGGCGGTGGCGTGAAGATCAGCCATCATGAGTAAAGATTAACACAATAAAACCGAAAAAGAAAGAGCAAACACTGAACTGCAGAGGAATTTCGAGATTTGCTGCTTCAAAGAAGCCGGCACCAAACTACGTACGGAGATCACAAAACATACATGAATACAAACAACGGGACGAATGTGATTGGTCGAAAGTTGGCGGGTCTGGCTTCCCAGTAGGAGCAGAAGATGCGTCTCCCTGAAAAATTCCTTGATTTGATTGACAGATTGTGAAAAGGTTTCTGAATGAGTTGAATAAACTTTTTTAGAAATGTTAGTACATAATTGTACTACTGTTTCACAATCTTTAGTGCGGGTAGCTTTTTTCACGCATTTTCTGACGTTGTTTTGATTTGTCGTTGTAAATTTCGGAAATTTTAGCAGCGTGATTTCCATCGCAGTTCAGCTAAGTGGACTTTTTTTAATGTTTTAGCAAAATTTCAGGTAGACACTGTTTTACTTCATAAGTATCTTCTTTGTGCTATAGTGGTCTTCTTTTTTACAACGGTAAAATGGCTAAAAGGAAGTTTGAAGATGCCGATCTCGAAGAAGTTGATGATGACTGGAAGAATAAGCCTCTCAAACCTGAAACAAAACATTCTTTAGATTCCGATGAGGATGATGATGATGTTGATGAAGAAAAATATAAAATCCTTCCGCAGGATGACATTGAAGGTATTTTGATTTGACACATTAGTTTGTCGCTGTACTTTCCATCTCTCTCGTAGGACTGATAAGAATGGACAGTCTAATTAGAGTCTTGAGACAGATAGTCCTCATAGTTCCGCACAGTGCATTTTGATCAGCAAAGTCCTTTAGATTAGAGTCTAAACTTTAGATGTTATCTACTCACTTTTGTAGGAAAACACAAGTTGTGTCATGTCGATGCTTGTTTCTCAATTCAATGTCACCACGAATACAGCAGAACCTATATTCCACAACTTCAAAAGTGCCCCAACTCATCAGCGGCCCGATTATTACAACTATGTCGGCCCGACACGACAAGACATAGCCCTGTCCTAACTATGTAATATATTGCAATTCGATTTCTTTTCGGGCTGTTTTAAAATTTGAATAATTGGTCCGCTGGCATGGACTACAAAACTCTGTACCAGGTTATGACATCTTAAGTATTCCAATCATCTAGTTTCCCTGCCAGATCATTATGGAGATGAGCAAGTGACCATGGTTGCGCCCTGATTGTCGTCTGTACAGGAAGGAATATGGTGCTTGTGTCACATTTCTTGTATTTGCTTGGACACATTTAATTTCCAACAAGTAAAGACAAAATCTTTTAGAGACAGAAAGTGACTAAAATCTAAGGTATGGATTTTTCAACTTTCGCTTTTCATTTTTGATTTTTTCCTATCAGAGTCATGATGTATGCTACTCTCTTGCATAGCAGCCTTTTTCGATTGAAGTGATGAGATAATCATCTTTTATCATTACTCACAAAATTTTAGCAAATTTGTCTAAATTTTAGCCCCTAGAATTTTTTTTTTTTTGATGCAGTTTCATAATTACTGATATTGCATTTTCCAGGCCAAGAAGCGGGTGGTGTGCGCCAAGAGGGTGATGTTCAGATCACACCTTTTAATATGGATGAGGAGCTAGAGGATGGACATTTTGACACAGATGGAAACTTTCACTGGAAAAAGGAAAAGCTTTTGAAGGACCACTGGCTAGATAATATTGATTGGGTTAAGGTAATTTCATTTTTCTTTGCAATATTAGAAGTGTCGTCAGCTAAGCTGATGGTTGTTTACTTTCGGTTTGCAGGCGTTTTCGCGTCACTACTATCCACATGAAAACATCAGACTCTCTCAGAGGCAAGAACACAAGATTAGAAAAGTTTTTTAATACTTTCAAACCCTATAACACTTTAATTTGTAGCCACACAGTAATCACAACCACAAAAAAGTCGCAAATTATAACTGATAAGTAGCTTTTTTACGATACGATCATGAGATTGATGTTTTCAATGTGGATAGTAGCAAACGCTGCTTTGTTCAGAGGCTCAAATTCGTCGATGGCGCTTGCAATCCGAAAGTAAACAACCGTCAACTTAGCTGACGACACCTCTATTCACTTATTCCGTCAAAATCAGTTGCACAACCTCTTAAGGGGTTTTCTTTTTTTGATCGGTGGTACCGCCGATCACCAAACTGTGTTCGTTAATTGATCCGTCGGTGCTGACGTCACGACCGGTGGAAGTACGACTGGTGGATTTGGTACCACCGATCAGTGATCGGAGTGATCGGTCATTTCTCCGATCACAGCTCCACCGGTGGACAACCTAACCTTACTTCAGCCAGATCTCAGGCCAAAAACAAGCAAACAAACGAGAAATCGTGAGTATTTCGCGCCTCCCGCCGTCGCTGAGTCTGATGATTCTGCTTGGATCGTCATTGTCGCCTATGTATTGAATTATGTAATATTTTTAGTGATATTTTCCCCCGTACTTTATTTGTAGCAAAAAAGGAGTTAATGCTGGTACATTGAGTATATATTTGCACTATTGCAGTATCATTGCGGTAAAGGTTTGATGAGAGGAAGAAATCCATTTGTTTACATTGGTGGAAAGTGTGTTCTTAAACTCCCGACTGATCGCGGGCAATTTCGTACCAAAATGGCGGCCGATGGATTTCCATCGGTGGATTTAGGGCCATTCCTGTCAAATCATTTAACTAGTAGTTAACTGTCTGTTAAGGTCCAACTAGAGGTTGGTGTGTCTTGTCAATTTACAACTACTGGTTGAGAGGCTGTTAACGGGCTGATTTTCAACTGGTGCTTTTTCTGCCTGTTAGGTTTCAACTAGGACTTCAGACAAAACATTCGTTCCGGTTCTTCGCGTTTCACTAGTTCAGTAAGAGCCTGATTTAACTACCTGGGCTCGGTTTGCGGACCCCGCCACCCGCACCCTCCTCTTTGCAAGGGTTGTTCTATCCTCTCGTTCAACTGCTAATTGAATTTTCGGCAAGGGTTCCCAGACATTAGAAACAACCTGATGTAGGATATCAGGGAACAAATCATGTTAATGCACTATTTGGCAAGTAGTCTTTGTTCAGGAACTAGAGGTTGAAAATCAGTGACAAGACTCTCCTTCAGGTCGAACTGGAAGTTACCTTTAACTGGTAGTTCGTCAACTAGCAGTTGAGACCCGATTTGACAGGAATAGCCCTTAGGCAGATCTACCGATCAAAAAAAGAAAACCCCTTTAGAGTTTTTATTTGGGCCAGCATTTGGCAACAATGTGAAGTCACCTCAGATCCAAACAATAACAAGAACATAACCTCATTCTACAGTGATTGTCAGTTTGTAGACTTTTAGAAAATAATAATTACTTCGTGGTAGTTCTAAAACTTGTGTGTGAACTTCCCTAATTTACAATGCAGGCTAATTTAAACGGTATAAGTGATGATTATGATGAGATTTCATCACATGTTTATTCAAGTGAGAATATCCCTGGAGTCGGTTGCAACCTAGAGCAGTTCGAAACTCAGATTTGTAACACGTGTAAATGCTTTCCAGAAGACTGTTGCCCCGAAAATAACTGCTCCTGCATCAAATTATCACATGGTGTAAACTATGAATTATATAGGGGCACCAAAACAGTTTCAAACACAAAACTAAATTCCACCCCCTGTAGTTCATACTCAATATTCGAATGTAATCAGATGTGCTCCTGTTCCAATTTTCCATGCATTAATCGACTAGTACAGTTTGGTCCAAGGAAATCCTTATATTTAAAATCATGCCCTCAAAAAGGTCTGTGTTTATTTACTTCACTGCCGATTCTGAAAGGTGAATTTATTTGTGAGTATGCCGGAGAGATCATATCTAGAGCTGAAGCTAAACGACGTTTGGATTTGGACTCAAGATCCAGTAAGATGAACTATATTTTCTTCCTTCGCGAAAATTTCACCAATGAAGTGGTCGAAACCATTGTTGATCCATCGTCTATCGGCAACATTGGAAGGTACATAAACCACTCTTGCAGTCCTAATGCAGCTATAATACCAGTACGAGTTGATTCTGTGGTCCCAAAATTAGCAATTTTTGCAAAATCAGATATCATGGCAGAAAAAGAAATAACAATGAGCTACTCGACAGGAGCCTCATCCATGGTGCATTCTTTGCCGCAAGATCTTAAGCCCTGTAATTGTTTGGAAGAAAATTGTGTGAAATACTTACCAAATGATAATATTTTCTAAGGGTAAGTGTTCTATATTCTAACGCAGTCCTAGAATTTTCTCTACTAACCCCTGAAGTCAGTTATAACTCACTCTTAATCGAGTATTCACTCAAATTATTTACATGAAAGTCCGCCTTTGGTGGCAGACTGACCCGCTGTGTCAGAATATGGGCTAACAATGGATAGTGCAAGGCACAGAGGGCTTGCAAGAACAGCACCTACTCCTTGCACCGCTTCTTGGAGAATTAACCCCTCCCCTACCCCGTATCTGATATGCCTCATCACTGACGAGGTGGAAAGTTGCCAAGTGAGGGCTCACCAGCTGGGCCCTGGTGAGCTCGCTGAGGAGTTATGCTCCTTAATCTGGATTCAATCATTCTCAAATTTTCTTTAGATTTTACCCTTTTATTCTATTTTTTCATGAAAGTATGAAAAAAATGTCGACCCTCTCCCCACAATCCAGGGTGTTTAGAATATACTATGTAAATGGGTATGTTCAACATAAGTAATATGTTTATGCTCCATTACAAACTGATTAAAATTTGAAGCTGATCTTTTTCCCACTGCTACGCCAGAACTATTCTTCAATCCAATGAGATGGATTAGATTGGCAACAGCAGAGGGGAGAATGGGAATTTTTCCTCAAAGAATTCAGAATTAAAATTAGTTTCAACAAAATTTTTTAAGCATAGTCCCCCCCCCCCTATTTTGAGCGTGATTTTTTTTTCTTTCTTTAGCCCATATGTTATGTTGCAAGAAACAGAACAAACTTACTAAGAATGTGCTCTTCATTGATTGTTAGATTTTATGATAGTATTTTAAGCCAGTGTATTTTTGTTGTTGTTTGTCATAGATTCGAAAGGGGGATGAAAAGGCACCTGCTGACAAAGGTATTGCTGATAGTGATGATAGTGAATCGGAGGAAGAACCTTTTGACTCCGTAGCTGTGTATAAAAAAATATTGCAGTTAATGAAACCAAAAGAAACTGTTGCTGGAGCTTTGCGGCGACTAGGTGAGTCAATATGCAATATTTTCGTCACGTGTGAATGTCCGCTGATACAGCAGTCTTATTGTAGAAAACTCAAAATTGGGTTATTAGTACCAATTATTCAAAAAGTGTCCTATGAATTTTTTAGCAATAAATGCTCAAAATTGAGAAACCGATTTAGTGTTATGTGTTTGAAGTAACTACGCATTCCCCAATTTTTTTTTGAAAAAAAAACCAGTGCCTTTAATGCTAATAAATGTTGGTTTGTAATGCGACTTACCTCCCTTGGAAAAAGTTGATTTCTATATTCTTTTAGATACTGAAATTTATTCGCTCATATATTTGTCGTTTAAGTCAGCTGTTATAATCAATTATTTTGGCATTTGATTCAACTTCTTAATTCCTCCCTAAGGATGAATGATATTAAATTTTTTGAAATATCCAGCGTCGCTCGCATAGAAAAATTAAGTAAGAGCGGAAATGATTTGGCAAAGCAATCATGTTACATTTTTCTGTTGTTTTGTTTTCAATGTAACTTTGTTACATTTTTTCAGACTTAATTCACGAGCATTCCTCTAGTTCTCTGCTTCTAATGGAAGGATAGTCAGATTTTAATAAAACTCACAACTTTTTCAAGAAAGAATGTTTTTGAGATATTTGTTTTCTTAATGATAAAAAATTGAATCTTCGCCACTTTTTCAAGGAAGAATGTTTTTTAAATGTTTGTTCTCTTAACGAGAAAATTGAATCAGATTAAATTCCAACTACCTTAAATATATTGTGATCTTTTGCTTTAAATTTGTTTTCTGTACTACTTGACTGTTGTTCTATTAACTAATGAATACCTTATAGGTGGCAATAAATCCATGTCAGCATCGGAAAGGTGGAAAAAGAAAAAAGCTGGACTCAAAGAGGAAGAAAATGCAGACAAAAAGAATGTCACCCTTTTAACTGAACTAGCAAATGATTTACTTACGCGCACTGGCAACATGGATATATATCAGGAGACTTACGAGAAAATATCAGAACTGGTCAGTGCATAATTTTCTTTGTTTTTTCGAATTGTAACATAGTTTTTAAATCTCGGGCAAATTTAGAAACTGTAAAAAATTTTATGACTAGTTATTTCTTGAAGGGAACATTTCTAGGAACTGTTTGAAAATTTTGTCGCTCAGTTAACTTCATTATTTAATCAAACAAAATTAGCTTCCTACCAGGAATGCCAATAGCATTATCAAAGTGACCGACAACAATAGCCTATTGGGCAGGGTACAAAGTTGAGGCATCTTGAAGCAAAAGGAGCTAAGTCCATTTTGCTTCAAGATGCCTCAGTTAAGCACCATAATACATGTTTCTTTATTGAAATTTTACATAGAAAACAATAGACGTATTGAAACTTACCAAATTCAATTCGAAGGTAAGAAAATAGCGTTTTCTCATAGAGTACATAGAGTCGTAATGTAATTGGGAGAGCTGGCGCCACTTTTAAGCATTTTCCATGTCCCGAATTCCGAGACTCCTGTGTGACGCCGGGTCACTTTTTCGANTACGAAGTGAAAACGATTTGTATTTCGCAAATCAAAGTGATAGTTAAAGCAACCAAACTGTGTCAGAAATGTTCCCAAATTACTAGGTAAGGCTTTTATCAGCTCATCATCTGATCCAATAATTTTAATTGTGGCATTTCATTCGGCATGTCGCCGCACGACTTCTATGATACTCAAAGTCTCACATATATAATTTGAAAGGGGGGGTCTGGGGGGGCGGCGCCCCCTCAGCAGGTAGCTTTTGCTACTTGTTTTTTGATACGATTAAAAGTGCCTTGTACCAAAAGAGGATGGAAATTTTTGTGAAAAAAAGCTCCAGTTATTTGCTTCATATTTAGGTCGTTTTTTTAATAGCTGATTTAATCCATGTTGTTATGGTTTTTTAACGGACTAGAAGTTTAAATTTACTATTCACAAATTAAACTACATACGTTATGACTTAATTTTGGAATGCCTCTCTCATAATCTAATATTGGAAAGTTCCAATATCCTCAATGTGTTCTGCGTGAAATTATAAGATTTGGTAATGTCAAACTAAGTTTTGTCGTTTTAAAAGTTGTTCAGACTCTGGTTTACAAAACGCCTAATTAATTGTTGTCTCTATCCTTTTTCAGGTAAATAAAAGTGAAAAGAAAAAAAATTCAAGCATTTACGAAGATGCTGCAGATGATGGCCTTGACATGTACGCTGATGATTTTGGTGAAAAGGAAAAGGCCAAAATTACCTCCACCACAGAAGCACCTGATGATCAGCATGTTACAAATAGTTCAGGCCAAAGTACAAGTAAAGATGTTACCAGCAGCACTCATGAAGTTGAAGGACCTCCAGAAGTATCCAGCAACCCCACCGCCGATCAAGAAATGATAAGTAAGTCTTCTTAAAATTGGTCTTAAAATTCTATTGAAGGTTTTGCTGCAGGAACTGGCAGGTTAGAAGCAGCCTCCTTGCCTGTCTTGCCTTCCCATGTGCCAAATAGGCCTGAAAATTGGGCTTTGGTGCCTGAAAATTGGAGGGGCTGGGCCATCGTCGCGCCTAACAGGGGTCGATAATCCTCCAGATAGCATGAAAAGTTGGAAAGTCTGCAAAATCTTGGAACGCCGTTAAATAATAAAGATCACTGTATTTCCGCGCAATGGACCACTAGACAAGGTACAAATTTAAGCAATCTGATACAAGTTTCTTAAACAGAATTGCACGTGAAACACGATTCGAACAATGAAAATTACTGAAATCAACTCCTAACGAAGATATTAACGTTTTTATTTCACATTGCTTATGAGGAATTTGAACTGCCTGCTCACAAGAAACTCAAAGCTCTACGTGAGTCAAATCGCGCACTACAATGATTCACCAAGCTTCTCAATCGAGCACTGTTCATCCCCCACCATATGTTGTTCAAACTATAAGCAATTTGCAATAGCTGAGCCAAAGCGTCAAGATTGAGGTTGCCACATTTTTATATCACAGAGACTATCATGATAATGTTTAGCGCGCCATGTGAATCACGTAGAGCATTGAGTTTTCATGAGCGGGTGGTTTGAATTCACGCATCAGGAATCATTATATATCTTTGTAAGGAGTTGATTTCGGTAATTTTTGCTGTGCGCATCGTTTTTTACGTGAAATTTTGATTAAGAAACATGTATCAGAATGCTGAAATTCGTACCTTGTCTAGTGGTCCATTATGCTTTTGTCATCTATCTTAATCATTAATCATTTGATAATTATGTATAATACAATACTACCTGACAAACAAGCTCTCCTATTTTCACTCATACTTCACAAAAAAAAAAGAACGAAAAAAGGTCATAACTTTTCTTGAAAGGTGCTCAGCAAGCTTTGAAGATTCTCGACCCCTGGTGTCAAAAGAAGTTGACACACCTCATTGATTTTTTCAAACTTGCCATTATGAAACAGCGGTGGCGCATGATATGTATGCGGAAACTTATTTTCTTTGTGTAGTACATGTATACCTCTTATTTTGTTTACAGGTTCGAATTAATTTGTGAAGTTGTTTCTAAGGATTAGAAATTGGCTGTTAAGATCTCCAAGTTCTGGCTGAATGTCAAAGGTAATTGAGTCAGTGTCTCTGATACTTGTTTTCACTCACACTTCTGTGTGTTTCATTAGGTATCAAGGCCTGCACAAATTTAGTTTTCCGTTTGACAAGTCATGTTCATCTTTATTTTTATTTATGTTGAAGCAACTTTTTTACTTTCTAAGGGTACATCATTTCAGTTAATCATACTTTTTCCTCAGCACTTACTTTTGCCAGATGTTACCGTGCCTTGTGCCTAGTTACACTCTGCCAGTAATACTGCACCAAGAGGGAAATTTTTCAAGTAATTGAATAAATTAATAGCCTTGCAGACTTCGCTGAAATTAAACTATCTTGTTTAAACTTCAAAATATTTAAGCCTTCCTATTGTGTTTGTGGTCTTGTGTTTGTAATTGTTTCATAGATATTGTTTTTTTAAAAAAAAGGAAAAAATATATATACTTTATGGTTTAAATTCCAGTGAAGTGTTCAGTTTTCTTGTTGAAATTTTACTCTCAAATTTTTTCCCTGGTGCTTTCACCCAGAATTATTTAATAACCTTGTCCCAGGTGTAGAAAAGTTTGCCTCTGAAAATGATTTAAAATTGATCAGCTTCGTCTGTCATGGATTCGGGTTTTGATGGTGATATCTAATAGGTAAGCAAAAGAAAAAAAAAATCTGCCACAACTCCCAGTCTTTTTGTGCTGTAAGGTGCATTGCCAAATTTACCAGTGAGCTTGCTGGTACTACCTGTTAACATCACTTTTTAGTCTCCTTACAAAGTTTCTTATCCTACCGGCCTTTCTCCTAAGGCCGGAGAGCTGGTGAGCAGAGAAACACGCGTGTTCAAAAATAAAGTGCATCAAAGGATTACATTCTCCATGTTTTTCAAATGACAATATCTCTATGAAAGTTGTACGCAGAGATTCAGCTTTTGAACAGACCTCATTATTTTTTGCCAGACTCAAAGTTTCATGCATCAAAATCCAATCCTGCAGCATTTAAAACTGGCCTTTCTACCAAGCTGAACATGAAAAAGCCAATCAGAACTACTGATTTTATTTGATCAATATAAAAACATGACTCTTCAGGGATGCAAAAAAATGTTTGATCTCGTCATCCACATATTGTAGCAAGCATTAACCAAATCTCAGGCCACAAGGCAATACTGAGAATAAACCATCTTTTTATTTCCTTCAGAAAATACACCCTTCTTTCCAGTTAGGCGATTTAGAAATTTTGCACTTAAGCAAAAGCGCCGGGTCTCGAGAAACCATAAATGCCTTAAAATTTTTGCACCCCTGAGATTATCTAGGGAACAGGAATATATTTCGCACATCAATCTTAAAAATCATTTAAACAATGGCA